GTGATGTCTTATCGAGTAAACATGTACCAAATTAATGAATCTGGCAGTTGCCTAATACCGGCCAAAGAAGGGAGATCATTCTGTGACATCTTTTTACGACGTGGGTTTCAATTTGTGGTTGATATTAAGGTTTAACCACATGCTTCCGGTTATAAGCCGAAAGTGGCCCTTAGGCGGCCGGTAAGTAGCAATGCACTCTAAGCCCAAACTACAACACCAACTGTGCATAAAACCGTATACTTTGAATAAGCATCATCTGACATATTTTTTAGAGCAATCATGCAACTATTTAAGATGAAGAAATACGAGATGACGAAGAATGAAAAGTGGATAGATGTTTAAACATTGATAGAGAGTCATGATTTATTTCATTAAATTTGAATATGTTAGCTGCTGTCGATTTTGACAATTCTAAGATATTGGGTCAGAAATTGAGTAAAGTTTCAGAATAACTTGGCTGCATCTGTGGGTCGTTGCCTAAAGCAAAGATATTTTATTACGTCTTGAGTGGAGATTCGCGGCTTTTCGCAATATGTCCACAGTTTCCCAAGTCCAGCTGTCACATGTGACGACTCTTGATAAAAACGTATCACTCTAGGATCGCGGGTATCGCCAGTCAGGGTGTCAGCACTTATAACTCTCTGTATTTAAGCCTAATGTCACAATATTGGTAAACACACTATATCATTATTATTACATTTTAAGAGATGCTAGATCTAGATTTGAAACAAAACACATACAAAAAAATCTTGTGAACACTGAACAAAAAACTTCTATATATATATTCATATTAAAGAAGAAAAAAGTCACAGAAAAGCGACACAAAAGTTGAAACTTACACCATTTGTTAATTTGTACGTACAGTATACCTCTCCCTACTAGATTTATAAAAAGAATTGAAAGTGATGGTGAATTTACGAAGTTATTGACGTTTAAAATTCAAATAACACTGAAAAAGGATCCGACTCGATAGAAACATGTCGCGGGGAACGTATAGATCTATGTAATTTTTTTTTAATTAATCAAAAATCACCAAAAAACGACACAAATTTGAACCTTGCACAATTTGTACAATATACCTATCCCTACTAGATTTCGAAAAAAGAATTGAAACTGATGGTGAGTTTACAAGGTTATTGACGTTTAAAATTCAAATAACACTGAAAAACGAATCCGATTCGATAGAAACACATCTTAGAGAACGTCTATATATAATGTTTTAAAAATTAATAAAAAATCACAGAAAAACAACACAAAGTTGGAACTTGCACAATTTGTACAGTATAGGCTTACCTATCCCTACTACTTCTTCTTCTTCTCGATCGCATCACACTTAAAGTCCGGTATCTGTCATAAATTGGGCCGTCCTGCTCAGTTCATTTGGCGGCCCGTATAGCTTCTCTTGTAGCGTCCTATCCCTACTAGATTTTGAAAAAAAAAAGAAAGTGATGGTGGCTTTACGAAGTTATTGGCGTTTAAATTCAAATAACACTGAAAAAAGAATCCGATTCGATAGAAAAATGTCCTGGAGAACGTAGTTCGATAAATTCAAGGTTGTGAACTGAAATCGACCAAAATTATATCGTCTTGTAGGGGGAAAGCTGGGCTTTAAAATGATGGGTCATATGGTGATATCACATCTTTAGATCTGGAGATATCGGGGTGGGAATGACACCATAATTTGGAGGAAATGCATTACGCGGGCAGGCGGGGGCGCACCACTGGCGTCACGGTAGTGAGCACGGCTGACCGCGGATTTAATGACCAACACATGGGTGGCACTGACCGCTGGTACGGAGCAACTAAAGGAGCGGTTTCCGGGCGAGTTGAACAGCCGTGCCCCCCCCCCCCCCCCATCTCTCTTTCTCTCTCTCTCTCTCTCTCTGTCTCACTCTCTCTGTCTCACTCTCTCTCTTCTCTCTCTTAGGGCGACCACATAGAGAAAGCCATTCGCTCACGCTCGCGTAGGCGCACTGCCTGAGGCAGTGAAATCTAAAGAATCCCCAAATGAAAACCGTTGTGTCCCACATAGACAAAGCCGTCATTGAGGACGCGTCAGTGAGGAGCGGCACTGACGTTTCTCATGGAATCCAAACTAATTCTTTCCAAGGCTGTCCAAAGCTGTCTGTGGCCTTGTTTTCACGTTACCGTTGTACCAAAGCAGCGATTCTACTTACACCTACAGTTTGATGTGTAGTAAGTGATTCAAACATTGACACAGATGTGCTCATATCATCAGTTACGTTAGAACTTCCATTTGGGACAAACGTAACACAGTCCACATTGCAATGTATTTTTAAGTACTGGCAGGATACGAATACATGATGATGGTGATGATGATGATGATTATAGAATCGCGCGCTGTCCCTCCCGCCCCCCCCCCCCCCCCCCCCCCCATCTCTCTTTCTCTCCCTCTCACTTTCTCTCATAATTTGTCCTGCTTGATCTAGTTATAATAGACTAAATGGTTCTGGGCGAAATATGAGGTAAAAATGTCTCTCACGCCTTTAGCATTATTAGTGGGTCTACCAGCAAGCTCCCATGTCACATCCGATCACGGGAATGACACTTTAGTAAGATTTTGGACAACGTCTTCCCTCTCTATGAAGAAAGTATACACTTGATGATAAACGGCCTGGTGTAACAGTGTTCTCTTTGTGGGGTCAAGCAGGCACTTTCCAAAGCTTAAGCGGCTGACAGAGCGGCTGATAAAAGTACAGCCTCGAGAGGCTTTCTCTGTGTGGTCGCCCTTACTTTTCCTCTCTCTCTCTTTCTCTTACTTTTTCTTTCTCCATCTTACTTCCCCAGGCCCACCCCACCACCTTCACCTATTTTTTGCACATAGATAGATCTATATTCCCTCCCACTGCCCAGCCCTACTTTTATATGTCCTTTGTAAAGAAGAGACCACAGTTCATACTGGGTCACCACGGTCAGCATCCATTTGTTGTAAGTTCCTTGGCCAGATCGTAGAAACCGAGGAAGGCCAAGGTCGAACTGTTTGTCTGCTTCACACCTGGTACACCTAGTGATTGCGCTCGCAAATTGAAGTTTGAGTCCGAATAGCCACGGAAGGCTATTCGGACTCGAATTTAGACTCGAGAGTCCGAATAGCCTCCCACGGCTGTAATAGCTGCGGCAATACTTTTAGTCTAGATTTAGATCTAGAATCTATCTAGTACGAAGATCTCTATGAAACTTTTAAAAAGTATTTTTCAAAAGCAAGTGCTATTGTCCGGCGTCGCGTTTGTCAATAGATAAATTGCTATTTTCCAGCGTCACGTATAGCTGCACACTTCGCTTCTCTGCAGCTTTCCATCTCCCCTGTCGGCACCTTACGGCCTTACACAAACACTCATCAGGGTCGGCATTTCTTCAGAATTCAGAATGCGTTTTCACTATTGGTGGACACGCAGCCACTACTCAATGAAAGCTGCAGTGATAGAAGAAAGACTAAGAGGAATTTCTGTGTCAGAGGTGACAGCACCAGAAACACCAACAACCCTCAGTCACAACCAGAAGTACAAGAAGGCGCATCTGGCACTGAACTCAGCTGCAACAATAATGGCCATAACGTGCCAACAGGAGAGATGGAAAGCTGTGGACAAGCAACATGTCCAACTATACATGACGCCGGAGAATAGCCACTTGCTTTTCAAATTAATCATTTTGACAGACTGCTGCGTATGGATTGGATTAACGTGTAAATTTCCTCTTTGAAAGTGGTGGCACAGAGTTCCCCACGTCGCATGGATATTATAGTAAAACACTATGTACGGATAGGGTTAAGAATGTGGGTCCCGTCTGTTTTGACTTGGCATCATCCACAGAGTAGGCCTCCTACTCCTGGACATCGACACTGATTTATATATATTCGGTATCAATGTTTTTTCAGTAGATCTAGATCTAGCCTACAAAATGAGCTGTAAAATTTCTCTTGTTTTTGACAAGGCAAGGGGGGGTTTATGGGCCCCCTGACCTAACAAAACATAGGGAGGAGGGTTTCTGGGGGGGGCATGTCCCCCTGAATTTGACAATAATTTGATGTTTTGCAATTAGCTCTTACAGGCTATATCTCCCTCCATATCAGCACACGCATCAAAAAGTAATCGTTTAGATCCAGAAGTAGATTTCTAAGCGTTGGTGGGGTCAAAACTAGTATCCCCAAATGGGACCCACTTATTAAGTAGTAACCCTAATTGTAAAAAAAAATTTTGAGCAAATATAGGAGAGAAGCATGCCCCCACCCCGATTGAAAAAAATCTGCGAAACATTACTTTGCAATCATGCAGGCTAAACTATTTGAAAATAGTTTGTATAAAAACCATGAAAATTTGCTTCAAATGTTTCTCAAACACAAATTATAAGTCAAAATCTTGTAAAGCAGATCAAAATGAGGGGGTAGGGGGGAGGAATGCTGCATATGTACCTGTGCATAGGAAGGAGTTAAAAAAAAAAAAAATACCACAAGTAGATCTAAACTTACATCTATTTGAATTCTTAATTACCCGCATTGACGACTGGTGTGTCCTGGATCATTTAGAATTTAGATGTCATTTTTAAGGTTAAAAATACTAACTCTAGATCAGTTAAAACAAAGTAAAATTAAGTAGTATACATCTACTAAGGCTGAAAATATACCGCCACGCACAACTGAAGTGCGCCGCGAGAAAAGTCATGCCCTCCTCTTTATTTCCTTCGGTGATTTCACTGACTCGACTTGAAGTGAGGAGTCGTTAGGACCCAAAAAGGTGGCGTTCGTGCTGCACTTCTTTTTCGCGTGCGTACAGGCTCGCCCTGCTATCAGAGTGTTCCAGGACTCCGTGGAGATAAAATGAATGGGAGGGCTAACCACTGAGCTGTTTTCGCCTGCTCAGCGCCAGTTTTTTACACAATCGGACGAAGTCGCGCTGACCTATGGGATCACCACTTCCGACCTAGCTGCTTGTCCGTTTCGCGGTGCACTTCAGTTGTGCGTGGCAGTATATTTTCAGCCTTATGGTATTATTTTATTTTAACTCCTATTCCTATGCACACAGGTATTATGCAGCATTTTGTCCCCCTTCATTTGGATCAGCTTTACAAGATTTTGACCTTACCATTACCATCCATCAATAGTTTGAGAAACATTTGTTGGTTTTTATTCAAACTATTTTGAAACACTTTAGCCTGATTGCATAGTAATGTTTCACACATTTTTTTTCATTTGGGGGGGGGGGGTGCTTCGATCTATATTCGCTCAAAATTTGTTGTTTTTCCAATTAGGTTTGAAATTTTCTATCGATTTGCAATGGTTTTAGTGGCCATGTTCTGTAGCCAAAAATGCTGTAGCTTGACTCTCAAAAGCATACATGTGCAAATGCGTACGAGAGTGAAAGTAAAAAGTTGTACCAAGTTAATATAATTATTATATTATTATTATGAATTGAGTCTGTTTTGTTTAATGTTATTTTTATACTAAATTCTCTATTTGTGTAAATTTCCATCTGTGCTGTCTTTGATTTCTGGCTTTCAAACTTTATTTCAGGTGTTCAAGACTTATTCAGTCCCAACTGGCTGCGTGAAAGAACAGACGTTATCGGGAGCACAGACTTGGATGAAGTGCATATTTTGAAAAGCAGCATTTTGAAGAATTTCAAAAATGCGGGGACATCTAAATATTCTTAAATTTCCTGATTCAGCATTTGCAAAAATGAGGAGCATAAAAATTTTCAGATCAAAATTGTGGAGGCATTGTTTTGTTCAACCTGGATGGAGGTCAGTCTACTGTACACCACGTTTAGAAAAGCAGCATGACCATGAAGCAATGTCTAAAATAAGGAACATTGGAATAATGGCTCATATTGATGGGGGGAAGACAACAACCACGGAGAGAATGCTCTATTATTCAGGCTTTTCTAAGCATTTGGGTAAGCTCTCATGCTAAATCAAGCTCTAAATGTGTTCTTTGTGTAGTATAAGTGATCTAGTCTTGTCTGTTCTAGAACGTAAAAGCTTGCCTGGTTTTAAAATAGAGTATATGTGTCACGACGCCGTAGAATCAGGTTCTCGTCAATTTTTAGGCATGTGGAGATATTGGTATCATTTGATAGTGTGCCATATTCATTTGCCTTGCTTTCTCCGCAAAAAATAACCATCTATCTCGAATAAAAGTCGAGCTATTTGCGATTGAAGGAGGTAGGGTCACTTGGTTTCAATGGTAAAATTAAAGAGAACATGGCCGCCGAAGTTTGATAACTTCAATAACTTCAGAGTCCTTGAAAATTGAAAAATCACATATTTTGTGCCTTTAATCTATGTTTTTCAGTAAAATTTACATGGAAATATGTTTCTCTATGGACATAAAAGGTGTGGAGTGAAAAAACAAAAATTCGATAAAAAATGCCAGACTGGCAGAAAATTGCGTTTCTTCTGTTTCATTATTTTGACCAGCTCCTGATTTCACCGTGATGCCATATTTATATATATATATATATATATATATATATATATATATATATATATATATATATATATATATATATATATATAATATATGATATGTATATATATGAATAATATAGTTTATGGTAGAGATATCCTTGGGCATGTTGGTAACTTTCATTTTAGAATTTAGAATGGAATCTAATAATTTGTATTTTTGAATATTTTTATTATTATAATTTTTTGAAGTTTTTTTTTTTTTTTTTTAACTTTTGTGGTGAAGCAAGGATTTGATCTGACTCCCACCTGCTGTCTCTTAAGAGTTTCTGTTCAGCCCCCTGTCAAGAAAGAGGTTGGCTTCAAATGTGGCTCAATCATGTCTCCATTGACATGAATCTCACTATTAATGAGTAACGAGCTGACATGCTTTTTTAACAAATTCCATGAAGATGAACCATCTGACTTGGAAGAGCCCTCAGGAGTTCATGAAATGCAGGGTGTAAAATCTGTAGGCATATTGTCTGGTAGATGATGCAATTATTGTCAGCCTGAGTTGATGCATTATGAAGCAGAAGTGGATTGCTGACTTGCTATCCTCATTTTCTAACTTGCCCCTTTTCATATTAAATTATTACTTCTGAGAGAGAGGGAAGAAAGGTAGTCTGCTTTTTTGTGTCAAGGAAACTGCTGTTTTGCTCCCTCGCATTTAATCTGATGTTTAAGGAAGACATGGGTACCTAATTTCTGTTTGCTTACTTTCCGTTTTGTTGAAGACATTTTGCACCAGAAGGCCACTGTGTAATTAAGTATTTTTAGCACCTGCTTAGGGACTGGATGAATCATATAAAAGTTCAAATTTTGGATCTGCTGATTTTTACTGTATGTGGTCCTAGTCCAAGTTTGTATTTTCCAAATGACTTTGTTCTGAATGTTTGAATGGATACTTTGCTCACGGGACATTACAAGGTTAGCAAAAATTTGATTGAAACGAGCTGATGGTTAGGTTGTTTTATCATTTATGGGAAATTATAAAAGAACTATTTGCCTGATAGGTTCATACAGTATAACATGGATAGCTTGAATTCGTCGCGACGGGCCTCAGTAGTTTGAGGGATATCTTATAAAGATAACAAATTTTAAAAAGGGGACCACAGGTAAAGTTCGACGGATGCGTGACTTCGAGTCTTCTGTGTTCAACCTATCCGTGTTATACTCAAATTCATTCCCATCATTTTGTCAGTATTAAACTCAATTAATTGAGAATGCTTGAGAAGGCTGTTCCTGCAAACTGAAACCGGAATAGTATTACTATAATATATATGCAACTATGGCTTTGAGTAAAGAAAATAATCTGGGTTCAAATTCTTAAGAAGTTGGTATTTCATGGTTCTTAGGCTGTACCTCAGAAAAGACTTTGTGTCTTGTGCTTGGTTTTCCCATACCACTACTACATGTGTGTTGATGATAGTACTGAGTGGTGTATTTATTTAGAAATAGTGCTTTTAACAGAATTCTGTCATCAATGATTTTTTTTCCCATCTGAATTGGATTGATCAGGAGATGTAGACCACGGTGACACAGTAATGGACTACATGGAACAAGAACGAGACAGAGGCATCACTATAACATCTGCTGCGATCACATTTCACTGGGCAGGCTACAAGATTAATCTAATTGATACACCAGGTAAAAATTTGATTGAAATAACCCGTTAACTAAGATTTTTAACACCCGTCATGCATAGTGTCACAGTATGATTTTTAACTCAGAATGCAGTGCAGGATGATCAGGACACAGTCTTAACTAGTTTTTAAAAAGCTATGTTGCTGCTTTTTGTCCATCTTTTGCCATTATGTGTCATATTTTGAGGGGTGGGGAGAGGTAGATTTTTTGTACCCTTATGTTATCATTGCGTATCCTGTTCTTAATATATTTGTATGAACATGACATGAGCATTTTTACCTAATGTGGTCTTAGCTTGTATTTACTTATCAAATGACTGTATTATCTGAATGTTTCAATGGACACAAAAAGCCAACCAATTTCTCATTTACAAAATAAATGAAGCCATGTGCGTTGGGGTTGGAACTTTTTAAACACCAAAAATTGATAAAAAGTGTGATCGCTAGCAACTTGGGAAAATTCCTCTTCAAATAAGTTGTTCCAGCTTTTGTGTAATAATGGGTTCAAATGTTTTTGCATATTAAAAAAAACAACAACTGCCTTGTATCAATTTGCTTTTTGCCAAAAATGTACTTGATTTTCATAGCTTGGTGACTAATGTTCTTTGATACAGTGCTGTAGGCATCAAGACATGTGGGTTCTTTATTCATGTAAACATAGAGACAAGCAGTGAACTTTTTTTCCATAGCAGAGTTTTGCAATGCTAGATTATAGAGCAAGTTTGCAACCTGTGGAGAAGAAATTATCCTGGAAAAATATATAAAGCTGTGAAAAATTGAAGAAACAAAATTCAGCTTGATTTTGAAGAGGAGGAAATATGATATCATTGTTGATCATTACATTTTTACTTTTTTTTTATATTAAAAAAAAAATGTTGGTTGTATTTAAGGTCATGTTGATTTTACGGTGGAAGTTGAGAGATCTCTGCGAGTGCTTGACGGTGCAGTTGCAATTCTGGATGCCTCAGCAGGTAAGCAAATGTAGCCTACAGTCATGTGATGCTGTTTGTGTTATTGTACTCTGTGTTTTAAAAATTTCTCTTTTCAGGTAAGTGATGACATCATAAAAAAAAGTATTTGGGGGCTATTACCTCTTTCACCATGTTGTAGTTCAGTTTTGTTAATTAAAAATAGGAATGGAGTTCTCTGAGAGGGGTGAAAATATACATTAGTATTTATGATGAGGCTAATGTGAAAATTTCTGTCATAACTGCTTTTAACACCTTATTGATATCAACAAGCTCAGTATTTAAAAAGGAGCAATCCACATGAACATCAATAGACCTATGTCTTTTGATGAGTTTGCCAGCTTTAGTTGTATGGTAGACCATGATGCAACTTCAGAGAATCTTGCAGTGGCTTCTTCTTCTTTTTTTTATTGTTTATTTATTTTTATTTTTTTCAAGGTTCTATGTTTACAGGTCTCTGGTAAAAAGTTGAAAACTAAGTGAAGTCTCATTGAGAAAGAAATATGATATCATGATTTCTCAGTTCTTCTTCTTCTTCCTCGTTCTCGATGACAGCAGCTAGACAGTCAGTCCGATGTCGCGTACAAAACTGTGTAGTTCGCTTCAACTCTGAAAGACTGCCATAGAGTTTTCTCTCAAGGGGAGACACATTCTGCTACGTCTGTGAGCGAAGGGTGGCATAGCGCGGGCAGTGCTGAAGGACATGGTTGGCATCCTCTTGGTCGTGTCCACATTCACAGGTCGCTGTTTCTCCCACTTTTAATTTGGTGTGCATATTTATGGTGTTTGAGTCTGTTGTGGCCACAACGGAGTCTAAAGATTGTGACTTGGTCTGCTCTATTTAGTATGTAGTAGGGGTCATGTCTGCATAGGGTGGGACCTTTTCCATCTGTTTCTTAAAGCAGTTTTTATTAGTGTTTTTGACTCTGAGAGATCCATGCCATCTTCAATCTGGTTCATTTTGGCTCCTTCTTTGGCTAAGCTATCTGCTTTTTCATTTCCATGAATGCCACAGTGACCTGGTGTCCACTGCAGAGTTGTGTTGGCTTGGGAGTTTAGATCACACAGGAGTGAAAGGAGTTTTCGTACTTGGGCTGTTTGTGGCTTTTGGAGACCTTGTAGGACAGATTTTGCATCTGTGAGGATGACAGTGTTGGCTTTAGATTTTGGGTGATTCAAGAGAATGGTGGCTGCTGTTTCGAGTGCTGATGCTTCTTGTTTCTGCTTTGTAGTTGGAGGATAGAGATCCTGTGGGGATGGAATGGCTTTCTGTTGTCCCATCAATCTACTCTATGTAGATACCTCCACCACCGTTTTTAACAGCATCAGTTGCTGGTCCATCTGGGTAAACTGATTTCTCAGTGATGTTTGTGACCAGATACCGAATTATGTCCAACATGGTGAAGAAAAAACAACTGGTGACATATTAGACATCCATACTCAACTACAGTCCTTGTGCACACACATTTTTTAATACTTTTAAAGAGAGGAGGGGGGGGGAATATATGCAGTTGATAAACTTTTAAAAAACCCGTCTTTTTTAACTATTGAAAGCTGAATTATATATGGATTTCATCCCTGAATGTTTCAGGTGTGGAGGCTCAGACACTGACAGTCTGGCGTCAGGCTGACAACTATCACATTCCACGGCTGGTCTACCTCAATAAAATGGACAAACCAGGGGCTTCCTTAGAACTTTGTCTTCAGTCTCTACAGAAAAAACTCCACGTGACCCCTCTGGTGCTGAACCTGCCTGTGGGAAGTGGCAGGGAGTTCACTGGTGTTCTGGACTTGGTCAACCTGGAGAAGCTGACCTGGGATCCGACCAGCAGCAGAGATGGCAGTAGCTTTACAAAAATACCCATTGATATCGAGGAGGGCTCGGCTGATTCTGAGCGGGTTCTGAAAGCACGGGCAGATTTGATTGGTCAGCTGGCAGATATGGACGAACACATTGCTGACCTGGTTTTGTGCGACACCAAGTTGACAGACATTCCTGTTAAGGATTTGATCTCTGCTGTAAGGACTGCAACACTCCAACAGAAAGTTGTACCTGTTTTTTGTGGCAGTTCTTTGAAAAATAAAGGTGTTCAGCCCCTCCTTGATGCCGTGGGATTGTTCTTGCCGAGCCCTATGGACATAAGCTACGGTTTTGCCAAGTATTATGAGAGTCATCTGTGTGCCTTAGCCTTCAAAGTACAGTATGACAAACAGAGAGGTCCCCTCACCTATGTCAGGATTTACTCTGGAATGCTCAACAGTGGTGCTCACGTGTTCAATATCAATCGTGGAAAAACTGAGAAGACCAGTCGCCTTTTGCAAGTATATGCTGATGAACTTCATGACATTTCTGCTGCTGTTGCTGGCAACATTATTGCCATCGCTGGCCTCAAGGAGGTAAAGTTTGAGCACTATGTGTATTGAGTGTCCATCTTCCATATGATAAATGATGCCTATTGATTAGTTTTACAGTAGTATGATGCTCTTGGATTGAGAAACTGAATGTCTAATGAAAGGAAAATGATTGTTTAAAAAAAATGTAATCTGTGAGTATTAACTTTTAATCTTTGGAGAGGGTTTTCCCACTTAGCCACGGCTTTCTTTTGGTACAAAACATGAAAGTGGCATATGTATAATCTATACATATTATATTTGTGAAAGTTCATCACTTTCGCCGCCTCAAACTTCCGAACCACTTAACTTTCGAATTTGACCAAATTAATGGTGGTTCAGAATCATTTAAAAAGGGTGCCCAGTTTCATCGAGGAGCCTGAAGTCTCTGTAGTTGAATTTTCAGGTTTTTTAAAATTAGTTTTGTTTCTAGAACTAATCTTGGGAATGTCCGTCTTGTAAGACGCCATTGTAAACAAGTGATGTTTCCTTTCACTAGCCGTGCGCCAGTACTGATTCCACACCTTTGAAATTATGGAGTGTACAATCACGAAAGCGGAATAGAGAATCAATCACTATATCTAAAACCTTCTAATTTTTTGCATTTCTCATGATTTATTACTCCATTCCAGTAGAGTGTAGATATAGTAGGCCAATGACTTTCAGTTGATGTTAATGCTCCGATCATTCCTTTCATCGAAATGGGGCCCAGCAAGTATATATATAATATATAGGCCTATCATGTAGCTAAATTATAGTTTATTTAATTTTTTTTAAATTAACCTATTTTGATAATTCTTCATCTAATGAAAGAACTCCAGGGTAAATGAGACCTGTTTTTGGTAATTGCCGAAAATTAATATAACATCGAAGTCATTGCAAAGGTGTGTGTCTAAGCTACTGCCAGCAGCACACTGACACAGCGGTTCCGAGAGTTAAAAACTGCGGTTGCCCCGCACTAGAATAGATAATACCCCCCCCACTAACCAATGTTAATAAAATTTTGTTATATAACTCAAAACACACACATAAACCCATACAAAATTGAATGTCATAAAAGTGAAGTGCATTCTGTGTTCGTCCCAGACTTTCACAGGGGACACGATTACATCTACTATGAGCACTGCTAAGGAGGCGGCTCACAACTATGTAAGAGAAATGAACAAGGAAAAGAAACAGAAGACCAGTGAAGAGTTGAAAGCGTCTGAACTCAGCTCAAAGGAAAGCTTAGAAAATGAGGGTAAGCATAATTCTTTTATAAAAGACAAGGTTTGATTCGGTGTGCATTTTTGGTGACCCACCAACAGGCTTTTGAGCTTGGTTGTTTTCTAAAAGTTGTGATGGGTCTCAGAGATGAAGAGAAAGGGTTCCTTTGTCCTATGTTGCCTGTGGACATGTCATCATCATCATAAAATGCGAGATCTGGGATTTTTAGTTTGAAAAGATTGGTACACTAAATAAGCACTGTCTCACCATGAGAACAATTTAGATGCTTGCATTGACAACGTGACAGTTTCTGTTTTCCATGTGTAGGGCATTATAGTGAAATAAGGGACTCATCGAAACAATGACATCCAAGAAGACCCCATTTTTTTGTTCAAAGTAAGGGCAATTTTCATCTAATTTTTAAAAAATTTTCTGCCCAACACCTTTTATGTCTACATGACCATCTAAAAATACATTTCTGTGTAAATTTTACTGAAAAACTTTGATCAAAGGCACAGAAAAATTTTAATTTGCAGTTTTAATGGGTACTACAGCTTCAGAAGTCACCAACCTGGCAGCTATTTTCTCACTAATTTTACATAGACACCAGCAACCCCCACCACAGTCAATCGCAAATATCTCTACTTCCAATTAAGATAGATGAGTCTTTTTTTTTTCCATCAAGAGCAAGGCAAATGAACGGACTTCAACATGCGACCTTGATCCAATGCCTGCTCATGTACTCATAACATGTATTGATATTGTCCTACCTCACATTACTCAGATAGTGAATATGTCACTTGCCACTGGCACAGTACCTAATACTTTCAAACAAGCTATTGTAAAACCTTTATTGAAAAAACCCGGGCTTGATAAAAATGAATTAAAAAACTATCGACCAGTTTCGAATTTGCAATTTGTCTAAAAAATTCTAGAGAAGATTGTTTTAAGTCAAGTTTTGTCTCACATGAGAAAAAATGGTCTCGAGGAAATTTACCAATCTGCCTATAAAACTCATCATAGTACCGAAACTGCGCTTTTAAAAGTAACGTCTGATTTATTGGATTCCATTGATAGCAAAAACATCGGTCTTTTAACTCTTTTGGATCTGTCCGCAGCTTTTGACACAATTGACCATGCTATTCTACTCACAAGACTTGAGCGCTCATTTGGCTTATCGGGTACTGTGCTTTCATGGTTTAAGTCATATTTACTAGAAAGAGTTCAGACAGTGCAAATTAAAAATAGCTTTTCAAAGCAGGTCAGGCTCGATTATGGAGTTCCACAGAGGTCCGTTCTTGGACCAGTGCTCTTTACACTATATACACAGCCCTTAGCAAGCATTTTACAAAATCATGGATTGAATTATCATTTTTATGCCGATGATTCCCAAATGTATGTTAATGGCACCATTCAAGATCTACCAAACATGATTTCCATCACTAAACAATGTTTTTATGAAATCAAAAAGTGGATGACAGTAAACAAATTGAAACTAAAGGAAGAAAAGACAGACATCATTCTTATAAAAAATCCACGATTAAATAAAGATCTGGAAAGTGTCAACTTTGATTTATATGGGCATATGACATCTAGTAAAGAAGTTGTCAGGAATCTTGGTGTATATATTGACCACCACTTATCAATGGGCTCGTTTGTAGGATCTCTGTCCAAATCCCTTTATTTTCAGCTGAGAAGGATAGGCCTAGTTCGAAAGTACTTAAACGAAGAGACCACAAAAACACTGGTAACATCTCTTATCCTATCTAGATTAGACTATTGTAACTCACTCCTAGCAGGTCTGAACAACAAATATTTGAATCGTTTACAAGTAATTCAAAACAATGCCGCTAGACTGATAACAAGATCTAAAAAACGAGACCATGTCACTCCATTATTAAAAGAACTGCATTGGCTCCCTGTAAAAGAACGAATAATATTTAAAATCTGCGTCATGTGTTTCAAATGTGTAAATAAAACTGCTCCTTTTTATCTACAAGAACTTATCAGTATATATAAACCAGGGAGAAACCTAAGATCATCAAACGATAACACCCTACTTGTGACACCTGTAAAATCATACAAATCATATGGAGAGAGATCTTTCTCATATCTTGGTCCATTTATGTGGAACAGATTACCCATGAAACTAAGACAAATAAGAACTCTTGATAGCTTCAAAAGACATCTTAAACATTTTCTGTTCCTACAGGCCTATCCTTCATAAGCTTTTAACGTTATCTTTCATTATATTTGTTCTGTTCCTATGTCTGGATGAAAATAGTCTCTCTCTGTGTGTGTGTGTGTGTGTGTGTGTGTGTGTGTGTGTGTGTGTGTGTGTGTGTGTGTGTGTGTGTGTGTGTGTGTGTGTGTGTGTGTGTGTGTGAGTGTGTGCATTAATGTATATTGCTTGAGAAGAAAGGAAGTAGTAAGAAAGGTTTTTGAAAAATGGGTATTCCAATGTAAAGCGCATTGAGCTACTTTTTTTGGAAATGCGCTATATAAATGTTATATATTATTATTATTATTATATTATTAACATATTTTAAGATAATGATTGAATAAACTACATTAAAACCAAATGTGCACAGAACATTGTGTTAAGTAAATTAATAATAGAGTGGTTTTACATATTACCTTGCTAGATTAATGCAATGATCATTTGTTTTTGTTCTTGTAAGTGATGATCATGATATGTAGGCTGACTTAATAGAAAATGGACATCTTTCACTTTTGAAATTGTCTTTTTTTTTCCTTGGTAGGCCTATATAAGATACATAAGTTAATCCAGAGGACAGAAGCAGTAACTTTGTGATGTTGATTGATGTTCTAGGTGTATGCTGTCTTTCTCTTTCAATGAACCTTCTCTCTGGTTACCATTGTCTCGCATCTCGTTTTAATCAAAGTTATTCTGTTTAATTGTAACTTTATTTTCTTGTTTTGCTTCAACAGACCTTGTAGAAAAAGACCATGTGACAAATGACATGATCCCAGTGCTTGCTGGTATGGCTGTACCGGATCCTGTTTTTTTCTGCTCTGTGGAACCGTCTTCCATGTCAGTGCAAAAGAACCTTGATGCTGCTCTAGATAACTTACAGAAGGAGGACCCCAGCCTGAGGGTAACAATCTTTTTTTTCTCCTCCTCATCATACTCTTCTTTTGATATTCATACCGGTGAAATTGAAATAAATAACTATAACTGATCTGCCAGTGACATTGCCTAAAGAGGGTTGTAACAAGATATGGTTGAAAGCTGAATAACCAGGTAATTGTTCTCAAGCATGCAACCTAACTTTTCTAATACTTTCAGGGATGCATTTTTAAAAATGTTAGTGCTCTATACTATAGAATACTCCTATGTCCTGATCGGCAGTGTACCATACTGCTATCAGTATCAGTTCAAAATTATGAGGTAGGCTGATGGCTTGAGAGTGAGATGGTATATGGTACTCTCAGGTGCTATGTTCTGTCCTTGTCGTAATGAAACAGCAGAGCATAGAACTGGGATATGCGACTTCCAATTGTCATGTTTTATGGCTGATTGGTGTTTCCTCAGGTGGAAATCAACTCTGAAACTGGACAGACAGTATTGTCTGGGATGGGAGAACTTCATCTGGACATCATCAAATCACGCCTTCAGAAAGAGTATGGACTGGATGTAGACCTGGGGCCCCTCCAAATTGCTTACAGGGAGACTGTCATTGAAGATGCAGGTACTGTATTCTATACCTGTATGAAAAGAATTATTTTTTTGCTTGCATTTCACTAATTTTTTGCTTTAATTTTTAAGTGAGTTAAATTATACAATTGCAGTTTCTTTTTCTATTATGGTCTGTCTGTTTGCTCCATGTTTCCTTTCTCTTATGGTTTGTCTGTTGCTCCATAAGTCTCTCCTCAGCTTAATTGCCTACTGATAGCAGATTTATTGTGTAATTAAATAGTATGGACCTTAGATTGGAATAGGATTTAGTTTCTATAATTGCATTAGATTACAAAAACCATTTCGATGAAAGAATTTTTTTTTCGTTTTCAGTGATTTTTTCATATATTGGTTTATTATTTTGATTTTGTTGAACTCATATTTTCAGTTTTTCTAGTTTAGGCCTACTTGTTCAAATCATCTCAACTTTATTTATATTGTATGATGTGTCCCTGTAGATGCCTGTGAGACTCTGGACAAAACACTGGGAGGCAAACATCAGTTTGTGCAGATTAGGCTGTCTGTCCATCCTGACTTGGAAGAAAGAGAGTTCAAGCACGTGCTTCTGGAACGAACACCTGATCATCCTTTAAATCTGAAGCACAAAGTTGCCAAAGCTGTCGAGAGTGGCATCAAGTCTGGACTGTCCCATGGTTGGTGGTTCTGCTATTTCTACTGAGGTTTAAATTTTTAAAAGGCATTTTCGCATAGCTGGTAACTCTGAGTCTCCAGTTGCATGAAGAAATTTTCGAAGAGAAATGTTTATGGCATCTCTCTGAATTTTTCCAGTCCTCTTTCACACTCAAGCAAGGCTTTCTTTATGAAATTAATAAAAACTATGTGATTTGTGTGCGTGAGCTTATGTTTTCTGGGTCTCTAAGGAATTAGACCCTTAAATATAGACTTATCAGGTGATAATGACCTTATCCAGTGGTTTGTTTGTTTTTTTGTTCAGTAACACAGATGTCAAATAATAATAATAATAACAAATAATAAATAGCATCTGTGCAGTGCATGTTTCTGCTCAATAGCAAGCTCTGTGTGCTTTACAAACTTTACTGTTACCCCAGCAGACACAAGAACACTCAGCAACATTTTCTGGTTTTTGGGAACCATAAAATGCAAGTAGCCAATTAAACATGCAAATACTAACAAACTGACAAGATCTTTTGTTGCCTAAAACTAGGTACCCATTCCCACTGGGTGATGTGAGGACAATTTGTGTGAAGTGCCTTTCTTAAAAGCACAACGTTAGACCCGTGAGGGGTTCGATGAACCCATGACCTTTCACTTACGAACCCAACGGCATAACCACTGACCGCTTGACCACTGACACTTGGCACAGGATAGTTAAGAGAATATGACAAAGTGAATGAAGGCTATAAATTTATTGTTATGTAGTGTTCTACGCCCAATGTGCTGATGTTGGACATGAGTTCTTCAGTACGACTCCAAGCTGTTCATGTGTGTCATACAAGGGTTATTCTGTCCATATCAGTATACAGTATTTTTTTTCCTTTTTCATGAGAGTGAGTGGTCTGAGGTTATGATTCTCTTAATACATTATTTTTTATTCCTTATTTCTGTTTTGTTTTGTTCAGAATATTCTGAATATTCTGAACAACATTGTTTTATTCTGTCCTTTTCAATAATATAAACATTTAATTTTTCAGGTGTCTTGTTGAATTTCCCTGTAATTCATACGAGAGTCTGTCTCCATGAGTTCACCACGCACTACCACACCACACTACCCATGATAACAGCTGCTGCTGCCATGGCAACACAGAAAGCTCTGAGGCTGGCTGGATCTGTTCTTCTAGAGCCAATGATGGGAATGGAGGTAAAAACATTTTTTTTAAGTTAATAAGAATGAAATACCACTTTTTTTGTGGATACTTATTGTGAAATTTGGTTTACAATTTGGTAAATACAATGCAAATTCATCAGCTTCACATAATAAACATATCACACCAATACAAAGAATCTGATTAATGCACTACTGCTGGTTGCCACTGTACAGCACCCTATACACCCTATATTTTGAAGCTAGGGTTATTGTGTCTTGCTTATGGACACACTCCCAAAATAACATGTACCTTGTCCATGTGTCTTTACATAATCAAGGTTCTTTGTAAGTCTAAATGAGCTGCAGCGTGTCAAAAAGGGCATTAAAAAATAGACTCATTGTTTACAAGAATATGACTTGAGTTGGTGGAGAGTTAATTACATTTCTTCTCTGACAACTGTTGTGGTGGATGACTGGAATTGGAGGGTATCTACTGGGAGTGTATACTCCTTTTCCTTTTCTTTATCATTCCTGTTGATGGGCTCAAAACTATACTCAAAACTCCTCAGATCACCACAGAGGAAGACAAAGCAGATAGTGTTCTTTCAGACCTGGGCAAACGAAGAAGCCACATCCTGAACGTGACCTCACGACTGGACGCCAGAGTGATCAGTGCAGTGACCCCTCTACAAGAGCTGATGGGCTACTCCACCGAGCTGAGAACCATCACCTCTGGTACAGCCTCCTGCTCCATGGAACTGTCCCACTATGAAAAGATGAGTGAGGAAGAGATACAGAAAGTTACAGAGCGCATCACAGGCTTTCATCCATCCGCTGTCTACTAGTCTACTTTCTATATCTGTGATCTTTTGGGTGGGGGTCATATACAGCGGGGTCCGCTTGAACTTAAATCGAAATTTGCAGGACCGCCAATTTTTTTCGGGGGGTGAAACCTGAACATACACATTTAACGAGCCAAGCAGTCACGCAGTGTGCAGCGGCGTGTTATAGGCGGCGGTAAAGTAGGTCAAGTGTGTTGGATGAGAGAGATTCTTCCTCTCGCCTATGATGCTAATGGATTTCGTGGAGTCGGCAGATCTACTAAAATTCGCGATAATCAAGGTCAAGGTTGAAGTTGAAATGCATATAAGAAAGGAACATAGAAGGAAAGGAAGTGCTCAAGTTTGAGTGTTTGATTGGGGGGGGGGGGGGGGGGACTCTAATAGTAATAGTATTATTTGACAGGTAATTGATACAATGTAAGAGTGATTGGTCTTTAAGTTTGTAGAGTGTAATGAGAAGGAGTCTTGTTCATTACATTGTTGTGCAAAAAATAAAATGGAAATTAAAAATATATGAATAAATCCTGACTGGATAACAAAGCAGTATACTTCTTGTCAAATGAGTTTAAGACAAAACAAACGTTACAAAGACAGTTTAGAAAATCACAAACAGTCACAGTGTAGGACTTACCATCTCGATGTTTGGATTACTGGTATTGGGAGGAGAGTTTTGCAACTTTCCTTTTCTTGTTCCCATCTGATTCCTGTAGTTGCTTCGTCTGGAGGAGGGTAAAGCGTTTCATCAAGATATTTACAATCCTCCTGATGGTAGTTGCTTCAGTTTGTATTTTGATGTGTAGCATTCCTGGAAGCTGACTGAAAATGTTGACCAGACGTTTGCGGCATGAATTTGTATGGTTCAGTTTCATAAACAGATAGCAATAAACTACCATTGTCTGCAGATGTTCAGACTCACTCAAGCCACCTCGATCCAGTGCATTTGTATAAGCACTTACACATCATCAGGGAGACATGCAGGATTTCTTCTCATTTTGTCTTTAAAGGCAATGTATCCACTAATGTAAGAAATATTCAGCTTCTCATCAAGAGTTCTCCGTCAGTAAAATCTTTTTGGCAAAGAGTACAGGAGTGTCCTGCCATGTCATAGCTGAACTGCTCATCTGTTGTCGATTCCAGCGTTAATCGAGCTCTGTCGGCATCATGTGTATGCTGAATGTCCTCTGCTGTGATGTAATATGTACATCCAGCACTTCTATGTCGTCCTGTTGAAAGATTGAAAGAAACCCAAGAGGACATACTCGTGACGTAATGGGGAATCCACAGTCAACTGATATGAGCATAAATCCACGAAGCATTTGCAAGCCCATTGAAGGGCCTTTGCAGTGTCTGTAGTAAGTTTCTTAATCCGCGGAGTTGAAACTGCCTCCATCTCCTTTGCACAAGAAGCCCAGGATTGTAGAACTGCCATTGGGTGAGAGTACATGTTACTCACGACTGCTCGGTCCGGATCTCGTTTAAGATTGAGGTAGCGGGCTTCAGTATTCAGTCTTCCAGAACTGAAGAACCAGACTGATGAACGTCACCGTTTCTTGTTTGGATGGAGTCTTATAAGATGTCTGGAGGGCTGCATGAGTCTTGTCGGAAAAAACATCCAAAACCAACTTGACATTCTGTTTGTCAATGTTGCTTGGTTTAATGGACGCCGCACCCAAAGGTGCCAACGTCAGTGGAAGACTGCTTTGATGATTATGCACTAGTCTCAGGTCAGACCAGCGTGCACTCGTAGCGTTTCCATCATCATCTGAAAAGTTGAGCGTTTGGGTTCTTTCAGTGAGCCAGCTGTTGGAAATGTTTTTCAGAAGATGCACTGTGTCATACATCAGAAAAAGAGGCTTCACTTCATTGCCAGGCGTCTGTACAATTACAATCCATGGAGTGGGTGAATCAAACCCTTCAAACAAGTTGAAAAACCTCTGATTCACATGATTGCTGTCGTTAATAATGCCAACAACGGTGGCACCATATCTCTCCAGTTCCATGATCACTTCCTCAATCATTTGAAACTGGAATTCAGACTTCAGAGCGTGGCAAGGTAGCAGTTTTGCGAGAAATCTCCTCCCACCAAACAAACATTTAACCGTAATACATAACATTGTCTTTGCCAGGCAGTCAGGATAGTCTACCGCATGTCCAAACAAAGTTCCTCCCCTGTAAGACACGGATGCCTTTACATACACCTCATCTATGATGAGGACACACCCTCTCTGCTTTTCCTCGAAGCTGCTAAATATGGACCGGAAAAGTTGCGTATCATCCAGGTTTCTGGCTACACTTGTTATTTTTCTAATTGTACTCAGGGATGGCAGCTGAAAGTATTCTCTCAATTGTTGGTAGAGAGGACGACTTTTCGAGTCCGAGGAGAAGGCCTATGACAAGTCAGACATACTGTAAACTCGAGTGTTCTTCTTGCTATTGTGTAGAATAATGGCACGACAAAGGAATTTTACCTTGGCATTGTCCTCAGAGTCATAATTTGGTACAAAGCAAACAACTTCCTCCTGCTGACTTCACCTTTCAGTGCCTTTTTAGGCTATAATGCTGGGAGCGTCATCAAGGGAGCACAATCTCCGTAGCTCCCGCGCCGTTTCCCTTTTAAAGAAATATAATCTAAATTCATGATGCGTTTTATAACTTGGGGATGTATACTGTCACCCTGGCAGAGACCCATACCAGGGAAGCGGACATATTCATGCCTGGCGCCGCCCCTGAGGCCGCCAGACACCCACATAAGCGACTGACTAACCCGCAGCCATACATCCCGTGGGCACGTTGGTACACCTTGGTCTAAGGGATTTTTTGTCGAGGTTGTCTCCTCTAGATCCGTTGGGTTCTGTTCCTGAACCGCAAGGTGTAGGTCAACAGTGTCACCTCTGGAAGGATGAGGCTCTTCGCTCACGCACAACGGTCTTGAGATACCCGGTAATGAGAGGTTGGCTGGGTACATGGGCTGACATCTCGAGATGCATGCCACTTTCACTGAAAAAATCCAGCTATACCCAGAGGTGCCTAAGGGGGTGAGCTCGGTGTCTCCACAGTGTCTCTGCTTCCCAAAAACCTTAACATCATTACCCCCTGGGCTCCTGCCCTTGACTCTACAGATCTAGTTCGAACAATGTAACTGAAACAATCAGCATCGCGGGGAGCTTGTCTGTTTATCACTTCTTACTCTCTCACGCTTCAATGAAATAGAAAACAGAAGTTAACAATAAATCTAAAAAAAAGATTCAAATGCGATGCATGAAATCATAACATGATACACGACATCAACACATGGCCATTGTCAATTGTTGTTGTACTAAGTTGTCCAGTTATTGGGATGATTACTGCCAAAGTAGCAAAATAACTATACCATCGAAAAATATCAAATAGGATCAATATAAAAATTCAAGGCATCAATTTAAAATGAATGAGTTCAATGGATATTATTCACCTTAATATACCCCTGTTAAGCTCACAGAATCTTAGAAATCAGCAATAAAACCCTCTGAGTAAAAATGGCGAGAAAAAGTATTGTTGTCAGATAATTTGCCAAAACAGCAGCGTCTAATTTAAGGCGAGCTCTCGTCCGCCTATAACTCACCACGACACACTGCATGACTACTAGGCTCGGTAGATGTGTATGTTCAGGGTGAAAACCTTTGTTGCCTTTTATGGCATACATGGTGCATCAAGAAAATGGGTTATTTCTTAAGCTTTGTGCCATACCATGGATGTCACGGAAGTTGGAAAAATTTGACCTCCTTGTTGCCAATATGACGTTACATCATGTATGTCATGCTATTCGCCTGGCTATAATTCTTCTGTTTTGAGATTAAAGCACAAGCTCCACATGAATTCGTATTCGAAAAATAAAAAATGGTCATACAAAATGGTGCCAAATTTGCTAGTATTAGTTTACTGCTAAGCTTGCAAGTAATTGATAAACACATGTCAAGTCTTACGGACAAGCACATAAACACCAAAATGACTTTAAAAGGGCATAAAATTCCACTTTTTGACTCTCACTCACCTTAGGTTTTTCAAGATTATGAATAAAATGGAGATATTGGGAATGAGGAAAGTGAAGAAAGCGGCACTTAACATATATCACGAGTGGGCTGGATCTTGACTGCAAGCTTATTAACACTGAGACGTGAGACTGCTGTCCTGGCTAACGAGCTGGGCTGAAAATCAGTGCTGACTATAGAAATGTATACCTCATGGCAACGAAAAGGTTTAGCAGTGTTTTCAGTTTAGAGTGATTGCTCAAATACCAAAGACAAATATCTGGAATTCCATTTTCTTTCGGTTTACCACTGTTTTTGGATTAACCATGTTCGATTTAAGTGCAGACTCCACTGTATTTCAAAGCATATTAAGTGTACATATTTCAGTAATTTTCAGATGTATAAACTAGTGATTGATGTATATAATTAATAAAATGAATAATTTTGGCGAATTAGAGTCCTGTGGTACAACAACAAAAAATACATGTTGGAAGTTGCAAGCTTTGATATGAAGAAAAGTTGGTTTCCAGGTTATTTTTGGAAAAGCAAAGTACTGCTTCCAATATGATCCCATAAACATTTCCAATTGCTGATCAAAACAGGATTTTCAATAAAAAGCAAAATGCTGAAAAATGACTAAAGCCTGTCAATGTCATAGTAAAGATTTTGGGACCTCTGTGTCGTTTTACCTGTTCCTTAATCTGCATTTTTACGCTCCCGCTATTTCCTTTGTCAGTGAGCTTTTATAATTTATATCTTCCATGGTTTTAAGGAGAAAAAAAAAGTGCAAACACGATCATTCTTTTTGTCATTGTGGCGAGAAAAATGAGTAATTTCAGTTTGTCTTGTATAAATACACTGTAATGCAGAGCCACACACAGAGTTTGTATCTATAGATGTCATCTGAATGAAGTGCAGTAGGCCTGTAACATAAGATAAGTTTGTCAAACCATGCTTTTACTTTTTTTAGTAAACTGAATAAATTTAAAATATTCTGATGTGATGATTACTTGCATTTATGTTTCCTGCCCTGGGTGAAGCCAGAATACAGAGATCAAGTAACAAAATTTCCATGACCCTTGAAATATCTGTAGGAGATTGTACATTTTCTCAAGTTATCAGGTTCTCATTCTAGTATTTCTACATTCTAGGAATACAGAGATGACATGTTAAGGGATTTTGGACTGGCCAGTTTCATTTTACATTATTCAAACCTATCTTAATGTGTCAACACTGCTAATGCTATGACATAAAAGCATCAAGACAATGGACTTAAAGAAGTGATGTTTGTCAACAAAACAAGAGTTTTAAAAAAATGCCAGTAGAGGTTAACTTGCGCCACACTGATATTTGATAAAAACTTGACTCCAACAAGTTTGAGGACAACGCAATCTGCATTACAGTGGAACTCGGATTTAAGGAGCTCAGATTCAATGAGATGAGATAGATTCCCCGGTTTTTTTCTTCTTTAAAATCAATAAAAGTAACCCGGATTCAGCGAGCACTTAAATCAGCGAGCTCGGATTAAATGAGGTCGCTTCCAGGGTGAACAGCCTCTGCAGACGTGGCTTCGCTAATTTTTCTCCCGGAACAAACTTTATCTATTCCCGGAAACCATCCATTGCACCTGCATCGTGAACTATTATTCACTTAGCCGATTGCATGCGACCAATCAGCGGCCTTTTTAAATACCAACACATGTTAAGTTGGCACGTGCACGTGTCTACTCTGGCGTGTGTCGGGGTCGGATGGGCGGCCTGCACACGTATGACTGTGTGTGCATGTCGGGGAGGGGGCACTAGTGGTCCAGGCGTTGAACATCACATACAAACGCGTCATTGTCTTTTTTTTCCCTCGGCGACTGATCAATATTACAATAATTAATAATAAGCTAGTCTTGACGTAGATCTACGTACTGAATTGTGCTCTGGTCTATGGAATCAAAAGTTGCCGGGTTTTTTTTTGCTTGGCTCTACACAGCAACACAACTTTTTGGTAAACAATCGAGATTACACAGGCGTGTGTATTTGAACGAATCTGTCTTTTTTTTACACAGCTCATAATATACAGGCATTTCAGGCACTACTTATGATTTCTCTTGTACATTACTTGCTCAGTGCCTGTAATTATCTACACAAAACCTCGTATTTGCTATAACGAACACTCGGATTCAACGAGATTTTAGGTCAGGCCCGACGACCTCGTTGAATCCGAGTTCCACTGTATAAATGTAATAGATTTGTTGGTAACAAAGTCCTCTTTGAGTTAATTCATTATTATTATGCCGGTACCATAGTTTCTTTCCCCAATTCCTTTCTTTAGCACTCTGCAAAAAAAAGTGTGAAAGAGTGAAAGGCTTGCCTGTGGAATTTTAATGTACACTGCAAACTCCCAAGCATACTGGTTTTCATCTCCTCTTTGAGACATATACATGTACATCGTGCCTGATTGGATGGAGCCCTGGTATCTCCGTCACTTTCAAAAGGCTCCCATACCCGCTGGTGCTGACAAAATGTATACATTTGTTGAAACTTTTTGTACATTACATTGTTAATGTTATTTGCTGATGGTGTGTTCCTTTGTTCTTAATTGCTTTGATGTTAATGTTAACACTCTGCTTGCTTTTTGAAGTTTTATTGAATAAGAAATTTTTCTTCCTTCTGAAATGAAATGGTCAAGAACTTGTCTCAGGAGTGACAATTCCAGTTTGGATGTATGTACTTGCAGTAGACTCAATCTATTACTGTGCAACTTGTACAGAGAATAGTATGAGGAGGTGTGTGTTGGTTTCATTTGCGAAGGATCTGTGTCAGTGACCATGTCAAGTATGTGTCAGTGACCTGATACTATGTCACCACGCGGTGGAATCAGGTTCTCGTCAATTTTTGGGTGTGCAGTTATTAGTATCATCCTAAAGCTTGTGCATTTGTTTTGCTTTTGATGAAAAAAATATCCATTCATCTAGAATACAAGTTGAGATATTTGCGAATGGAGGAGGTGGGTGGTCACCTGGTTTCAGAGGTAAAATTAGTGAGAGAATGGCTACCAAAGATTAGTTATTTCCTTAGCTTGAGAGTCCGTGGAAACTGAAAAATAACATTTTGTGCGCCTTTAAGCAACGTTTTTCAGAAAAATTCACACAGAAATGTGTTCTTTAATGGGCATGAAAGGTGTTGAGCCAAAGAATGGAAATTCGATAAAAATAAAAATCCACAAACCTGCGGAAAAATGCCAATTTCTTCACTTTGATATTTTGACAAGCCCTTGATTTCACCACGCTGCCTAACATATACTCTGCATTGACTGGACTGCGGGTGGCAAGCATAATGTCCATTACACTACCTCAGTTTTCAATGTCTGTGATGAGAAGAGCGTATCCACTTCTTTTTATCCCATAATGCCATATATGCAATTTTTTCCTATCCCTGAAAACAATTTTTTTTCAGTTTACATTGCAGGCAAATGTGATTTACGTTGCGTTATGTAAGAAAATTCCTGTTTTATACCTGAAGCAAATGACATAAATAAAATATTATATTAATAGTACATTTATGCTTATCTTCTTTATATTTATACTATTGTTATTGACATTTTGGAGTGTCACGTTGCTTTTTTTATTGTTACATTTGTGCCAGTGACACCATAGTGCCAGCTTCTCCAGAGCAATAGTAAAACAATCTTTCATCTAACCGAAGACCGTGATACAACTGTGAATTAAGTAAAAGTCATTTTCACTGTCAAAGTGGCAATAATTTTTTTCCAATACTCCACATGATTCATACTGCCACTACTGTAAGAATTTTGTTGGCTGTGTGGTGTGCTGACTAAATGAGTAAATTCTCGGATTTTAGCCCCATGGAACTAGAGGTGTCAAATATGTTGAGTTGGCACTATTTATTCACATGAAATTACAAAAAACATGTTAAACTTTTAAAAAATGGCATCAGATGAAAGAGTACAAATTTGACCCTTGTGATCATTTTTTGCCAATATCTGAATTGCGGTTCATGAGAAATGACTTTGTCAGTGCGCCTCACAGTCATCAGCTAAAAAAACTCATTGTGTAAGTTCAGTTGTAATTGTCCAAGACCCATTACCAAGGATAAATTGGTTGTCTTAGACAAGTGGACATCTTGGACAGTGCCAGAATATAACAAATAAAAAATACAAAGAGGGAAAGTGGGTAGTGATAGTTTGTTCAGGCGGCTTTCTTGGAATGGTGGCTGTGAGAGCAGGTTCAACCGTAGCTAGAGGGGGCAAGTGGCTGATGATGCTTCTATATCCAGATTCTGTACTTGTGTGTCTTACTTTTCCTTGCACAAAAAGACAGCTATCTTATCATAGCGCTCTCGGATTCAGTTCAACAAATGAAATTTTTTTACGAAAGCACATGCACATGTCTAAAAAATAAGAACAGATGGGAAAAGCTGACACAGACTGTCAATGTTTACAACACAGGACTACCAAGGGTTATATATGGAAAACACAGTAATGGTCAGGCTTTCTTGAAACATGCTCATAACTAGTGCTAGTTTATTAGGATGGTAATTCATATTTATTTCTCAAACATCAAAGTAAATGATTTGATCATATCACAACAAGCTGAAATTGTATTTCACAAAATATAAAAATAACGTACTTTCTTATGGTGTTTGACAAAAATGGCGGGCCGCAAACAACTTTATCATTTTGACAGAGTAATTACTAGACACATGAAGTAAATTTTCTTTACAAATGTTGCACTGCACATGTACACACATACTTTAGACAGGAAGGTGTTCTATTAAAAGAAAGAAACATTTTGCTTTCAGCCCACATTCTTTGACAGTTTCAGACCCATTTGCATATTCTTGAAAAGATCCATGTGCATAAATATGCTTTAAGGGGGTGTAGCTATGGTCAACACCCAAATGCTACAGTTTTTGGTCTAACGCTTGCTTTTCTGCATCAAAGGGTGTGACATAGTACAAAAAAAGGTTATCAAGCAAAAAATTCAAGATTTTAGCCTTAGTAATCTCGAGCCATCAAAAATAAAGGATTGGTTCAGCATTTTTAAAACCAATTTTATATTTTGTCAATCATCAACACTCATCAAGATAGAAGCCTAATATTTGGCATGGCGATTACTGTTGGTAGGTAGAACAACCTTACAGAGCCAAATTTGAATGTTCTGTACTGACTTGTGAGCCTTACAGTCCTTGCTATGCTCTACATTCAGGTCTCCAATGTTTTAAGATTTTGTAAAATAAAACAGGCCTAAAACTCCAAATGTGTTCCATAAACAGCAAAAATGCTCCTGTAAAGTTATAGAGAAATGTGTATAAAAGATTGTGTCCAAATGTGAAACAATTCTGACAGTAACTTTCTGAGATCTACTCAATATAGTGTTGCAACCTGGTCAGATAAACAATTCTGAGAAAACTGCAAAGAGAGATAATTTTTGGTGAAGATTTTCCTACATTGCTACCTCTCTTAAATGCTTTTTCCAGCTATTTATAAGTTTGATAAAGGAATTAGGCTTCTAAAGATGGATCCTTGATATTGATATCTATTAAGATACTCCAAAATCCGAAAACTGGTATTTTTTCAAAATATTTGCTGATCTGACCAGTGGATCCCCTTAAAAGTTTCAAGAAAAAAAACATTGCTAATCCAAACCAGGCTTTAAAATTATTATAAACAAAACGAAGAAAGGCTTTTTTTTAGAAGGGTGTAAAGACATCATAGTCTAATTCAATCTACAGGTCATCAGTCAAATGGAGCATGCACACTGACAAACGGTACTTAAATCACACATCAGTCAATGAGTCATAAGTGCCCAACACCACAAAAAGTTAACATTCTGTTCAACCCTGGTATATTCAACTCATCTTCTTTAGTGGTTCGTAGTCATTTTTCTCCCAGTTATCAGTTTAGCTATTACCGTACCCTGTTTGTTTCTACACAAATTGGTCTGGAATCTTTTCTATTGTCTTTTCCTCTGGGTGTCCTGTTATCATCTATGTCTCTTATTCTAAATCTTCCCGCAAACTTTTATGCTGGCTCCTCTTTCACCTCTCGTCCCACCTCTTCTCTTGCCTCTCGTATCAGCCTGTCAATCACCTTCATTTTTGTCCCTTCAGGGGTTTCTTCCTTCATCTCTTCTGTCAATTCATCTGTCAACTCCTCTTTCATTTCTACCATCTCTTCTCCTGTCTTTCTCTCATCAACTGCCTCCTCTTTTATATCCTCAACTGCCTCTCTTGTCAACTCCTCTGCTTCTTCAACTTTTTCCTCTTTTTCAGCTGTGAGAAGCAGATCCACTTCTTCCAGTGGAATGCGGACCCGAATCTCTTTCTCCGTCATGAGATCTGTCATTTCCTGAAGTTCTACATCCTCAAAGACAGCAATGCCATCCATGTACAGAGCCTGAGATATAAAAATGAAGTCGACATTCATAATATGCACACTCATCATACTGAATCGTGAGACACCCTAGAACACAAATACACTAAGGCTCAAAATAGAAAACATGAAGGAGGTTTGTTTATGAACTCAAGCACAAATGAATAGCAAAACTGATTGAACATTTGGAAACATAATCTGAAATGGACAAAAGGAATGGACTATCATCACGAACAAGATAATTATCATGGATAGTCTGACAAAGTAAAATAAGGATGGTACCCAAATACAACATAATACAGAATTTAAGATGTCATGATCAGTGACAGAATCTATGTTTACATATTATATTTCCTAAAATATACTTGGTATCAAATAGTCTCACACAGAACTATTTACATAGAAAAGTTCAAAGGACATAAGAGTTACGAAACAAGACACATAAACTGAATTGAAACGGCCATTTACTGAGAAGGGGGGCAAGCTTCTTCAGAGCATTTTGAAAGTGCTGAGTGAGCAGGAGGACACATCCCCGGTAGGAAAAAATACAATATTGTGGGAACAAGAGATGGAGTCTAAATTTCAACGAAAGATGTGATATAATGCACCATTATGAAATATATATTGAACAGTCCTTACACCTTAACGCCAGTGATTAAAATGCACACAGAACTAAGAAATTTGATCTGGATTTGGATAATTAATCAATTTAACTAATAGTAAGTTTTAATAAGGAAACAGTATACTTAAATCTGAAAGATAACATTTCAACTTTTCTAAATTAAAAAAAAAAACCCATAAAAAAACAAAACAAAAAACAAAGCGTTCACCTTCGACCATGGGCAGCTCTGTAAAGCCCTGTACAGAATTCCTTTTGCCTTGTTTGACCTGCCATGTTTTGCCTGAAACAGATTTATATATCATGATTTTGAGACTAACTACATCAGATTGCACACAGCAAAATGCAGTTCGTACATTATGAGAAGGACTTGCATTATCAGCAAAATTTCTTCAACATACATGTGAAAAAAGGAAAAAATCTTCTTTGACAGTGTTTTTTCCTTTCTTGCTTCTTTATTTTGTGTGGTTTTAGCAGTGGTTTTACAGCGCTCACAACTGCATAAGGTCATATGAGCGCCACGGGGTGGATGTCAACAGAGAAGTCCTTACAGGGAGTCAGGCTTACTCTGCTCACCTCTCTAGCTTCAACAGCACAAAGTCTGCTTCGACTATCAAGGCACCCCCGAAATAGCAGGTCACAAGAGTGTGACAAACATGCAAAAGAAGTAGAGGAAAAATGACGATAGTAAGGATAAGGAAAGAAAAATCAGCAGTTCCCTGTTGCAGTTCAGGCACAGTTATGAGCGTGACATAGATGAATGGGCCCATAACATTTACATTTACAATTCTACTGTGCATAAGAACATGGTTAATGTCACCCCTTTGGGAATGGCCTAAAGACACTTCAGTCAGTAGCACCGCCCCGGGGGGTATTGCTTCTTTGGTCCCATACAAGTGATCAGAGGAAAACAAATACAGTGGATGTCGCATTCAACAAGGTCACATTCAACGAGAAGTCGGCTCCAACGAGGCCATCCTCTATCCCCGATTTTTTCCTCTATATCTCTTTGTAAATGTACGTCAGCTCCAACGAGGTTGCAAACAGACCCAAGTCCCTTTCAACGAGGTCGCGATAACCAAATAAAAGGAATTAGGGGCCCAAAAGCGAAGAATGTTTCTCCTTTCTCTCCATCTCATGTGAAGCACAAGGCACATCCTCGATTCCTAACACATTGCATTGCTAGATCTAGTGTGCCTCCTAATATATTGGCCCCAAAGCCAAGAGGGTGGGCGAGGTTAGACTACGGTAGGGATGGGAGGGGGTGGGTGGGTGGGAATGCAATGCGAGCTGTGTGAAACTGAATGAACTCTTGGGTCGGTAGGTCTAGATCGAGACCTTCATTTTTTTTTTCAGTTTTCTTTTCTTCCCCTGATCAGAAAATCCAAGCTCCCGCCTTTATTTTATGCAGAGTAGATCTAGGCCTAGATGCGAGAGGGTATGTTTCCACACGAGAAGTGTTCCAGAAAAAAATATCTTTAAAATGCTGAAATGACGGTCAGAACACAGCTCAAACACGTGCACACTGATGCTGTTTGAGATTTTCGTCATCTGGGGTTTGAACTGTTTGAATTACTGGTACTGGTACTTCGTGTAATATAATAACTTGTCTCCTTTCTTTTCTTTAGCCTTAGTCACGTTCAACGAGAGGTTGGATCCAACGAGGACAACAAGTCGGTCCCGGCAACCTCGTTGAACGCAACAGCCACTGTAGTACGATGTTGCCTCTTTCAAAAATAGTAGTGTGATCTGATGTTATTTTGTTATCCACAAGAATGTTTTTAAGCAAGTGACTGACTGATTGTCATGATTCCAAATGCTTTACCTCACCATCAACCAAGTTTTTACTTTTTTGGTGGCAGGTTGATTTGACTGAGTTGACATCCCAGCAGACAGAAGGAGATACTTTATAAAACAACAGGAATCATACTTTTGTCGTCTGCGAGACACTGCAAAGCGCTTAACAATTACATTACACAAAACTCTGGAAAACTATTCAGGTGAATATTTTCAACTCCACGTGACACACATTGACATTACTCGACAGCGGAATCTTTGTCTCCTACCTCAAATGTCAGATAAAGTTTCCACAAGAGAGGACAATGTCTGCTTGATGGCTTCTGAAGAACTTGCTCAAAGATAGATCTCAGTCTGTGCACAGTGCCACCATCTGAAATTCCTGATGAAAAGGGAAAAGTTACATTGGACAAAGCGCTTTGCATATTAACAGGCTTTCCTTTTACAAGCCATTCACAACTTTGAAAGCATTGAACACAATATCTTCCAGTACAGTCCGTGCTGGCTTTAAGCACGCCGGCATAAAGCATGTTTCGGACTCAAGCACGCTAAACGGTTCCTACCGAATTTTTGCTATATAAATTACACGCCATAAGCATGGTAACTTCGGCATCAGGCACACTTCATTTACAAGACAGTCAGTTTAGTTTTAGACTTAGTAGAGGTTTTACGGCGCTCGTAAACTGCATAAGGTCATATGAGCGCAGGAAGATTAGAGGTGTTACAAGAGAGTAACAAACATAACAAAGAAGAAGGGGAGAAAAGGACGATAGATGTTAGATAGGAAAGAAGAATCAAACCACACCAGAGCACCCGCCAACCACCCACTCAAGACAGTCAATACTTTCATGATGACACATCGAAGTTCGAACACAGTCTACACCGCAGCAGTGGAGTGTGTTAAGAGAAACTCACACAGGCGGAGGGGAAGGCAGAGAGATGCACACTGCCGCAAGCATGGACATAGGATCTAGCCTAGGGCAAAGCTACACACAGACAAAAAATACAAACAGAGTCGTGGAGACGATAAAGGAAGGCTGGCTGCGATTTCCCCTTTAACCCTCGCTATTCATTAATCCTGATTGTGTATCACGTGCGAGGTGGCTGGTGGGATGAAGGCGGTGGTATGAAAGTGGCACAGCAGGTAGTGGGAAGCACAGGCAGTGTATAGGTCTAGTGTGCTGTATCGCGACTGGCCGTGTAAATTAAGTATTCATTTCCCATTCGACCAAAAAACAAAAACAAACAAGCAAACAAAAACTACCAGGGAGGGCAAAAAAAACAATGCACACTTTTGCGGGACCACTATAGGCCTACTTACAAAGTGAAATAGCACAGAAATTTTCTAAATGAAAATCTCGGGATTATGTCTACTTCGCACTCAAGCACGCTTCGGCATTAAGCACGCTAAAGCTTTCTCCCGATGACCGTGCTTAAAGCCTGCATGGACTGTACATAATAATATAACTACTGTTGCAGAAGAGTACATTTCATGTTGTGCCACAATTATTGACACTGGAAAAGTAAAGGCCCTTTCAAAATGAGCAAGAATCTCTACAAATAGGGATTTCTTGCATCAGTATCTGAGATGTAATAGTAATACTCCTCACCTTACAAGTAAGGGTGACATTTTAACTCCTATGTGGAAAAGATATTTTATTGATTTTATTCCAAGCAGGTAGAATGGAAGCAGACAATCACCAAACTGATCCAAATTATGTCTATTAACTTACGTTAACATGCAAAGATGTCATTTTAAAAATAAGTTCTAAACAAATAATTTTGCACTGAGCAAAAAATTCTTCTCATGATTATGACCTATCTTTGTCAAGCAAAAAAAAAAGGCAAAAAGGAAAAGAAATCTGAGAACTCGATCTGAAATTAGATTGATGTTTTCTGTATCTCGTTCACATCTATGAATGAAAAGCCTATTAATTTCTTTAAATCATAAAATGAAAAGACACATTATGCAGAGTTGCTTTTACTTTTGCAGGAAAACTTCATACCTGTCTGGAGGACGTTCATTTCTCCCATGGACTCTGTGACTGTTTTATGTCTCAACATCTCTGAAGCAACAGCACAAAGTGACGTCAGGGCAGAAGATGAATTTTTCAAAGTCCTGTCAAAGAATTTCCTCAGTCTGCCAAAAATGTGAGATCGTGACTCAAGGTTGATGAGGGTAACTAGCAATAATGGACAATCTGGAAATTCCTGGAGAGCAGAGTCAACCAAGTTCTTCATTACGGTCAGCGGGGTGCTTGATATATTCATGATGTTAGTCAGCATGGAAATCTGTGACAGGTAAAGGTCCCTTATGAGGAAAGAAAAGGGTTGATGGAGCATGTCCTTTTTCTGATGAGATTTTATATTTTCTCTGACAGAAGAATACACAAGGTTGGCAGTTTTCAAATCAGACGCACAGAATTCGAAGAGAGCAAAGCAGTCTACAAAAGCAGCAGAAACATCAGCGCTTGTTGGACATGGCTGGGCTATGAAACTGTCTCTCAACTCTTCTATCTTCTTCTCAAAGCGTTTTCTGATTCGCAGAATAAACGCTGGACTGACATCATAGGCTGAAACAGACTTGAATGATTTGCTCTCCATAAGAGCCCCAAGACAAGCCATTACTTGTTTTTTATCCTCTGCACTGGGTTCACTATGTCGACCTCTGACCCCTATGTGTTCCAAAGGTTCAAAATTGAGCAATATCTGAGAGTAGGTTTTGCACAGGTGACACAACCCAAGCTCTTTCTCTGGGTCAGACATAGTTGTTGATCCGAGAAACATTCCCAAAGCAACATCGATCATGGAGACTGTCTCACTCATCTTGTCAGAGCTCGCCCACAGAACTCGGATGTAGGCCTCCCACACCACAAGATTATTTCGGTTCTGCATTTCCTTCAACAGATTCTTACCAAACTTTTTCAGTTCTTTCCTGTCAGACTTCTGAAGCTCGGACACCTTTGTAGCTCCACATTTCACAACCTCAAGGTCAAGTCTCAACAACGTGAACAGAGTTCGGTTAGAGCCAACAAAATAACACTCAGCTTGCTGCAAAATTTCCTGTAAGAAAGACAACAAGTATTCCTTAGGCTTCCATTTGGAATCCATTACGCTATTTGAGAAGAATAGGGAAACATACGGAGTCTGCTGCAGAGAGGTCAATGAGTACTGTGTAAACTGCTGGCTGTCACAATCCTCACAACACTCATCTAGTCTTTTATCTATCCGCTGGCTCGTCAAGCCTAGAAAATTCAAGAACAAGCAGACAATCCTAAAACACGACTGAGACTTGGTTATTCTGAACAAAACTGGGCTGATGTCGTCGTACAAGACAAGTCGGTCAGGATCCTCACAATCCTCCTCTGTATCACCCTTTGACTCATCTGGTCGCCATGGTAACCAGTGAGCATTCTGACGGATCTTTTCCATTTTCAACCATTTCATTGCTCGGGAGAAACTTTCCTGAACAACAGCATCCTCAAGCTCATCTGTGCTGACAGCTGGGAAAAAAGACATAAAAGGCTAATAATCTCCTCCACTAACCATTGTGAACACATCATTTGACAATATGGCTGCCTGCTGTTAGGAACCCCCCCCCCCCCCCCCCCAACATTCTCAAAGCCTACTAGATCTAATCTTATATTCTTTTAATTTTTGAACAGAAAGTGCAATTATCATACATGTACATCTCTTTCCCAAAAATAAACTTCCTATATATGCCAAACAACAGTGAAATAGTGACTGTTTAACTGTACGTTCAGAAAAATGCATGCCTCAGTCATATCATGCATTCATTACTGCGAAACGTGCATGACTAAATACATGTTCACATCCAACAGCTAAGACAAGACAAAGGGAAAAATCTCATAACAGTTGAGATTTACTTGCCCTACAGGGAATTTCTACACAGGGAGATGGTTCATTTGGCAAATTGTGTGACACAACTTTGTCTTTTTCATGACTCACATGGAAGTTCAGCACCAGCCACAGCATTATCACTGTCGTCATCGGTCCATTTAGCCCATCCTTTTGCATGCGGTTCTCCAAACTTTGGTGTCCCACTTTCCCAGAACTCCTCAAAGCCCTGTGTCCGCTGCTGCGTGGAGCTCAGATTGTGAGATAAAGGACAGAACAAGTTGAACTCAATCAGGGCCTGGAAACTACACACTGCCCGCTCAGTGTAGCCAGCTTGGTGGAGGAAACTGCAGTATTGTGAGAACAGATCTGAATGGACATAGAGAGAATAATCATAACGATGATAATTATAATAATAATAATGATGATGATATTATAATAATAATAATAATAATGAATTGCTATCATAGGCAGCCTGTATGGTAAAGAGAGAAAAGTAAAGGAAATAATAGCAAGCAACTTGAAATAATCAAGAATGCCACAAGTCACCACAAGTATTCTGTTTGTGGAAAATTCTCCCCAAAAAATTGCATTTAAAGGTCACAAGCAAAGCCACAAGAAGATTTAACCAGGAGGGAATAAACCATACACAAACACTTCTTCTATGAATCGGCCAGGAAATCTGGGTTGCAATGGAATACAAACATAAGATAAATAATCAGCATCAATATCACATCAAGACTGGCATTCTTACAAATTTGAGAGGCTTAAATAATTACGTCAGAGTGATTTTATCAACATCAGCAGTACTTCATAAAAACAAGGAGAAATTACTTATTAAATGCAAACTGAAACTATAATCATGAATTATAATGGACATTTATTTATTCATTAAAAAATTTATTTACTCATTTATTCGTTTATTCATTTATTTATTTACTTTAAAATTCATCATTTTTTTTGCACAGACTATATTTAACTAAGAGATTTTACCAATTATTTTCTCTTCTAGATCTGCTGGCTTGTTTCTAGCAGTCACTTGGCCATCGAGAATCAGCACGAGTTTCTTGAAACATTTGTGGTAACACTTGACCATGTGGCCGAAGGAGAACCTGGACAGTCGAGACTGCTGCCGGCACAAATACTGACGCCAAAGGTCCACATTGGCGGGGTGAATAAACAGCAAATCTTCCCATGCTTTCTCCAACTAAGAGAAAGAAAAATGAGATATAATTCGGTGAAATTTATACCAAAGCTCACAGTCTTTTAAGAACTGCAGTAACATGATATATCTATTACTATTAGAGCCATAACCCCTTCATGATCTGTATAATATGTTGAGCACTGCTCATTACTTTCTATTATGTGGCAAAGGAGGCATGACGCTGTCGTCAAGCTTTGAAAAGTGCAAGGACCACAATGAAGAGCATTATTCATTATGTTTTGTATTCACCATACTGTTGCTATTAGACATGCTTCAGAAGCCTAACCACAGATTCAAATTCGGCCATACTTTTTCGGTACAAAGAAATTTTGCTTTTAGACACAACTTGTCATATTTCCAATCCAAATCTAATCATAGGCCACTGACAGCACAAGCGAGCGCCACCCTTCATCTCTCGGTTTTCAAATTGTGCATGGTGCATTACAAAGGGTTTAACCACACAAATTCAGTTCTCTATAAGGGAGATGAGAAGGGTTGGAAGGGTGTATTTTTATCGAAGTACATTGCCTTTTACTCCCTGAGAAAAGATAAGACATACCTCATGTTCGCCACTTTGTATGAATTGTTAATGACATTCATTGGCTCGCAAGGTATTAGACAGAGAGAAATAATAGCAGCATGATTGAGACTGATGTACAGTTCCTCAAGTTGGACATTACTCATACATTTAAAGTCTTTCAAAAACATAAATGCAATAGCAATAGTGCCCTTTTGAAAGGAATTCAAGAGCCTGATACTACACTTGGAGAATTATTACAATTCACTTCATACTATCAAAAGAATCGCACCCCATTGGCAAAATGTAAAACTCAAAGTTTTATAAAAGAATATGTGTATATGTGTGAGAGGAGTATTAGAAAGTGTTTCAAGCATTGTGCGTACTGAACAACCTTTTCTGCATCCCAGATGTCCTGAAACTGTTCCAGTTGTGCCAGTCGGAGCTCAAGTGAAGAAGGGTTTGCCTCAAGAGCTTTCTCAAGAATTGACAGCTTCTTCTCAATCACTGCTCTCGTAGGCTGGTACACCTCTTTCAGGCGGACATCCTCAGTGCGAAAACTTTTGTCTTCTTGCACAACTGTGTCCTGAAACCTGACAAAGTCTAACCACAACTGGATGTTCTGTGGATCTTCTCTAACCTTCTGGTTGAACTGTGCCACTTTATGAAAAATTTCATCCATGACTAAATCCTCACTTTCTAACTCTTGTGGCTTGCTATAATCAGTTCCTTTTCCTTGTGCATACAATGCAGTAGCTTCGTCCAAGCAGCTGTAGCTCCCTAATGCCGTGGATGTGCTGGACTCTTCGGCAGACTCTTTTGGCAAAGATATGTACTCTCTCACAGTAGCAGTTTCATTTTTGTTCATTTGAGAAGAAATGTGGCTTCCTCTCTTACGAGACTGTCTCAGAGCAAGTTTCCCGAAGTACCTTGAACTTTTTCGTTTAGAATCTCCATCTTTACCAGACTTTGGATCTTTGGCAGAAATATCTGGTTTTCCAAGACAATTAAAACTATAAGTCCTATATTTGGGAATGTGCAATTTGGACACTGACTGATAATGCCATAAGTTTTTGTTGGCCTTTTTATCTAAGACAAATGCCTGTCCAGGTTTTAAATCTGGAACATCGTTCATAAAAACTGCTTCCTTTGGAATTAATGGCAAGTCAGAAAAGGCGCTGAAATGAAAAAGAAAAACAATACAAATGAAACTATTCTCTGAACAGCACTAGTGATAGATAGAACAGTTCATTATTCAATACTTTATATCTATTTAAGATAGGCCTAAATACAGTCATATAATTGAACCACCATATAACCCGCAAAAATTAATCTACAATGGAATATAAATAGATAAAAGAATTGCAAACTAAGAAAGAACAATTTTTCTTTTCAATCCTTTGAAACCTGACCTCCTGTAGCTACTGTGTCCCTTTGTCCGACCTCCTGAGCAATTTGTGCTATATTATTCGTTATTTCAAATATTCGTTTGAAACTGCAAGCAAAAAAAAGAAAAAGAAAAAGAGATGTGTCACATGACCCACAAGCACTAGTAAGACAGAAAACTATAAGCTCCCATAAGAACTTCTCTTAGTCAAGCAAAAAATAATATATTTTCAGCTATCACTGAATTTCAAAATATGCTGCTCCATTAGTCAAAAAGGATATATGTATCAAAACTTAAATACAGAGTGGGAAATCACATTAGGACATACATTTGAAAAAAAAAAACATCTGTGAAATTAAGTTCTGTCCCCAGTATACAGAAGACAATACATATATATAGAAAACAGCCCCTACCTCTGAGGAGATGGACTTCGGGATCTGTGTTTCCGATGCTTATGTTTGTGCTTATGCTTTTTGCTTTTCTTGGCCTTCTTTTCTTTGTAACGCTCCTTTCCTTTTTCCTTCTTTCTCTTTTCAAGGGGTGAATTTTTTTCATCTGTTAAAGAAAATTTCAAAGATTTGTTCTCACAATATATATATTTATACATATACATACATCTATAATATAAATACATATACACATGTGAGTGTAAAAGTTGCAAAAACATCACTGTTGGTATTGTCAGTTTCTCACATTTATACATCATTGATTTTAAAAAATATAGTGATTTTCAAGAGAATCTATTATCACACTTGCTCATTCAGTTTCAGAAAAGTTGTTCATTTGATGCTTTAGCTTTGTTCTGTTCTTTATTAATTAAAATAATGTTTCTTTAACGATCTCGCTTTATAACTTGTTCTTTTGTTTTTATCAACAAACATAGCCTTTGAAAAGCTAGAGAAAGAATTGATAAAAGCAAAATTATAAAGCAAAAGTTTTAATTCCATTGTCAAATTCATAAATCAGTCATAACAAGATAGAAAGCAAAGAACAAAATCTTGAAGGACAAGACACACTGATGCCCAGCTTAGGCTGAATCACCAAGGTCTTTATTTTCATTTTATTCATCAAACACCATATTTTTACTTAATTATACCTGCTGAGGAGGACTTCCTTCTCTTCCTTGACACCTCAGTAGACACAAGGTCCAGAGACTCATCACTGCAAGAAAAAAGGTGACAAAGACAAAAAGGAAATCTGAAGATTAGCATGAAGACAACATGGCTACAAAATGTCAAAGTAGTATTAGCAATGCAGCACTTAGAGTTCTCTTGTGAAAATGTTTGCAACATAAGAGTCAATATTCATAGAGACCTAATTCTATTAAAGTTTGCAATTAGATTTAAGAATCAGAACAGCCTAAACCTGAAACTAAACCTTGATTTTGTATTAATCATTAAAGAGACAGGTTATCATTGTGCAGGAGGAAGGGGGGGGGGGGTGACAAATTGGTTCCAAATCTACCTCAAAGGTATGATTGACACTTTTTGTGACTCTACACTGGCACTGGATACTCCCAGCCTTTTACAACTTCACAAATAATGTAGAGCAGAAGCTTTACAAAGCGACAGTTCGGGTGAACGAAATAACAGAAAGAAATAAGGTTAGATAGGAAGGAAGAAAAATTACAAAGGGTGAGATGAGCTGGGGTGATGGATCCAGAGATTGATGCCGATTTATGACTAGCCAAGAGTAAATATTCTTTCAGACTGACAGAGAGTGATCACAGCAATCTTACAACATTTAATGTCCGCTGGCTTGCTCAGTATCGAAAGAACCTGACACTCACAAGTTTCCTCTTCTTAATCTTCTTCATAACAAAAAAAAAAAACATTCTTAATTCTTAGTCCCATATGACCATCCCCCCCCCCCATTCCTTAGTGTCTATGTGGAGCAAAAATCCAACACAAAAAAACAAAAAAACATGCCAAATTGCCAAAGGCTTATTAAGCAATGGTCACGTCATTGCCAGTAGCAATGTTCTGAACTAAAGTTAAGACGTCAGACTTTAAGTTAAGGGCACATTTGCTCTAACATAAAAACTTGCCTTTCAGTAGAAGTTTGCCTTACCTTTCATCACTTTCTTCTATCACTTGAATTGGACTCTCTTTTTTAACACTTGAAACTGGCTGTTTCTGCGCAGCTAAAATTGCTTGCAGTGTTGAAGGGGCCAGATCAAGTTGTAGACTTTCCAAACCCTGACCACCATTTTCTATAAAATGTCAAAGTATAAAAAGAACACATTAACCTTAGAAAAAACAAAAACAAACCATATAAAGCTTGAAATTGAAAGTATACATTTGAGAGGGTACAGAAAAAAAAGAAGAAAAAAAGTAATATATATACATCATAAACTATAAACCAACCATTTCCCACTACGAAAATCATACATAATGAAACAATTATTGTGGTGTTAGTGGCCCAGTAGTTGTGGAGGATCTCTAAGACCCGTGGGTTCGAATCCTGTCAGGGGCCCGAGGTTGTAGTGAAAGGCAATTTCCACAAACATTTTCCTCACTTCACAAAGGCAGAAATGGGTACCCGGCAATAGACCGTGAAAGATCTTGTCAGTTTGACTTTGTTAGTGTTTGAGTGCACGAAATCCGTAGCTTGCACTGTACACGGTCACTATGCTACCTAAAAATTACGAAGTTCTATTCTATGTGCTCTGGACCTAGTATTGAGAAATTTGCTGTCAAAGATTTTGAGAGTTACATCATGGGAGGCTTAAATTTCGAATGCAAAAAAAAAAAAATTCTTTGAATATCTTAAAATATGAGTCTGAATATAATCATAAGATTTTGATAGAGCAGATAGAAAATTTGGAGTTTGACTTTAAGTAAGGTCTTTGTAACTCAAAACAGCCAAAAATGTCACATGGAACTAAACTTTGTAATTCTGATCGGTAGCGACTCGTGTGCTTCCCGAGAATGGCTCCGAGTCCAAGTGTTCTAGTTCTACTTTTTTCTAAGGTCTACTGGGATATTAATAATTTAAAGTGCATAGAGCATACTGTAGAGAGTCAAGTCAATATACGGTATATAAATGAAATTCTTCTTATTAAATTATATTTTTGAATAATAATTAAATTTTTAAATAATATAAATAATCTAGAGGCTACAGCAGACTCAGAAGTGTACACGTAGTGTAGTAGTAGGCCCCTACTCACTGGTAGACAGTAGTCTCCGACTAAGATCCCGGTGCTCGAGAGCAAGGAAATTGCGTGATATTAGACGACAGACTAAGGGAAGAATCTGCAGTGATCCATGTTATGTTTTTTGTTTTAGTAGAGGTTTCACTGCGCTCGTATCTGCATAAGGTCATATGAGCGCCAAGGGATGGATGTCAACAGAGAAGTCCTTATACAGGGAATCAAGACTTACTCTGCTCACCTCTCTAGCTTCAACAGCACAAAGTCTACTTCGACTATCAAGGCACCCCGGAAATAGCGGGTCACAAGAGTGAGACAAACATACAAAAGAAGTAGAGGAAATGACGATAGTAAAGATTAGGAAAGAAAAAGCATCAGTTCCCTGTTGTAGTTCGGGCACAGTTATGAGCATGACATTGTTGGATCAGCCCATTTACAATTCTACTGTGCATTAGAACGATAAATGTCTCCCCTTTGGGAATGACCTAAAGACACTTCAAACAGTGGCACCTCCCCGCGGGGTAGATCCATGTTAAGGCCCACAACCGGTAAAATAGTGCCCCTCCACTCTAAACTGAACTGACGTGACCCTGGGTAGGTTCATATATGGCGAGCAAAGAGTGGTCAACCTTGATGACCAATCACAGCGGCATGAGGCATGCCATTTATTTATTATCCTATCGTGACTCAAGTTCCACACTTATCCAACACATATCCAGTTGCCCCTCCCCTCCCCTTATCTGTCCAAAATTTATAGCTTTCCATCTCTGACCGAGTTCACCCACCTTTGTAGTTGCGCACCATTACGTTGTGACCACACCAATTAAAATTTAGTCGGGTCTCGCAAATCCAGGAAATAGAGACAATTAATTTACTGTTGTGATGGTCAGGGAAGAGTTCACTGTTTGATGTGACCCGCCTGGAGTGAATGTGTAGGCCCTACCCACCCAGCGTGAGATGAAAATTTAGGTGGAGGGCTCAGATGCGAGTGCAATATTGGGGGGAACAAACACGTCGGTTAGGTGTGATTCCGTCTGGAGGCAAAGATGATTGTACCGTTTCATAGAGTTTTACAGTGCTTATAATTTATTAGATCACATTCACTTCACAAGAAAGGCTGATCTTTAACGTAACAGGCAGTTCAATGATCTCAACTTTTCACTCTTCATTGATCGGCTGTTCCCGTCCGTGTTTTTGTACCGTAAATTATTATTATCTGAAATGCAGGATCTTCTTAGCCGGAAGTAGATCTAGACTTTCATAGTGAACCAGAGCGGGACCTTTGTAAAGTAAAAATTGTTTTCTTAAAACAATTGGGATCTTAAGCGAACTGGGATCGTAGGCGGTGGGATCTTAGGCTTAGGCGGAGACTACTGTACTTATTAAGTAAATTATTTTCTAAGCCTATTTTTTATTATTATTTATATATAAAAGAGATCTAGCCTATTCATTAACCAACCATAACAAAAGCGGATAATAAGAGAATGTCAGGAGTACGTCATTGGCCGATATTTGTAGTAACAGCCATCTTGTTTGACCTCGCAAGGGAGATGCCCGCCACCGCGTCACTTGATCATGATTATAAAAATAGTGATGATTTTGCGATGCTTCTTTTTCTCAATTTACGAAGAGCACAGCATCAGAATCAATCTGGGCGGAAGAAGGGTGCTGCACGATCACAGACAACCGAACCGAAAAGTTCATCAAGTTGCAAAGAAAATAGGCCTAGATCTAGATCTAATCCGAGTCGGCAGGCTGCCAGCTGCTGTCGTGCGGTCCTGATGCTACCATGACTGACAACAAAGTGGGAATCCCTCAATGACGTCAAACAAGATGGCTCTTACTATAAATATCGGCCAATGGCATTGCCTAGACCTACTCCTGACTTTCTCTACCACTTGAGCAGCTTGTAAGAATAATAAAAAATAGGAAATGCCTATTTCCAACACCGCGTTGCTTAGCGCCAGTGCTAAATAAAACACTGCGTGCAAGTAGCACCAGTGCTGAATAGAACACCGGGTCGCCGTGTGTTAAATATAACGCTTAATCTACCTTTCTTTGTTGGGAGTTGTAATGGCCGTCTGCGTATGAAGGCAAACCATCATTTTATGAGCATGGGCAAAAACGGCGAGACTGAACTGCAAATTCTCTTTCATCCTTGACAGGGCCTCATATAAGCAAATAACTCTCCAGCCTTCAGAGTTTACCGAAACATAAAATCTAGGCCACAGGCTCCTTCATCCACAACCAATGTTATGGGGTGAAGCAACCAATGTTAACTCTTCTGGGGAAAGAGCTTCAAGCTGTTTTGCTCAGTTGATGAAGAAAAAGCTGTCTTAAGGACTACTTTTAGCAAAATATCGCCGTAGTAACTGGTGTTTCAACGAAAAAAAGGGAGGTTGCTTTAGGTTTGTGTGCCACTCTTATTTTGGGGCTAAATCTAGATCTAGATCTATATAGACTCTATCTAGATTCTAGATCTAGATCTAAATCTAGATCTAGATCTAGATATCTAGATCTAGATCTAGATCTAGATCTAGATCTAGATCTAGATCTAAAAACAAAGTTTTAATTTTAAACGATTTTTTTTTACTCCAGTGCCCGACAGCTAAAAAAACAAACGTGCTGCCCGAACCGGTACGATTACTCTAGATCTAGATCTAGATTCTAGTACTGGCGTTTCAAATAGATCTAGATCTAGATCTAGATCTAGTATGGGCGCTATTCAGAATGCGGCGTTTCAAATAGCATGGGAGCTATTCAGAACGCGGCGTTTTTGCAAATAGGCCAAGCGCCTGCCTAAAAAATAAGAAAAAAATAACTCCTGTCGTTACTGTAGTTGTACACTACAGGATCAATTACCTTGAAGATCATCATCAGAATCTGTCACTTTATTTCCTACAGATGTGGCAGAAGGGAACAAGCCACTCGCCACAAATAGTTGCTGGGTTGAGCGAGATACGTTTCCAACACTATCACTGTCTGCCATCTTCTCTTCTTGCCTTCTTGAATTCTTCCTTGAACTTCTACTTTCGTTTCTAAGCACAGATATGCCAGTAGTTTACTAGATCTTGATCCAGATCTAGTAATTTTCACCAGAATGCACGCATCGGTTTGGGTGCTCTTATCGAGAAAAAAATCTCAGAGCAATAAAAATTCAATATAAGATAACGATAAAATACATTGTTATGAAACAGTTGACCTATTAGATCTAGTATAGCATGGAAATTCGCATATTACATTTCATCATACTTGTAGAGAGCGTATCATGAAATTTGGCTGGATTCGTCTTGGCCACTCTAGGCCTATTAGGCAAAACAGTCTTTTGCAAGTAAAGTCAGAGACACTAGTGTCTCTGTTTTAGTGTCTCTGGTAAAGTGTAAAGTTCTCAAATTAACAACGAAAAGTTGAATCGGGATTTGTCCTGAACGGCGATAGGTCCAGTCCAGAACTACTGGACAAAACTGCGCTCTGCTGCGTTCATTGTTTACTGTTTACTTACATTCACTGGTCTTGAACATTTCAATATGAAGACTCCACAAGTCGGCCCTTGCACTGAAATTTGGAGAACAAAATTGGATGAAGAATTCTGTTCCATGACTGTTGCTACGTTGTTCAAGTGAGTAGACTAGATTTATCATTTAGACTTGTCTAGATATTAGATTCTAGACATCCAGAAGCTCCTGGTCTACGGAACGTCAACCGCCCTCATCAGTGCAGTGATACATCTTCTCATCTTCTAGATCTAGACTAGTCTAGCCTGGGCCTGGGCAGGCCTAGATTCTAGATCTACCTACGTTCGTGAACGTAGCTTGCAGGCTGTATTCACGGCACCCCGAATGTAGTTTACAATTTTTTTTAGAATGATCTTGCTTACTTCACCCCATACCTTTTTTTTTTTTTTTACTTTTCCCTTTTGCTTCTTCTTTTTTTCACCCCCTCCCATGCCCGTCTTCCTGCCTTGGCCTTTTCTGTTCTCTCGTTTCTTCAAACGACTTTTATTGTCAAGCTCTGCTGGGTCCGCACACGGGAAGAGGATTGAAGTCGTGCTAGCGAGGCCGTGTTGACCGCGGCTGTTTTGCTGTGCCCGCCTTCGCCTTCGGTAAGTAAACTCTGTTGCATTCGGACCACCCCTGCATTATTTTTCACGCGAGTATTCCTGTGCTGTTTCCTCATTCACTTTGAGCGACTATAGCGTTTCAGTCATGCCTCTGTGCCAATGATGGAGAATCCAGGGCGCCCTGAATGCAGCCTGCAAACTACGTTTACAGCGCCATGAACTGCTCACTGTGTTTCAGAAAACAAAAATTTTATTACTATAGATTTAGGCCTACTATAAAAGTCACCCCTAAGATCCCGCTCTGATTCACTCTGAAGGTCTACATTCAGCTAACATCCCATATCTCAGATCAGAATTTTCGGAACCCAAACCCGAGCGGGCGCAGCCAATCAACCAAGAGTGAAAAGTTGAGATCATTGAACTGCCCATCACATTAAAGATCAGCCACTCTTGTGATTGTGATCACATAAAAGCGCTGTAAAATGTAAAACTTGATGAAATTGTACAATGTTTGACCGAGATGGGATCACACTAAGGTGTGAACTGACCAAAGTATTTGTTTTCCCCAAACATCACACTCGCATCTGAGCCCTCCAACTAAACCTACATCACACTCTGGGTGGGTAGGGCCTACAAGTTCGCTCATGATGGGATCACATCGAACTGTGAACTCTTCCCCGACCATAGCAGATGGTCTCTACTCCTGAATCTGCGAAACGGACTGGATTTTAATTGGTGTGGTCACAACGTAATGGTGCGAATCGATAAAGGCAGGGGGAACTCTGTCGCAGATGGAAAGAGCTTTAAATTTTGGACAGGTAAAGGGGAGGAGCAACTGGATAATATAAGCGTAGATCTTGAGAATCACGATAGGGTAATAAGTGGAAATGGTATGCCTTATGCCACTGTGACTGGTCATCAAGGTTGACCACTCTTTGCTCACCATTTGTCAAAAATTAAATAAATAAACCCGCCCAGGGGTCACATCAGTTCATTTTAGAGTGAGGGGAGACCATTTTATCGGTTGTGGGCCTTAACATGGGTCACCGTAGATTCTTCCCCTGGTGCATCGGCTAAGATCCCATTCGCCTAAGATCCTGCATTTTCCTTGCTCCTGAGCACCGGGATCTTAAGCGGAGACTACCCTAGCAGTAATCTCCTCCCTCTTCAGTGTCATTCTTTATCATATTTATGTCTACTGTTTCAGCCACCCATGAGATTTAACTGTTTTGACATTATATCCTCTGTGAACAAGTAATTATCTTTAGAGAGTCCGTTTTTGTACACTTGTCAGATGTCTTGATGCTGGTTTTGAGCAGGCTATGGGAAAGTCAAACTCAATTTATAAGTGCACGCTGACTATCTTTTTCAGTCACCCTTAATCAGTGAAAACCTTTTTGCTTTCTACTCAAAGTAAACTATAAGATGGACAAGATTCCATGTTTAAACCCGGTGCAGTACTGTGACTGTATTACATACGTAATATAGAAATTTACTGTTCGCTTGAACTCTTTAAAATGTTTTGGACCCTGTTAATTAGATTTTGTCAATTCAAAGGGATAGTAAATATGTAATTTTTATATTAAAGGGAACAAGTGAGAAGGGGTAAGGGGGACATAAATTAATGGTCTCTTGTCAAACCCAAGTTTATTTTGGATCCCTTGCTGAATAAATTGAGATATGTTTCAACATTGCCTTGATATTTTTCTGTCCAATAGAGCTACTGGCCTCAGTCTTATTGTCGGATGTGAGGACGGGATGGTCAGGGTCCATGACTTTTCTGGAAACGCCCCACCAGCTCCTACGCCTCAGGTATAAAAGTGTTCAATTTTTAGAAAAATGACTAATGATTCTTTATTTGGGAATGTTGCCCCCCCCCCCCCAATGTAAATGTAATACTCGAACGTATCAGTATCAAAGTGGTGTTGGATTCTTTCCTTTGTTTTGCTCCCTAGCTGACAAAAACAGCCATTTCTCAAGAAGAGCTAAAAGGTGTTTTTTTTTAATTCTGTAAAGATTTGCTTCAGAATTAATTCTTGTTACAAGAAAGAGTGATAATAATGCATCGATCCTCTCTCCCCGTAAATAAAAAGAAAAGTGTTCAGTCAGGCCCACATCATATCAGGTATGTTAGTGTACAAATCGTGGTCTTTTGAGCTAATTCAAAGATTTCAATTACAGTATTTTAAGTTCTCTCAGGTTGTTTTGTAGAGAATACATCTTTTGATTAAAGTTTATATTGATTTTCTTTCTTTCTTCTGCAGACAACTTTGGAGACAAAAAGTGGCCCAATTCAGTGTCTGGTAGTTCATGATGTGACAAGGTTTTACCACAACGATCTGATTGTCGGGGACTCATGTGGAATGCTGACAGTTTTTTGCAACAAACAAATTTTGTCTCGGCAGTCTCTTTCCGCTGAGAGCTTGATATGTGTGACAGTCATTGAGGATAATGGTATTTTTGCTTGATAAAACTTTTTGAACCTAAATGTGTGTCATTTTCCGAACTCGACTAAATTCACTTAACTTGATTTGTATAAGTGTAAATCAGAGTGAAGTTGTAACCTTGGCATAAGATGACGGTTGTTGACACTCCACATCCATCGTAACATGGTTGAAGAAAATGAATGTGAAATTACGGTTTTGGCCCAAACTTATACAAGATAATATAAAGTTGTAAATGTTTCTCTTCATTTAAGTGGGAGAAAACCCAAGGCCTCCTTTTGGGCTTTTGTTGATTTAGGCTATCTACAATTTATGTTATTCATTGCTTTGTTTGTTCAAGACTTTGGTTTTTATGATAGAACTTTGTTTCTCCAGAGGCTGAATTTGGTTTTTAAGGTGGATATTTAAAAAAAAAGAAATACTATTGAAGGGTTTAGAGATGCAAAAACCAATAAACACCATTTCAGACTTTTTTCAAATCACTCCCGCGCTCGGCAATGTCGGAATACATGTACTCTGCATGTGTATAATTTCAGTGTAAAAACCGATATAACCCTCATAAAAACTTCCTGAACAAAGAGTTTTTATGCAAAAGCCGATACATCCAGTTCATTTTCCATGCAAAACCAGCTATATCCATTAACTTGAAACACAGTGAATCACTGGCCACAACTGAGCCCTGTGACTATCGTAACCCTGCGTGAACACTTGGACAAAATGGCATCTCCCGCAGCTCGTGTCGAGGATGAAGCGTCTGTTGTTTTGAACTCGTTTGGTGGTCTAGATGAGAATGTGAGGCGTTGTAGTCACGGTACAAAATGAAAAGTGAAACCTAGACAGCCACAGCTAGACGAGAAATTGCAAAGTCAAAGACGTATGTGGGCGTGCGATGGCAAAACACCATCTATCGCATGCAACCCTAGGTCTACTGCCAATGCCAGTTTGAGTTTCTGTCATGCCAGCGTGCTGTCAGAAAATGCCCTGAAATTGAGCTGGGACAATTTCTACGCTGCAACGGTAAAATATGAACATGATGTGATTATTTCACACCTTTTGGACATTGCCACGGCCAAGAGGCCTAGGGTTGCTGTTGGAGTCAGACAAAAATCTAGAGGGCTCTCTGTGAAGTTCATCTGCAAAATTTTGAAGTCGATGGTGCTCCATTGGTGCAGGTCTGCAAACCAACGTTCCTGTCGGTCTAGGTGAGTCAGAAGAAATTTACAATTCCGTTAATTATTAAACTTAAACTAAGTCTGCAATCTTGTGAAATTGAAAAAAGTTCTGAATAGATGGTTTTCAATGCCAGGGTAGTCATCAACAAAAGATTTAATGATCACTATTATAATCAAATCATTCTACAGATCACACAAGTCACAAAATATTCAAATAAATGAATGAAAGACACCCAAAGTGCAGAGACTTATTTTGTTGTGTGTAATTTACAAATTCAAGCAAGGGATGTGAAGTTAACTTCTTCGCATTTGAATCAGAACGGAACCACTAGGTTTGATTTTTACATTATATCAGAACCCACGTGTTACAGAGTTCTGAAATAATTTGGTTAGAGCCAATGGATGTGACTTACTCAACGCTTTCCTGCTTTAAAAAGTCAGGTACAGTTAGCGATCTCTCCCAGTCATGTTACATCTAGTCCTTCATGATAGATATTAACAAGACTGAGTACCTTTGTTGCTCCCAGTTTGTTTATCTATTCTTTTTCCTTTTGAATTGAAAAGCATGTTCAAGCTATTTCTTATTTAATCTCATGAATGTTCTTATTTTTTCTTTCAGGAGTGAAAGACAGTGTCAAGCATAGCTCAAGCCGTATTTGACCAGGGTGCGCCGAAGAAAGAGAATAGGGCCGGAGCAAGAGACACTCCAGAAATGAAGGCAAGGAAGGAGAGGATCAGACAACGCGTTGAGTCGGTCCAGTGCAGGTCCAGTCTTTACTCTGTCAAAGACGACCCGGGAAGAAAATCTCTCCGCATTGACCTCGACGTCTTCAAGATGCATAAGATGTTCGAGCTCCAAAATCACGAACAGGTATTTTTCCCCTCTTTTTTTGCTCTTCAAGCTGACAAAAAGGAGACACACATCTATCAAGACACATGGCAATTTTATTGAATTGATTCGCATACATTGTGTTTTATTGTGTTAATTATCACAGTGGCATGACACAATCATGGTGTTGTTTTGATTATATGACATTTGATCAATAGAAATTAAAAGGTAAATTACAATAATGGCTTCTTCTTGCAGAAAGGATGCTACTGACTTGATTGGACTCATTTTGATTTTTTAAACATTATAGAGTAAATTCTGGTGGACATGTATGTAACAAAGGCATAATATTTAAAGATTTTTGAACATTTGATGACATTACATGTTGTTGTTTTTTTCAATTTCAGGTTTGTTGTAATTTTTTTAATGACGACTACTCTTTTCGTTTTCAGATCTCATGTAGTTTAACTATACATGCATACGGTTTTACTACACCCACCCACCTCATGTAGCGATCCAACTTGCACTGACTCGTCGCAACTCTCTGCGCTGCGCCTCGACCGCTACTCACGCAGTCTTCAAAAGTCCGTGGCTCACGCCTCGGCCTGTCCTTGGTTTCTTCAATGTCAACCGTACTCGACTACTTTCCCGAGAATCACACAGCTAACCACATCTCAGATTTTGTAAAAGATTACCACTTGTTTTAATTTCCAGATTTCTGATGATTTTTAATGAAGATTACTTTTTTCCTTTTTCAGGTCTCCTGATTGTTTAAAATAAAGATTACTTTACTTTTTTCATGTGCAGGTCTCTTGCTCAGGTAGAGGAAAGGCATTCAAATTGATAAAACTAAGGTTGATTTTTTGCTCTGCAGGCTGACAAAAACCAGACATACACAAACTCTCAAGACATGACTTTATTGAAACACAACGTTCTTCCTCAGTGGTTTCACTTTGCAGAAAGTACACTACTGATTTGATTTGATAATCCTGGTTATGAGTTTTAATAATAAAGGTTATTTATTCATTGTCTTTTGCAGGGCTCCTATTCCCTGTACTACACTGTCTTCAGGGGAGACTTCAGACTTTGTTTTGGCCATCCCAACATGGACAGGTGCACTACATGCGAGTGGTATAAGGAGCAAGGAAAACAGGCAGATATTCCGACTGAGCAGAGAACTGAGTTGGCTGCAGTGTATATTCTGCATCGCAGAAGAGCTCGCAAATTCTATAATGAACTGAAAGTTGTAAGCGAGGACTCTTTAAGTCAATTTGTTTTGATATGATGCAGAACCAGGTGCTTCCGAAGACCCCCATCGGTGCTGCGTACTACAGTCGGCAGCTGTACCTTTACATCTTTGGGGTCATATGCCACAGGGGTAGAAACGGCCCTCATCAGAAAGACGATGTTTTTTTTTTTTTTACATGGTTGGAGTGTGAGAACCACAAAGATTCTAATATGATCGTCTCAGCACTCCATCATTTTTTTCACTTTCATCAGCAAGAAATTAAATCCAAGCATGAACTTCGATTATTTAGTGACTCTGCCTATGGGCGGAATAAGAATTTCAACGTATTGTCTATGCTCGTGGCGGACAGGAAAAAACTTTTCCCTCAAACGGATATATAATGTACACATTTCCAATGCAGGGTCACAGTTATCTCCCAGCTGATCATGCCTTTGGGAGAGTAGCCCAGGATGTGAAACGTTTTGAGACAATTACCCTGCTTGACCAATATATTGACATTCTTAGAAGGCATGGCCAGGTCTTTGAATACGGGTGAGACTGGCAGGCTTTCAATTTAAAAAATGAGACCCAGCGTTTTGTGAAGCAGAAAAGGGAGTTTAGTATTTCAACTGTTTAAAGAATTGTTATTGATGGAAGTGGGGATAAGGTGAAGGTTTCCGATTCATACTTTGGAGACCTTCACATCCATGGTGTTCTGAAGCAGGGATGGTCGTGGTCCAACTTTAGACCAACTGTGTTGGAGAAGACATGTTCTATCAAAGAAGCCAAGAAAAGGGATGTGTTCAAATTGAGGCAAGATATGGGTGCAAGTGATGCTGTCATGGGGTGTTACCGTGACATGATGGCTGTTCGAACATCAGCTGTCAGAAATTCAGATTCTGATTTTGACTAAGAAAACCTGAATGTCACTTTAATACCTCATGCCAGCTGTCAGAAAGTGAGTGCGCCTGTGTGAGTAGATGTGAGTTTGTGTATATGTATTAATGTGCATGACTTTTATGATGATTGAACGTGAGATTTTGGAATTTCATTTTCCATCTTTTTGGTTTGAACTACATGGTATTTCACCCTTTGTTCTAATATGACAGTATGTGTCTTGTATGTTGTTGGTATAGAGTGTTGACTTTGATTTGTGGAGCATTGTCTTTTAGATGCATTGAATATGGTTCGTCGACTGTATGATTACAAAACGCTGTGTCTCATTTTTTTTACTCTTACCGTGTCAGTATTTTTCACATTTTAGCTATACTGATTTAGTTAAAATTTGATTATAAAATACAAACAGTGCATTGCTTTTCTTTTAAAATAATATGTGGTAATGGACAACTCATTTTGTAAACATCATACTGTCTTCATCTGTGTCTGTTCATGGAGACTAATGTAATTGTGCTCTCGTAATGTGAAGACCCTGTACTGACCTATCAATTAATAATTTATTATGAATGTTCACCTTTTCATCTTTACAACTTCAAATTTTCATGTGGGATGCTAACTTTTTGCACTTGTGTGGAAGTTTTAAGTGTTTAGCTTGATGGTTTTTTTGTGTGCGAGTGAATTTTGGATATATCTGTTTTTGCATAAAAATGTTTTCCTGGATATCTGATTTTGCACAAAAATAAAAAATATAATCTGCTGTAACTGCTAAAAATATTACTGTAGATTTGAATACTGACTGATTCCTGTTTGTAAAGTACAAAGCTTAAATCAGACAACAGATTTGTGAATGAATTGAAAGCTATGTGTGAATAAAATAATCCTCTCGTTCTCAAAACCTGAAATTTGGATATGTCTGTTTTTGCATCTAAACCCTTCTATTGTAAATTTATTCTCTTTACTTTTCTCAGCACAACTAAGCTGAATGATTGTGTTATGTTGTTATAGATTTCTAATAGTCTTCACTGTTTTACAATGATATAGAGTATACTAGTTGCTCAGATTAGTAGGCCTATTTAGTAACCTTTGTGTTGTTGTAACAATACGAAAGCGTGGGTGGTTGACAGGTGCTCTGATGTGATTTGCTCCTTCTTTCCTATCAAACAACTATCGTCTTTATCTCTCCTCCTTCTTTTCTATGTTTGTTACTCTCTTGTAACACCTCTAATCTTCGGCATTTATATGACCTTTTTGTGTTGCAAGTGATGTAAAACTCTTACTAAAACAAAATTTACCAAAGCTTTTTCTGATTTCCCATTTCTCCACAGCGGGCAGTCCTGTGATTGTGTCTTCAGATGACACAGGGGTGATAACTGGAGTTCAACCAACTGAGGTATTATGGAGGATAAACCTCAACAGTTTGTCAAATAAGGTAAATAAGAAAAGATGATATTTGAGATTTTTGGGGGGGTTAAATTTCTGTACCTTAATCCATTTGAGAATGATAGAAAACTTTGAAAAGTACGGTACAATTCTATATGTAATCACAGAGACAATGCATAGACTTTAAGAAGTGGTTGGTAAATTGGAAACAGTTGGCAAAGCTGGAACTTCAGGGTAATAATAATTTTTTTGTTTGATTTTTGGGTGTTGATGTGTCTGATGAAGTGTGAAAAAACTGCAGCATACAGTTGTTACAGTTACAGCATGTGTGTCACGATATGATGAATTAAATCAGGCACTTATCAATTTATTGGGCATATAAAGCTAACGGGTGTTGGTATCATCTGAAAAGCTTGTTCAGCCTTGCTTCTGATGAAAAAAAAATATCTATCTATCTTGAAGTTGAAAAGAAGTTAAAATAAAATGTTTGAGGTGGAAGGATGTGGGGGTTGTCAGGTGTCTGAGGAAAAATTAGCAAGAAAATGGCTGCCAAAGTTTGTTGACTTGCAAAACTTAAGTATCTTTGGAAACTGCAAATTTCTTTTTTTCTGGTACCTTTGATCAATATTTTTCTGTAAAATTCTCATAAAAATGTGTTTATAAATGGGCCTAAATGGTGTTGAACAAAAACAAATTGATAAATATTGTCAAATGAAGGAAAATGTGTGGGGGGGTGTTCGATTTGATTATTATGAATAGGAGGAGCTCCTGATTTCACAAGGACAAAACACTTATTTTTATTTCAAAAGATTCCTGTTACAATGTCTGGTTGTTTGTAGCTTGTAACTGTTGCTATTTTAAAAAGCATTCTTTTACCAGTACCTGTTACTTTTGTGCTAATGTTCTGTTTCCTAGTGGCAGCACAAGTTTGACAAGCAAATCTGTGAATTTTTACTTTCAGAACCCGTCATTGTCAGTGAAAGTCACATGTCTTCTCTCGGCTCAAATGACAGACCCAGCAGGGAACAAACGCCAGTACATACTGGCTGCTGATAATGCCAAAAGAATACACCTGATCAGCAATGGAACTGTTGTGTCATCTTTGGTTGCCCCATCCAACATCACAGCAGTAAGATTTCTGGTCGATGTTTTACTTATTTTGTGCAATCAATTTTAGCCCTACTATTAGAAGATCTGAGATACTTTTTGTGAATGACGAGACTATTTTTTTTTTTAAAAGAAAAAAATTGTTTATATCTTTGACAGCTGACCCGTGGCATGATGTACCTTGATTTAACACTTGGACTTGCTATAAAGGTTGTGAGAATCTGATATCAGTCTTTTGGAAGTCAGCAAATACAAAAGTTTTTCTTTGTGATTTCTGGTCAATGCAGAGATCATGTAATGGATATAAATTTTATTCCTTTGTGAAGATGATACTGCTGTCACCTGAAATAGATTTCCCAACTTTTTAACCTAGAAACCATTGGTTTCTTTAAGTAACCAAGTCCAATCTGCCAATCTTATGCCATTTACATGAGTTAAATGTTATCATGTATGGTATTAAGAGACTTGTTTTTCCCTCTCTGCTTCAATACTTTGTGCTGTGGGTACACCCCCCCCCCCCCCCACCCACCTCCCTTCCTGTCCTTCTTCAGTTAGACACACATCATTGCATCTGTCAAACATACAAAAACTGATGCGGACATTACAAAAGCACAGAGTAAACAAAGATCCATCTTTGAAACATTCAAAGTTGAACATAGCCCTTGTTTGTCTGCCCCATCAGGTTGTCTGATGTTTACAATTTGGCTTTATAGTACTGCGGAGAAGGCACTACATACTGGGTATTGCTACTATAAATGGAACCTTCTGAAGTGATCAAAATATTTTGGGTGGTAAGCTTCACCTTATTCACTATCTGCTCCTCAGATGACACAGGGTAGATTTATTCCTTCCAGTAAACTCAACCTCCCATCATCAAATCCATCTGCTTCTGATAGTGAACAAGTGGCACTAGCTGGAGCCAATGGGGCAGTCTACATCATGCACAATTTCAACGTAAGTTATTTACCAGTTTCAATAGCCGGTGGCAGACACAAGCATGCCATTTTTAGTTTCTCGCTAAATATCAGACTGGCACTCTAGAAGTTAGTTCTCCACTTCTGTTTCAAGAATTATCCAACTTTTTGTGTAAGAAACGAAGCTATATCAATTTTGCAGTTCTTAAAAGCTGCTTACAATTTGGCACTCACAGACAGATTTTGAGCTTCCCAATTTTATTTTGATACACGACATGTATTACTTTGTATTTAAAACACATACATTGTATCGTGAACTTTGTCACAACAAAAAGATTCCTGCATCCCACCAGTTTCACTATGTCACTATGTTCATGCTAGACTGTGTTATTATTTTTCATGGTATCTATGTACAGCCTTTTGCCTTTCTAGAACTTGTTTGTCAATTTTACTGTACATGAAGACCATAAGGTACTTTTAATTATTCCTATTCACATTATATTGCTTTTGTTTTGGATTTCAGGGATTTGTACATTTTGAATTTTGCTTATTGTAATTGAACGGAGAACATACATATTTCCTTGCTGGCCTCTAGATGAAAAGTCCCAAGATAGTCATGAAACTTCCACGTTTGAATTGCCATATATGGTGTTGAAAGGAAGTAGTCCTATCTAGCGCAAGTCATGATCCCCCTTATGTCTAAATTGCCAGCCAGTGATAAATGTTCGACTTCTATTTCCTCAGGTCACCCTGGACGACTACGTCAATGCTAAAAGCCCAATAACAAACTTGTGCACAGTGCATCAGCCAGACCAGAGCTCCGATCTGTTGTTGTGTGCCGGAAACTTCAGCTCTCTTCACTTGTACAGAGATGGGCAGGTGGGCTGCTGTTAGAATGAAGACCACAAGGATTACGTCGCTGTCACAAGCAATCCATTTTAGTCCAAATTTTGACATTTTTTATTCCCCCCCCCCAACTTCCAAAGCTCTATGACCGATGCATACACCTTTCAACATTATCAAAATTCAGTTTGATGCTAAGGTCAAGGCTTACAGTTTTCTTGCTTTTCATGATTCCTGATAGAAACAACACAACAAAAACTAGTTTTTTGTCTCTGGTGTAAAAAGTACCCAAACAGACTTAAAAGGATTGCCTTGCGACACCGGCGAAATATAGATCACAAGATGGTTGACTCCTCTATTTTAGAAAAAAAAAAGTGCCCTAGTAACTCTGGCAGTAACTTCTATGTTATTGCGCTTTAGAGACATGAGGGTTTTTTTGGGGCGGGGATGACGACATTCGCAAAGTGTAGGACCAAAGACTACTGAAGAATTCCTGTCTGAGATACTATACAAGATAACTTGTTCAGCACCAATAGCGATATCTGTTATTATTGCAAATTATATAAATGGTGGACACTTTTTGTGACCATCTTGTAGTGTTTATTATTTGACGGGGTCAAAGGGGAAAGGAATGAAATTGTTAGCTCAGTTTCGGTTCTACCATAGTGATTGTGCACTTACAACACTTGTGCATACTGATTTCTCTGATGTCAGATGATGCCGTTTTCCCCATTATTTATTCTCCAGAGTCAGTTGTCTATTCCTAATGAAGTAGTAACACTGAAGTGACATGAATTCAAAGGGCCCGTAATTTAATTGTCCATTGACATTGCACAGAATGAATAAAGACAAGTGCTTAATCATGTCAAGATTTTGATCTGCACTCCAGCACTTATTTCCTCAAATAGGCTTTCTGTTCTTGTCCCCCTCAAACTTTGGGAAATAGGGACACTGCTGTAACGAGATATTATGTTTTATCCATCGACTCTTGTTATTGTAGAGTTCTACTGTAATTGATCGTTACCCTTTGCCAATGATTGTATGTGGTCTAACCCCCATTGACACAATTGATGCCATTTGGGAGGAGGGGCCCTTAATCATTAATGGGACAGAAGTCATTTATAAGCGTAACTTTTCCCAGATCTTTTTTGACTAAAATGTTTGTCAATGTTTTCCAGTTACTGACGCAGTTCCCTACAAATGACTGGGTGAGCAGTATAGCCACAGTAGATATCAATGGAGACGGCGCATTGGAAGTGGTCATTGGATGTATGGACAGCACAGTAATGGCACTTAAATTGTAGCATATTTCAACAACATTGTAAATAAAATCACAAGACCTGAAAACTTTTGGATTTCTTTTATTGAGATTGTTCATCTTCAGTATTTAATCAGCAAGGGAAAAGATGAGGGTGTAAGTATTTTTTTAAATGTCAAAAAGAAGCTTTCTTTTACATTTATTTTTTCACACTGCACCTAAGTGGGGAACAACAAATCTCTTTCAGGATTCAAACTTCGTAAACCATGAATGACCAACTGCAACATGGCATTTCCTCAAATGCAGCACTGTTACATATCAGACACTGACAAAAACTAGTTACCTGACTAGCTCCAATGTGTAAAAGGCAGATGCTTTTCAGCACACCTTTAGAGGAAACAAAGGAAAGCCTCTTGCTGAGAGCATTTTTTATAAGGGCTGAAATCAGGTGAAAGCTCAAAGCTCAGGAGAGCTCTTCAGCAATTTCACCTGTCATCATTTGAATGAGAATTTCCTTCCATTTCTCTTGCATTTTATGTAATCAGATTCTGCACTTCTCTCAATAGCTTTTTATTCTCTATCATTATCCATAATGAAATGTAGGCTAATTGATGGGATTTTTTTAGACATATCACTTCGAATGAGGAATCCCCATGGGCAGGCAGCGTGGGGTAAATTGGGAACACAGGTAATCCCTTTTGTGGTATGAATTGTCATGGATATTCGTCTAGACTGGTTTTATGGAAGTATGTGAACCTAAAATGTCATACAGCAGTAAGACTATTTAATACAGTGAAGTCCCACTTAAATCGAAATCAGGGGGACTGCCAGATTTTCTTTGGTGTAACCGAGTTTTTGGTTTAGAGAGGTTACTCGTTTAAAATGCTGGGGAAGAAAATCAGGGATTACATTTTCTTTCGATTTCTCGCTGATTTCTAAAAGATGACTTTGCTGTACAGTATTTATTGAAAAATACAGTAGGTGTGTTGTCTAAGTTTGCTATCAATTTGAGGCATTGGAATGATAAATGTCAACCTCTGCAGTGCAATACAAATGACAAAGATTGGGGCTGAGGTGACAATGAATAAAACTCCTAAAAATACACCACTGCAGCTTCCCAATCAAAATAATAATGGACAACATTCTCTCTATGCCGTTAGGCGGCTCTTCCTGAAATAATATCACAAAAGATTTCATAGCTTAAGCTTACATTCATTCTCAACATTCCTACGAACCCTGAGAAGGGGCCCCTTTACTTTAGCACACTCACATTATACAAACATACCGATGTGTCTCAGTCATATTGTAAAATAACCAACGGGAACTCGAAAACAATGAAGCAGATAACTGCACATAACTGCAACACAAAGATTCAGGCTATTTGACATGAAAACGTTGAAGGCTTAAGACTCAAAGTCAAAGCTCTGCATGATATATATATCCATAAAAAGGAGGGATGGTGTGTTCCTGGTGTTTCAAAATACACTCTCAGGTTTCATGACACTACTAGGTAGATGTCCATATGCCAACCTTATAACGGGACTTACTGTATTTTTGTCATAGCACAAAGCCCTTTCAGACGTCAAAAAAAACAAAAGTTGCCAAGACATTTCTCTGGGTGCACTTCTGACATGACATAAGATACAATTTGCACAACATTCACACTAATGTACAAAGCCTCCATCAAATATATTTAATCCATGGTAAATATTCGAGAAGCAATATCGTTTACAACCCAGTCCATTCCATTCAGTAAATTGTCTCCTGTGACTGCACTGCAGTCTTGAATCAGCCAGTGATGTGTCTTTATGGAGTCGAGGTCCAATGCCTAGACAAAAATCAAAACATCAGATCATCAGCTGATACACGTTTACAAAATGGGTTTTACCAGTACAGTCTAAAATGCACACATAGTGAATTCAGCAGAACATGGAAATCTTTTATGAATTTCACTATGCACATGTTATGAGTACAAAGGAAATACTTGTATGAGTATAAATTTGGGACCTGAAAATATGTTCACTATGTATACATTTTGCTATGTGCATGTTTGCTGAGTGCGTGCAGGAACATAATCTTTAGCAACATATCACTATGAAAAATAAAGTCCTCACCACACAACAGCTAATTTGAAAAAAGTAACATGACTATAGTCCCAGTACTCAAAACATGATGCTTAAGTTAAAACACACTTTATAGTGGTTTGTGCACAATGATGTGATTGAAAAGACTATCTGGCAGCTTGAAAGAGAAATCCAAGGTCTAGGAAGAAATCTTTTGAGACCAAAAAGTCACTGTTGATAAGCGGAGCATGCGGTGGAAACAGCAAGACACCAAGATATCCTGACAGTCATTGGTGCAGTCAGGACGACTATTCAATTCAACGTTCAGTGTTCAATTTTTCACATCACAAAGACTGCAAATTTTCCTCACCTCTCTGATTTCTTTGGCAGTCAGTGACCCTGGGAGATCCTGTTTATTGGCAAATACTAGCAGTGTAGCCCCTGCCAGTCTCTGAAACCAAGCAGAATAAAATAAGAAAATGATATCAATTCATGGTACATGTTGGTAGATAATACTTCATGCTCTTTCACAAGACAGCCAACATAATTCTGGCTGCAACAACTTTAGACAGTCTTTAACATAATTTTATATTAGCAGCTTAACCCCTTTATGACCTATACGACATACACCATTCGTCATTTTTCTTACACGGCGAAGGAGGCAAGATGCTGATGTGACATACAGAGTTTGTCATGCCTTGCGAAGCGCAAGGACTATGATGATGGAACGTTGTTCGTCATAGGTCGTACACTGCATACTGCTTCTATTTGATGCATTTTGTAAAATTAATTGCAGATTTGCATTTGAGAATATTTATTCCGAAGAAAGAACATTTTTCCTTTCAAATATAGTCAGTGGTATTTGAAAACAGGGTCCAATTATAGGAAACTGACCACTACCTCTAGCCCTACTCTGTGTCCCTGGAGACCCAGAACTGTGCCTGGTGCAGCAAAAACTGACCCTGTGTCACATGGGGGTTAAACATCACAGGTAATTTTTTCACAATATGTTGATCACGCTTTTATGCAACCCAGCAACTTAAGTTGATGCATTAGGAGAAATTGTGGCTACGGTTGAAAATGGCTGTATCTGACTCCATCTTCATAACAGATTCATGTTACAGCAATCGGCTGCTGTCTATTCACAGATTTAAAAAAAAAAAAGAACTTACTTTCATTAAAGTCAGCTATCAGCCAACTAACATAAATAGGCTACATGTATGTGTTACGACCCAGTGGAATCAGGGGCTCATCAGTTTTTGGGCATATGGAGTTATTGGTATCATCTTAAATGTTGTACATTTGCCTTGCAGTTGATGAAAAGCATACTGATTTATCTTGAATAGAAGTGATTGAAGGAGGAGGGGGTCACCTGGTTTCGGAGGTAAAATTAGCAAGAAAATGGCCGCCAAAGTTTTGTGACTTCCATAGCTTAGAATCCTTGGAAACTGTAAATTTAAATTTGCTGGGCCATTAATCAACATTTTTCTATAAAATTCACACATAAGTGTTTTTGAATGGACACACAAGGTGTTGAGCAAAAAAATAAAAATTTGAAAAAAATGTCCAAACAGGCAGAAACATGTCGATTCCTCGGATTTCCTTATTACGACGAGCACCTGATTTCACCACGATGCCTCACATATATCTTGATTACCAATGTTTAGACCAGAGAGGGTTTACAGTAATAGAGAGGTGACACTCGTGGCGGCGCTCCATAACAACAGTGCATAACACGGAGATGCTCAGGGATGCTGTCATGTCATGAGAAAATGTAGTGCCGTCTGTAGTTAGTTCACTAGGTTACTAGGCCTTTAACAAAGAAGGAGGCTTGTGATTTCTATTGCATATTTTAGGCAACCCCCTGCCTCCCTTGGCCATACATAAACTGTAAGACCTGTTTTTGGCTTAAGTTAACATACATTCTAGTAAACAACTAGACGCAGATACATTACTTCGTCCCAATAGATCTGAAAAAATAATATCACTGTAATAATCGGTTTCATTTTCAGCAAATCTATTCGTTCTCCAATGTCTCTCTGTCATCTCTCTCTCTCTCTCCCTCTCTGTCGGTCTGTCTGTCTGTCTTTTTTTCTCTCCCTGTCTCTTTTTCTCTCTCCTTGTCTATCTTTCTCCCCCCTCTCTCCCTCTGTCTACCCGTCTGTCTACCTGTCTGTCTGCCTGCCTGTCTGTCTGTCTGTCTGTCTGTCTGTCTGTCTGTCTGTCTGTCTCTCTCTCTCTCTCTATCTATCTCTATCTCTCTCTGTCTCCCTTTCTCTGTCTCTCTTTCTCCCCTCTCTCGCTCTGTCTATATGTCTGTCTGTTATCTGTTTCTGTCTGTCTGTCTGTCTGTCTGTCTGTCTGTCTGTCTGTCTTTCTGTCTGTCTGTCTGTCTATCCCTCTCTCTCTCTCGCCCCCCTCCTCTCTCTCTTTCTCTCTCTCTCTCTCTCTCTCTGTCTCTTCCTCCCCTCTCTCGCTCTGTCTATATGTCAGTCTGTTTTTCTCTCTCTGTCTCTGTTTCTGTCTGTCTGTCTGTCTGTCTGTCTGTCTGTCTGTCTGTCTGTCTGTCTGTCTGTCTGTCTGTCTGTCTGTCTGTCTGTCTGTCTCTCTCTCTCGCACACATACACGCAAACACACACACACACACACACACACACACGCATTATATTAAATTCTCACAATTTCAGATCATGGAAAAGCACATGAAGCAATAATGATAGATCTACCACTTAAAGCGTTTAATAGGATCCCTAACACCTTCAATCTCCCATCCCCCCTCCCCCCTAAAAAAAAGGTAATCGGACAAAGAAAGTAGCAAAACCGATCGAGGTAATCGGACAAAGAAAGTAGCAAAATCGATCGATGGCACTTTGTATTTAGACATCTTTTCGCAGACCCAGGTAACATATCTTTCACTAGTAGAATGCAAGCTCAATTTGGGCATTTAGACAGGATTAAAAAAAACAATTTATAGCTGATATAACAAAGTTGAAGTGTGTTGAGTTTGTGCATGGAGTGTCAGTCTAGTAGGACCACAATCCCATTGTCATTATTTAGATCTATATTATTCTATTCATCAAAATACATTCGTCATTCTTTGGAAATCGAAAGAAACTCAGATTTTCATTCTAATAGGTGCAGTTTATAGCATAACACAATTGACATTTCGTGCTAACCGGGGTCATGCTTGTCTGCGATCAACGTGAATGCCTTGAACAATGGACGCAGTTTGTATTGTTTACCGCGCGTTTTTCCACGATCAGCTGGTGACCCAGATACGTGCATCCGGGCGAAGTGTCATCTCTCTAGTATTACTGTAAACTCTCTGGTTTAGACACAAATGTTTCGGGCATGGAAAGTCAGCAGAGATACAGACACGTCACAATATCCACCCCCTCTCCCTGGCTACCGGACAATGAAAGACTAGTCTGGACATGAATGTAAATCTAAGTAATGAATTGCTCACTGGTCCGTGGAAACAGACATTGCTGTATGCTTAGCCCTACATTGTGATGCAATTTACAGAATCGAAAGTCAGGCTCAACGACTTCGTTAGATCCGAGTTTCACTAGAAAATGAAAATCAAACCCCTTTGGTCACTATTTAAAAATTCACCTGTTAACATGGATTTCAGGCACAACATTCTGTCACAATGTCTTCTGCACAGCATTTTAAGAATTTATCTGATAAGTTTATTCCCTGTAAATGTGCCTATTTTCAGAAATATGCATTTCAACACAAGCATTATATCATATATATACCTCTACAAGATGTCTTCTTCAACGACTCTTGAAAAAAAACCTTCCAAAATATTAGAGCTTTTATAAGAAGACCGTAGTCTGTGATGTAGGCCTTATTGTTAAGCCAGTTAAGCTCTTCATTGTTTAGCGAGTTGCAAAATTTAAAGAGTACGTTCATTTGTTTGCTGGGATGTCGTATCCTACTCAGCACAGGTTGAGTATAACTTTTATAACATTTTCAATATAAAAACAAAGAAAAAAAATGATAAAAGTGGGCCTACCTCTTCAACCAATAAAGCGTGGAGTTCTTTTTTGCAGTCATTCAGCCTCATGCGGTCAGCACTGTCTACCACCCATATCAGGGCATCAGTGCTTTCAAAATAGTTTCGCCAGTACGACCGAAGAGACTTCTGCCCACCAACATCCCAGATATTGAGTTTGAACCTGCAATAAAAGATATATGTACATTGGGAGTAGGAGTGTACATCCTTGCCGCACAATTGAAACAAGAACTCTTGTCCTGAGCATCCTGGTTTATCATAATCTCCTTGCCTGAGTATTATACTATTGCATTTTTATGGCTATGTGCACAGATATAAAGTGAGGAGGAGAGGATATGTGAGAGTGTGTGTATGGGTGTGCGCATGTTTGTGTGTACATGGTGAAATCACCGAACAAATGTGCTAAGATCTCGACAATAAAGTATCTATCTTATCGTAAAACATCTTTGCTTATCACACACTATTAAATTAAACTTATCCTTGTAGAAGAACCATAAAGAATTTACCAAATCATGATACACTGTTGTACACACGAAATTTGGTTGTTGTATGGGAGCAGAAATTATTACAAAGCTGACTTTGCTGGGCGCCATGAGAAAAGGGTTTGAAATGTTACGAATTAGTCAAGGACATACTGATGTTATATTGATATGGGCCTACCTGTCGCCAAAAGATATTTTCCTCAGCTGAGAAGTGCTGAAATCTCTCTCTCATTTGTCAAACTCAAAGACTGTTACTGTTACAGCACATTTCACACAAAGGTGAAAAATGTTACAACATTGTGAATGATCAGCAAAAAACTGTCTTCACATCTAAGTCAAAGTACATATTCTGCGATTAAAGAGGAACAGGACATTATTATATATACATGAAGTGTATTATTTGATACAAAAATAAGAGGTCACATGATAATGTCTGTAAATAAGCACGAGGGAGAGGTGAGATTCAAACAAACAACAACATGAGTTTAATTTATGACCTTATTATGAATATCAGTATAACTCTACCCTCTGTGCTCCAGGGTCTTGATGTTGAAACCAAGAGTTGGAGAAATGGTATCAATATCTTCCCCATTGAATTTCTTCAGAATGGTAGTCTTGCCAGCATTGTCCAGTCCACTTGTGCAGGGTTAAGGTTTGACTTTGACTTAAAACAAACATATGGTTAGGTACTTTACATAATAACCCTTCACAATCAAAATTCAATGAAGGGAAGTAAAACACTTCTTGAGATCACCTGTCTGTAATCTTGTACATGTATACATGTATGTCTGTATCCCTCCAACATAATAGACTATATTTGCAGAGCACTTTTGCGATGAAACCCCTCTACAGTTCCAGAGATTGTCTCCGTTAATAATAATAAATGTATGGCTTAAATACAGAGTTATGTTTATATGTATCTCCTCCAAAATGCAAACCTAACAAAAAAGGGGGGCTCTCGTAACAGTGTTCACCTAAAATTCTATAGTAAGACCCGCGTTTGAAACCTGATAGCGACGGTAAATTTTTTTCTCTAAAATCTTCTCCTTTCACATTCTTTCCTGCTCTCTAACCATGTTGTCTTCTGTTTTCGTCTCCACTTGCTGCCCCCACCCCCATTTGCCCCCTCGTCTTGGCTCCTGACTCTTTCTCAATTCTGCAGGGCTCTTTTCTAATGGCTTTTTCTTACTGCTGCTGCCTTTCATCTGCAACCATGATCTTAGGGTAGGTAAGATATATTATAAACACTTAGCCTTCTCAAATAAGGGAGAAAAATCTCGGAGGTGTCATGTGCAAGTTGCACACATTAAAGATCATCCCTTAGTGGTCCACAATCATTAAGAGTTACTGTCACTTTAGGTAACGAGACTATGACTTTCACTTTCAACACGAATTGTAAATTGCGTCATTTTCCTTCCTTTTGAGAGTACGCAAGTTGCGTCACCATTCATAGAACTTGGAGATATACGCACAACACGCAGCTCATAGCAACCTTTTTGAGAATAAATCGGGATTCTATCAACAACACATGGTGGCAGTAGGGTGAACCAAGTATAAGCCAAGTAAGTAAAACATGTCGTTTTTTAAGCCTCCAGAATCGTTCACACTCGCACACCCCTCTTAGTGGGAGGATTGGAAAAACAAGTTCAAAAGATTCCGCATAGCTACCAAATTGGATAAAAAAGAAAGCCTCATAAAAAATAAGCCAGCTCGTATGCGCAACGGGCGACGATGCAGCGAAAATCTTCGAGAGTCTTGGGCTGACTGAAGACGACCAACTGACTTTTGAGCAAGTTATAGCAAAGTTTGAGGGTTACTGGAATTTGAGACGCAACATCGTCCATGAGCGCGCTCGTTTTTCAGAGCGCTGTCAGCAGCCTGGTGAAATTCACTATTCAAACTTGCTACAGTGGCAAAAGTACCTTCAAAGGAGGAAGCCATCCGAGACAAGCTCAATATTGGGGTATTGAGCAAAGAACTCAGGGAAAAACTACAACTACAAGCAGACTTGACACTACAACAAGCCATCAGTCAGGCCCATCAATACGAACAAGTGAAATCGCAAAAGAAAGAGCAAAAGGATGCAGTGGACCGACAAACCCTGGGCAGACCTTGCGCGGTATAGGAGGCTCCGACAGAGTGGGCCACAATAGAGGTAGAAGCTCGTTCAGCAGAGGTGGAAACAGAGATAGAGGGAACCCTGCAAGAGGAAGTCACAACCACAAACAAGGAGGGGAAATGTCCAAACCGTGGAAATCTTTTCCATGGAAGAGGGCAAGAGTGCCCAGCAAGTGCATGGCACAAGTACAATCATTTCAAGGCAGCTTGTCATTCGTCCAAGAAAGTTGACATGCTCAACGCAAGAGAAGCCCTAGAGGACACACTTCCTGGGAAGCCTAGGCAAGGTTGATGACCAAGAACCTCCATGGCGCATCACCGTGAAAGTTGGAGAGACAGATGTCAAATTTCAAGGTCACCACAGGGGCGGATGTCTCCATCATCCAAGCTACAATATGGAGGAAGCTGCAGCCCTCACCCAAGCTGCAAGGAAGCTCAGCCAAGCTCGAGAGTCAGGGGGGACCAGTCCGTCACATGGCCAGTTTATTGCCAGGACCAACTGGCGTGGCAGACAACTATGGTTTCGAACATTTGCTGTTGATGGAAACACAGACTGTCTACTGGCCAGAGGAGTAGCAACTAAACTCGGGGTCATCCAGCGAGTTGGCAACACACACAAGTCTTTGGACAGCTAGACAGACGGCCTGTTGACTGCGATCCAGTCAAGATCGGCCTATGTGAAGAGGTAGAACCCTACAGTTTGCAAACTGCAAGATGTGTACCAATTCCGCTTCTCTCTAGGGTCAAAGAGGAGCTACAGCGGATGGAAAAAGCCAAAGTGATTGAGAAAATCACAGAGCCCACAGACTGGTGCAGTCCCATGGTGCCAGTCCTCAAGCCATCGAAAAAGATTTGAATTTGTACAGATTTTAAAAAGCTGAACGTCGCTGTAAAGCACAAGCAATAGATGCTGCTCATATTGGATGATCTCCTGTTCAAGCTTCAGAGATCAGCTGCATTTTCATATCTTCATGCTACATCTAGGTTCCACAAGCTACCACTTGATGAGGCCAGTCAGAAGTGTACGACATTCATCACAAGGTCAAGGAGATGACCACGCAGTCACCAACACTGGCATTCTTCGACCTCAATAAGCCATTAACAGTTAGCGTAGATGCCAGCAGTTACGGCACAGGGGAGTCCTTCTTCAAGATGACAGGCCCGTTGCCTTTTCTGCTAAAAAACCTTGACGTCAGCCGAGAAAAACTACACGCAAATAGAGAAGGAGTGTCTGGCCAGCGTCTGGGCATATATCATATGAGAAGTTTAAGCAATACCTGGTGGAACTTGAGTCGTTCACACTCATTATTGACCACAAACCACTTGTGCCACTCATGAACAGCAAGGATCTCAGCGACGCTCCTGTAAGATGCCAGCAGCTGTTGATGAACTGCTGAGATTCAAGGCAATAACAGTACATGTTCCCTAGAAGCTGATGGCCGTAGCCGATGCTTTGTCCAGAAGTCCACTCAAGCATGACCAGACTGACAAAAATTGCAGCGGTCGAGAAAGACATTGAGCTTCACGTTGAGGTGGTGAGGCTCCAGTGGTCCACATCTGACAACAAGCTGAAACAAATGGCCAATGAAACTGAGAAAGATAAAAAAACTGCAAGCAGCAATCCAGATGGTGACAAATGACTGGCCAAGCGAGAAGAGCAAGATACTTGAAAACCTCCTCGACCTGTACCAGATGAGAGGAGAATTAAGCACATGTCATGGGCTACTTCTACAAGGAAGCCGAATTGTTGTTCCCCTATCAATGAGGAAAGAAGTCATCGAGAGAATCCACGACGGACATCAAGGCATTGTCAAGTGCCGAGGGAGAGCAGCAAGCTCCGTTTGGTTTCCTGGTATCAACGACGCCATCCCAACGAGAATCGCCAACTGCCAACATTGCCAGGAAAGCCGTCCCAATCAGAGGAGAAAACCTCTCATCCCCACCAAACTGCTGGACAGACCCTTCCAAAGAGTGGGAGCAGACCTGATGACCTTCAAGAAAAGGGACTACCTTGTGGTCATTGACTACTACAGTAGATACCTTGAAATCACACATCTGCCCAACACGTCTACGGCAGTAGTGACTGGCCGGTTGAAGAATATCTTCTCTCACCACGGAGTTCCTGAACTGGTTTTTACAGACAATGGAAGCCAGCTTGTCTCCAAGGAATACCGCAGTTTCGCAGAAGAATGGGGATTTGAAATCAACACGTCCAGCCCGTACTACGCACAAGCAAATGGAGAGGCCGAGAGGGGAGTCCAGCTGCCAAAGAAGATTCTTGCTCAGGGAGACCCATTCCTTGCATTACTATACACTCTCCTATAGAGCCACACTGAAGACGCCTACATGGATGAGTCCAGCAGAACTGGCAATGAACAGGAGACTGAGAACATCCCTGCCGTGTCTTTCAGAGAATCTGAATCTAAAGCTAGTTGACCAAGAAGCAGTGAGAGCCAGGGATGAGAAAACCAAGCTGCATTATGAACAGGCCTATGATCGAAGGCATGGAGTCCAACACCTTCCTCCAGTACTGTTGGGCAACAAGTTCCTGATCAAACTTGACCACAACAAGAAATGGCACAACCCTTCAACTGTATCGAAGAATGCGCAACGAGATCCTACATTCTACGCTCACAGATGGGAGTCCCTCCGGACGCCGATTGCAGTCCCTACCCAGGAGCACCCTCTCCTGGTGTTGGTCTTCGTCCCTACAATCCCTCTGTCCCAAAACCACATGACCTCCACAGTTCCCTGATGCTGTCTCGAGACAAGACGACATGGCCAAGCCAGCATTGGAGCTGACAGCCGAGCTGAAGGCCAGACCAAGTTCTGAGACGCAGGGGCAGCCAAGTTCTGAGACGCAGGGGCAGCCAAGCTCCGAGGCAGAAAGTCCTACTGCTCCTGTTCCTGCTGGCCCACAGAAGGCGTGCTGTGAAGCTTCTCCTGCTTCAAAGACTGACCATCCGATGCTGACAAGAGTGCAGACTTCATCGGTGAAGGGAAATAGACTACTCTGTATGCCAGCTGACTATTATTAGGCACTCCTTGGATATGATGGTCCCAACTTTTGTGACAGGGAAATAACCCAGAGAAAATCTAGAATCTAGTTTTGACCCCACCGACGATTACTTCTGGTACTAAACGATTACTTTTTGATGCGCCTGCCGATATGGAGAGATAGCCTATCAAACCTTCGAATTGCAAAACATGCATGCCCCCCTGAAACACCCCATGTTTTTTTGGTTTTTTTAAGGTAAGGGGATACCCCCCTTGCCTTGTTAAAAACAAGTGAAATTTTACTGCTCATTTTGTAGGCTAGATTTAGATTAGATCTAGGCTAATGATAATACACACATAAAAAACATTGATACCGGCTGTCTAAATTAGTATTGATATCCGGTAGGCCTACACAAAGGTCGGGACTTATATCCAAGGAGTGACAATCAGTTAGTCAGACTCGGCAAACCTTCGGCTTCGCACTGATGGAAAGTAGACTGAATCAGCAGGTTTTTTTGTTGTTCAGGTATTTTTTTACTTATACACACCCGTCTCATGTTCAGGTTTAATATACTTCTTTTCTAGTATTTTGTATGCTGAACACGAATATGGCCTTCGTTTCTGCTGCAAATCAATCGTTATTAAGTATTGATGTTTGAAAATAGTAAATTTAACAGGGGGGGGGGGGGGGCATGGCCCCCTGACCTAAAAAGAATTTGGGGGTTTCAGGGGGGCATGCCCCCCTGCATTTCACAATGATTTGATGTTTTGGCAATTACGATTGATATTTACTTAAAAACAATTGATTTGCAAGAGCTTTAGTGGCCGTATGTGTGTTCTACAGCAAAAACTATGGCAATTTAGCCCTCAAATCAATGCATCTATGTGTGGGTGCATAGTAAAAATTTAGGCGATTGTGTAGATTTCCGCGTTAAATTCCGATACTACACGGGACATCTGACAAACTCTGTTATTCATATTTACAAGAATATATGTGGAAGCAACAATTTAAGGAAAACATTTTTGGCAATCTGTATTGGATTTCATTTTATTACTCTGTTTAACAATTTTGGCAATATTCTGTATTGGATTTCATTTTTGGGATTGGATTACTCTGTTTTTAAATGGTAAGTTCTAGGGCTTAAATGGCTTAAAGGCCGATTAAAACTAGTATCGGAATTTAACGCGGAAATCTACACAATCGCCAAAATTTACCATGTTCCCTTAAGCTGACAAAATATTAATATATGTTGTATTCACCTTGGCACTGACAATGTTATTATTATAACTATTTGCTATGTTATTATTAGTGGTGATGATTGATGACTCATTTTGATTTCGGTACTAAGAGTAAGAAGTGCAGTTGCCAGTAGAAGTAGAAGGTAGGAGAACAAGATTAAGATTAAGAATAATTCTAGATTGCTACATGATCTAGATATAGATCTAGAATCTATATATCTATATATATAAATCTAATTCTAGATCTAGAATATAGATCTAGATCTAGATATAGATATAGATATAGATAGATCTAGATATATATTAGATCTAGAAGTCTATTAGACCTCAAAAAGGATACAGCATTAATAAACGAACTTCTTTTTCCTTTTGTTTCATCTTTTTCAGTATTGTAAGAAGTCCCATAGTTGTACAAAACAGGTAGTAAGCTGAAATAGGCCTACTGAAACTGAACGTATCCGCAAATCAGACACAAGAATTAATTTTATGTTGTCAGTTGTTAGCTATTTTTTTCTGAAAGTAGCCCCCCTTGATATGGCTCCCAACGTCATTCTTATGTATCGCTATTTTCGTGAATAACTCATTACAATTATTATGATAAATTTGGAGCATTCTATTTGAAAATATTTACAATAATTCTTACAGTATTCAAATCATGCTAATTTATCGTACACATATTGTATGAAAATAAGAAAAACTAATCGGTTGTACCAAAGTAATTAAGTTGAAATGTATTTAGTATCGACGATACTTTAATTATACGTGGACACTTCCGGTTAAATGGGCTTCTTCTAAAGCAAAAGACAGGAGAGTGGGCAGTGGGTTAGCGAAGAGACTACTTCAGCTTTCATTAACATTGCAGTGGACCTACCGCCTACAAACACGAATTCTGTAATCCTCGCCATGCAGATACCATTAACATGTCTTTATGCTAGACGAGTGTACTGTTATTTGTGCAGTTAGTGTGCTAAACCTAGCATTATGTCTCAGGATTCTAGATTGAGCGTCCATGACAACATCTGGCATTTCTCGGTGACGGATCCACAACTTCATAAAAAGGGATACACTGTTTACAAAGTGACTTGCAAGGTAAGAATTTAGATCAACTAAGAAAGATGTACCTGTTTCTTTTTTTGTGAACCAAAATAAAGCAGACAGATCATAACTAACACTGCATAACATTATTCCATAGTTCTACATGTCATATGTTTATCATTGAATTTAGGGCTTGAGATCCAGGGTACTTGTAACTGGGTCCCGCCTGGGGAGGCCTACTAGATATCTAAGTACTAGATTTCTAGTTAGATTTCTAGATCTAGTTTTGACCCCACCGACGATTACTTCTGGTTCTAAGCGATAACTTTTTAATGTGTGAGCCATTATGGAGAGGCTATCAAACCTATTTGCAAAATATCAAATTATGGTTAAATTCAGGGGGGCGTGCTCATTTTGTTGGCTAGATTTGGCTAGATCTACAAGACTTATAAAACATCGATACCGAACATTTAAATCAGTATTGATATCCAGTACTCTGTGTGGATGATGCCAAGTCTAAACAGACGGGATTCAGATTCTTTTAAAGTTGTACTGAATTTAGTTTTAATTTAGTCCGGCTGCCATTATTCCCAATAGCCTATTTTCTCTTACGCAGTGGCTACGTTCACGGTGCCGTGAACTTGTAGTTGGCAGGCAACGTTCATGGCACCCTGAATGTAATTTGCAGACGCTGTTGAGGCTACGTTCACGGCACTCAAGCTTCTTTTAGACGGAGCGTCCACTGCCGGTTTCAGTAAGCGGGTTTTAGTCAGTGACGACTGTGACGTATTATATTTAATATTTTGGCCTGCTTCAAGCGTTCCATCACATGAGATGAGGGGGATTTCACGGTTTGGACCCACAGGTTTCCCTTTTTCCCAATGTTTTTCAGGATTTTGAACTTTTTCAAAAGGTTATAATGTAGCCTAGACTCTATTTTGTATCAATGGAAAGGTTTTTCAAAGAGGAATTTTAAAAAGTTAGACAGCAAAGTTGTAAAAAAAGTTATTTAATCAAATGTAACCTTACCTTGGTCCAGTGCAAACAATACAATCCATGAATATCACCAAATTCTGTATAATAATCCATTTAATTGAATTCACTGTCCACAAAAATCATTAACGAAAATAATTAAATAATAAAAATAAACAATAAACAATAAAAAGGGAATAACTAAAAGAAAAAGAAAAAAAAAATCAGTTGAAAAGATTGCTCACAACGTTGGAACAGCCTATATAAGACCCCGAAATCATCTTCTGCGACCATCTGGACAGCTCAAAGCTTTATCGGCATCAAACAAGACAATCACAAAGAGAACGCACTATTTTTGTCCCTAATGTCATTTGTTTACTTACTTCCTAAACGTGCTGCACGTTGTGTTGCAGTCTTTCAATCAATATAATAAATATGACAGAAGCATGTGTAATAGGGTTAGATTTGTAATGCGTTCCAACGTTGTGGGTTCCGCACGTTGTAGTCTTACGAAGAAAAAACTTGGAAAACAAGACAAAACATCCACCTCATCGAAAAGGACGCTAAAGAATGAAAGAAGGGCACCAAACGGAAGTAGTTAATAGCCTCGGCTTCGTGGAAAGCCCTCGTGATTTTCCATAAATCTCAGAGAAATGCCGGTCACGCACATAAGTTGCCTTAGACTCAGCGGTAGGGGTGCGTCACAAAATACTCTCGAATCTACTATTAATAAATAATTTCTTCAATTTTCGCAAATTACAGCTAAAACCGATGTAGAAATGAGTATCGCGTTGTCTGAGCATAATATAAAAACTTCCATTCATTTTGCTTTTGGAAGTAATTTTAGCACTTCACGTAGAGTCAAAATGTAAGACTTACACCCGCGATTTATGACCACCATTTCGCTCTGTCCGTTGCCGTTTCAAACCGGTGCTCCATTTAGTTTTTTTGACTCATCACATTAGAAAAACATACTTCTTGGGTGTTCTAGCCATTTTTGGAGAAAATCTAGCATATTATGCCATTTAAAACAAAAATTGTCAGACTCGCAAACATCGGGAAACGCTGTAAGTCTCAATCCTAACGTCCATGACCCGGTTACGCAAAATATCAAACAAAATAAACAAAGTCAACACTTGCTTTTTATTCACGTGTTTATTGGGCACATAAACAATTAAAACAACACAAATTGAACACAAAACAGTACAACAGGAGAATTTTATTTAAAAAAATAAACCCTGTGTTGTCTCTCACACCCTTACTGTGAAATCCGCCATAAAAGTAAAACGAAGCAGTGATCCTTGACCGATCGACCATTCGTTGTTTTCCCTTCTATTGAGCTCTTGGCTCACAGCTCGCAAACGTGTAAGGGAAAACGACGAATTCTCAATTACGCTACAACGCATTATTAGGATATATATGACAAAAATGTATACACGCCGACCAAGATGTTTCAATTGCCCTATCTCGCATCTGGGCGCGACCCTGTGTTAGCGCGTGACGGTCCGTGACGAGTGTATACAAACGTTACAGCGCTCTCGAGTTAAAAGCGTGCAATTTTGTCTGCGGGCAGTGTGTGTGGGAGAAAGAGAGAGAGAGAGAGAAAGGGGGAGAAAGAAAGAATTTTTAAAAGGTGGGGGGAGGGGAAGAGAGAAAGAGGGGAGGGAGAAAGAAGGAGGGAGAGACAGACAGACACAGACAGAGAAAAAAAGAGAGAGGATAATAAGAAGAGAATAATTGATTCCCGTCATTTTCTCTCTGCTTCGGTTCTCAGGCTGACCTGGTGCAATTCAGTCATTATTGTACACATTTTATTACCAATCCCATCTTCCGAATCCCACCTTTTGTTTCCTTTCTTTCATCTCTTGTTTCCCATATATGTACCGTATCCAATTTTCCATATTCCCATCCCGACTTTAATTCTGTATTTTAAAGTAAGGGCGCTTCGTTTTCCTTCATCTCATGGGATGGAACACTTGAAGCTGGCCAAAATATTGAATATACGTCACTGTCACCACTGACTTAAACCGGCAGTGGACGCTCCCCCTAAACGAAGCTTTAGTGCGGTGAACGTAGCCTCAACAGCGCCTGAAAACTGCATTCAAGGTGCCGTGGACGTAGCCACTGCATTTCTCTTCCTAAGGGGATTTTAAAATACTTTACTCAATAAGTCAATTTTTGACTAAGGTGTGTGTATGTTCTTGTGTGCATGATTTAGTTTTACTTTCATTCATATTTTTTGGCCTTTTTCTTTGCTTTCAATGAGATTGGTTTGATATGACAGAAAGCATTGAAAAGCTAAAAGTGGATGTTTTTCTCCTTAGTCCTTAGCATTAGCACTCTCGTTTTAATTAGCGATTGTTAAGATTCCCATGTTTAATTCCGGTTAGGGTTAGGGTTAGGCCTAGGTACCAAAGCGAAACATGCCTGAGGCTATGAAAAACGCATTCATTCGGAATTAAATGCGGGAATCTCAATCATCGCATATATGTGCTCAATATTTCCTGACCCAACATAAAATTGTAGAGGCGTACTAGATCTCTCTAGATCTACTTTGGCTAGATCTGCCAGTGTATGTCGAATTCAATAGTTGAGTGGCTACTGAACTCATATAAAAAAGATGTCAATGCTGGTTTGGGTGCTGGGCGCTTCCCTTCATCTGATGTTGTGTCCTTGGGAGGCACTTTAACACAACTGTTCTAACTTGGCACGATCACCCTATCAAGTGGATGGGGTTTAAAATGTCCTGGAACAACATAACATCACTTTGCACAGGACTGAAACCTGCACCTCCCCTCAACATCCTAAGGATGTATACCACAGGAAGGAAAGAGTAAAAGTAAAGTAAGTCCTATCAAAGGTGGACATTACATTTGGAGGTACCACCTCCTGTAACTACACAGTTTTGCAAATGGTGTTAAACTGATACAATGTTTTCACATTTCGTACCCTCTGTTGGTAAAATGGTTGATGGGTGGATGGATAGTGTGTGCACTTCGTTTGGTTCCAAAGCAGGAGAAAGTAATAGAGTGATGCTGATGAGAGCCTTACGACTGAAAGAGCAAAATGCTCTCTTACATCAGATCATGATCATCACAATGTAACTAATTATAATACCAGTGATCAGAGCGTGCCACCCACTCCTTTTGTGTAATCACCAATACATTCTTCATGTTCAAACTCCACACATACGCACACACTCATGCATGCACACGCGCACACACACACACACACACACACACACACACACACACACACATTATCCACACACTGTGCCATTTATATGGCAATATAATGGCTAATTACAAAACCATACTGTTTACCTTCAGTCACACCCTACTACCCAGCACCCACCCTCACATACTAAATTCATGGAAGTTTTAGGTCCCTTAACACACTACACAGGTAATTTGAGATGAAGTTTCTTGATACCAACTGTGTTCGTTGAGCTGTGTGTGGACGAGCCTGGTTAGGCCTGTGTAACCTGATACTTTTGAAGATGATGGTTGTTTTCCAGATGTCATGTTTGTCAGGGTGATGTAAATTCGAGGCAGCTTTGAGGAAAAATTTGATCTGGCTTTTTTTTAGATGAGCTAGTCATTGGCAGAGAAGATATTGCGGGTCAGTTGGGGAATGGCTTTTAAAAAATTTTGCCATCTATAAATTAAAGGCTTGCTTTTTCGAGTTATCTTTGCGCAACTGTAATTCTTTTCCTTCAGCCTCAATTTTTGTCATCTTTCTTCAACAGACATTTCCCATAAAGTCACCAGAGACTTTAACAGAGGTAAGTAACAAATTCAGTGGTTCTGCACATATCTGATTTTATGACTTATTCATTATTCCTTTGACTGGTTTTGTACACTTAATTTGTGTAAACTTAATGTTGGTACATTGTCATGAAATGTTTTACATCAGCTGCAGCTCTCAAATGCAGCATATTCTTGTGCTTACTTAGTTGTTCTTGATGTAACTGCCAAGGCCTATTCAGATGTTAAGTTGAAATTTTCCCGTGAAGTTACATGGTAAGTGTAGTGGATTGATTTTAGTGCTGCTCCTGTAGAGTAGAAGATTATAGTGGGAAGTATTTATTTAGATGGGGGGGGGGGGGTTGTTTTACTTTAAGCTTTGTCAATTCTGTCTTTGAATGATTTCATTACCTTTTTTTTTTTTGTAAATGGAAATTTACTTTTGACATGAAGATTCCATGCAATTTTTTTTTCAGGTCATTTGTTGGAAAAGGTACAATGACTTCAAGACTCTCTACAAAGCACTGCATGCTCTCCATAAGGCCCTTCATCGAAGAGATCAGTTTCCTATCTTTGCGAAGCCCAAGTTATTTGGTAAGGATAGATATTTTGCTGCTTTATTGCTTTTAAAGATCAGATTTCATTATTTTTTGCTGAAAAAGCCACCATAATAAACCATATTTTAAACACCACCTTGACAAATCTGAATTGCGCGAGTAATCCTCCAGAAATTGATCTTTTCTTGGTAAGTTGGTATCTTCAGTAAACGTTTCACACATGTGTTGTCATAGCAGTTCATAAATATATATAATATTTGTACTCAGTCGAGATGCTGGCATTGACCAGACGGTGTTCTCTGCTATTTTCAACATTGAGAACTTGTAACTTGTTGCGTTTTTCAGTATGATCCAACTCTGTAGTAAAGTTTTTTAACATTTCGAAAGATTCTCTTAAATTCTTTGTGAGTCATTGTGTCTTTCTGTGTGCAGGTCGGTTTGATGAGACTGTCATTGAAGAGCGGAGACTGAGCGCTGTGGAGCTATTAAACTTTGTCGCCACTCAGCCGCACTTATACAAATCATTGGTGTTCAAACAGTTTTTGGAGGTAAGTGTACATACTCTTAACCCTTGAAACGCGCAGTGTCTCACTGGAAGGAAACCACCCTAAATGCCTTACCACCACACAGCTGATCGGTTGTAAACATGGGATGGGGGGGGGGTGTATCGGCTGAGGTATCAGAGATTTATGCGTGCCACTGAAATCTGACTATTTATGGCTCAACAGATGATAAAAGACCTACATATGAAACTATCTTTTCCCAAAGCTAATAGAATGAGCCATTCAAAAATGATCAGCCATAAAAAAATTACAAATACAGCACAAAACGCGATGAAGTGAACGATTAGTACATTAGCACGGTGAAACAAGTGATAACACATAGTGTGTATTCGCTCATCTGGACCACATCACTTTAATTATTTTGTCGAATGATATCTAGGCTAAGAGATGCCTTACAAAGTCAAAATGACTTGCATACTCATTGGTCACTATTTATAACTTTGACCTGCAATTTACTACAACATTTACCATATGAGGAACCAGGGTCTATGCCCTTTATATATAGGGCCTGCGTGCTTCTCGGTTGAAGTAGGTCGGCCTTTAAAATACGTAGGGCCGATAGGGCTGCAGCGCTCCCGGGTAGCCCGGCTCACGCTCTATGTATAGGGCCGCCGCACTTCCAGGGTTAATACAATTCAACATGTTCAAACAATATTGAAAGGTAAATCTGTGTGCAGATTTTTATAGCTGGACATGGAAAGTGTCGTTATCAAAATTAGTAAGAGTGGAGGTGTTAAAATTTTGCTGCTGCCACATTTTTGGGGGGGAGAAATTCCTAGCAGATTTAGGAATTTCTCATATTTTGAAAAGACTTTGTGATTCACTTTACTGATACTGATGTTGTGTTTGGTATCAATTTGTTCATGACATAAGCACTTTTGACTGTGAGAGCTCATTTTCATCCAGAACATGGCTATTACTTGCCATGGCAACAGAACCAAGGTGACCTAATAGCTGTAAACAAAATGTAGGAGAAAACAAAATGTGGAAAATTGATGATATAATATGCTTATTATTTCCAATTCTTTTGACAGTTTACGTCTACATACTTTTGGAACACTTACAAGTGTAGTTAGTATGAGGTATAGTGTTGTGAACAAGGATTCCGACTCCAATCTTCTGATTTGTTAACAATAAATGGGAAAATCGATTCATTTGTGAGGCGTGCTGACAAAATGAGTTACTTCTCGCAATCCACAAGGGGAGATATTGGCCAAAAAATGGACACTAGGGTCAAGTTTATAGATTTTGTATTGATGCCATATTCTTAAAGTATAACATGCTTTTTATTACCTCATACATATGAATTGTAAAAACTTCACCTATAAGCGTGATGTATTGATTTCCTTAAGGCTCGAATCCGAGAAGTAACTCATTTTGTCAGCACGCTTCAAAAAATTGCTGTAAAACTTGCAAATAACCTCCAATATACAGTCAAAGGGACGTGGCTTAGTGGCTCAGTTAAATGCAAAGCGGTTAATGTTTCGTTTTAATCGTCTTATCTTTTGTCCACCTTTTAGCTAATTAAGTCAGCTCTTGACTGCCTCATGTTCCAGCATATGAGTGTTAAGCCTATATTTATAGTGTGCAAGTTTTTACACCTTGACCATGTTTCCTCCTGACTCTGTCTCAGTTCGCCCCCTTTGCTTAGCCTCCCACATCACCACTTGGGTCACATATTCTGCTGAAAGTCGTATGAAAAGAGCGGAATGTTTTTAACCATAAAATCAATTCGAGGATTTTAAACCAGTATTGGAATAGATTTTTTAATCCTCCACCACCCCCCATTAAGAAAAAAGATAATTGGATGAAGGCCAAGGGTCTTACAGAAACTTAATGTACTCCATTGACTTTCTGTAACAGCTGTTACCAGATTGAGAAAAAGAAGCTACCTGCTGTTAAACATTTTTTTAAAAATTTCTGTGTGACTCATGTCATACCCAATCAAAGTTTGATTTGATTTGAATGTTGAGATTTTATCCGTGGGTCGTTGAGGGGAAAGGATGCAGCATGGTGAGATTTTTGTTGTCTTTTTCCCTTTTTTTTTTTCTTTTTTTTTTTTTAGTTCAAACTGGGTGACATGTTATTGGATGGACTGAGAAATTCAAATTGTTGGCAGGATCATAATAATATGTAACTTAAGTATACTTTAATGTGAAGAAAAAATGTAGGGCAGTATTACTTTTCATTTTTTTTCTCTGAAACGTAATGTGTATTACTATTTGTTATTTATTTGTAGGATGGGAAAGAGAAAAGGAATTTCAGTACTGGTTCAGCTCTGGGTCCCAAACCATCGACGCTGGACATTCTGTCCAGTGGACCACAAGCTGGGGGGAACCCGCCCCCAGATTTGGTGCCTACTATGGTGCCTTCTTCACATGCACACCGGAATCTGGACCAGGGTCAAAGTGCCGATGTTTCTCCTGAGCTGCTGCAGTCAGTCAGCGCGGACCATGGAGCTACAGCCAACGGGAGACAGAATGGAGGAAGTAACAAATCTCCTGATGCCCTCACCGAGTAGGTTTTCACACAGTCAAATGCAGAGTGCAGAGCAGTTAACCCACTCTACAGTTTCAGAAACTCAGTGTGGTCTTCTTCTGCTGATAATTTTAATACAATTTATTCAAATTTTAATTTTGGTGTCATGCCTTCATCTATTCTCACCTTTTTATTCATACTGCGTTTTTGTTTGATTTGTGGATTTTTTTTTTCTGCGCAGATCTAAGCTTTTTGTTTCTTAATTTTTCTTCAAAGAGGTATTTTATTACCTTTTTTAATGTTAATAAATATTTTTTAGGTCTTTTAAAAAAAATAATTTTTCATTTGAGTTTGAAATGTTTTTCTCGAAATGTAGATAATGAATCTGTTATTCTTCTGCCAGCATGAGCCTGTTTCTTTATACAGTTGACTCAAATGAATTTTTTGCTCTGTGTCCCTTGGATAATAGTGAATACACTAATGTGGTCTGCTTAGTCTACTTTTTATATTGGGTCTCTATTGTTTTTATCTGTTTCTTGGTGAAACGTGGTTACCACGCTGATGGACTGTAAACCACAACTAACCCTTCCTGTGGAGCTTAGACAAATTAAGTAGATTATATTTTACAGTTCTTATCTAAAGTCATTTTCTGAATTGTTCATATCTAGCTTATTTGTAGCAATAAAGCCGAAGGTAGAAAGTGGAAATTGCGGGCAAAACATTAGGAACAAGTTCTCATAAATTATATCTGCTTGATAACTATAGAATAAATTTAAGTTATGAATTGTGGTAGGACAGTTCCAGATATTTTTTATTTTGAAGATCTCAGCTTGTGAGGAAAAATTCAAGGTGATGTATAGAAGAAGTTGAGAATGCTCTCTTAACCTCACCATTTGTCCTCCCCAGGGTGGCCATGCTGGACGGGACGTGGAACTACCCCCAGGTGGCTGACAACATCAGCCTGGACTCCTCCACGGGAGACGAGACGGTAGATTCCGATGATGAGTCCATCCTGGCGAGCTCTCTGCCTGATGCCGATCTGGCCTTCTTCGACCCCCTTCCCCATGACCAGCCAGCTACGACTGCTGAAGAGACAGGTGGGAACATGCCGAGGAGCAACAGCTGGCTACTCACAGGCCTCAACATGTGCGCGGAGATCGACAGTCAGCCCCAGGCTGAGGAGACTAAAGGTTTGTGATACTCAACAGTGTCTGGGTCAGCAGCTACCCATCATAAAAGTCTTAATGTGTTTTGTTTTTTTCGCGTGTAGATTAGATAAATGTTTTTTCTTTTCAAACTATCTTATTTCTTCAGGAGCTTCAGTTTCAGTCAGTCTTCGGTATTTATTTGTGTGGTCGGTTGCTTCTTTGCTGTGGTCGGCCTAGTCATCTTGATTTCAGTGTAATTATTGTCAAAATCTTCTTGCTGTAATGTAGCTGTTATCTTGAGGACCTCACTATGAACTTCTTCTTTCCAAAATTTGAATTTTAGTTCCAGTTAATTTTATGATTAGTTAAAATTTCAAGCATGTTTCCTTTCCATTTCAACGATTAGGAAACATATTTCTAACTGAAAATAAAGTGTGCCCTTGATCTGTGTGCTAGTGTATCTTTAACGACAATTTATTTATCAAGGAAATGTGAAGAATATTAAAAGAGATTTTCTCATGTTCTAGTTTTGCTCTTGTTTTCAGATGAAGGTTCTGAACTCCCAAGCTTGCATGGCCCTGAAACTACAAAAAGAAAAGACACTATGCTCAGCACAGACTCCACCCTTACAACGAGTGGGTCAACTCCCTCCTCCTCTACCCTGGACAGGCTGACCACTGATGCTGACAGCGCTAGTGACAGCAGGAAAGACAGCCTGGGGGACAGTAGCACCATCACCGGCCACGGGACTGACCTGGAAGAGTTTGACCCTCTAAGGAAGATGTCGCAGAGCTCGGATTCTTCTAGGGTGGAGTGCGGCAGGGGGGATTTAGATCTGTCAACAGAGTGGCAGTCCAGGTCTGCCAGTGTTCTCTCCCCTGTCTCAACCAGCTCTCAAAGGTGAGGGATTTGTCGCTGAAAGTTTTAGGCTGTCGTGACCAGATGGCTCAGGGATGTCCTTCTTTTCAGCTATTTCTGTTTATTTTTTTCTAGAAGAACCGTTATTATTCTAGGCATTTTTTTCTGTTGTGTCTATTAACTCTTTTTGTTTGCAAATGCAACTTCCATAAATTTTCTGATGTTTTCACACAATCCCAGGGGTATCCCTGATGGCTGTTAGTCTATGGGTGTGTGCATCAGGAGATAAAAGAGAAAGGGGAGAGAGAGACCATGGTTTTTCAAGTTTTGTTGTTATTGTGAATAAGCATATATTTGTTCTCTGGTGTCTGTGGTATTTTGGTTGCTTTCCTCAGTGTTGCACCCAAAAGACATGAGTTCAACTTCAGAATTCGCTTGTTCTTTTTTCAAACATCTATCTATAGGAATGTTAATAGTCCAAAGCAACTAATTTTAAGGATTTTCTCATAGGTCCCAAAGTTAGGTGATAATTCTGAAAATAAAAAATCCCATTTTCCCCCAAACTTCTCAAAGTGGAGTTAGACCTCTCTTTATCTCATTGGCATATTTATAGTTTGCTGGTCTTTTGTCAAATGTTGAAGGTGATTCTGGTTGTTTTTTTAACCAGATTGCCACCCACAAATGTAGAACAGCAAAAAGAGAAGCCTCGAGCAGCAACCCTACCTAGCAAACCAACATCCCAGGTTTCATCACGATCACAGAGTCTTGGTTCAGAGAAATCAGAAGATTCTGAGAAAGCCAAAAGTAACTCTTCAACACCTAAACGGTCTTCGAGGAGTATGTTAAGGAAACTTGTGTCTGGCAGCCCCGGCTCCCACAAGCCACGTTCGGGGACAGAGCAGAGTGTCTCTACCATGGACTTAGGAGGTTTGTATCCATCAGTACAATTCATAGCCAGCTTCTTGTTTATTTTTATCAGCTTATTAATCTTTTTTCTTTGGAACTTAATTTCATTTAAATTAAAGTATAGGTCAAGAGGAAAGTCATACGTTATGTAAGTAAGGCTTTTTAAAATTCCCTTTTCATTTACTTACACGGCATCGGAGAACACAGAAGTTCAGAGGGTGAAATCAGGATAGTAAGGTTGGGTTTTCATTTTTGAAAAGACGTTCTGTGTTCTCATGCCAATCCTCATTACATATAAAACGGGATGGTTTACTAAGTGTGTTTTTTACTACATGAGAGAAAAATCCTGAAAGATCAAACATCCTGTTCTCTGTGTCTGGGACATGTGATATTTCAGTGCTTCTTGTATCTGTCTCCAGTGTAGGAAAATGTAAGGGCATTTAGGTAGCTCAGTTGTTACTGTGATGGACTACAGTGCAGGTGACCTTGGTTCAAATCCCCAGTGAGAATTTCTCGAACACAATATCTTATTAGAGAGTTTTGAAGGCTTTCCGCCCACTTGGCTTTTGTCATATTGGGAGATGAACATTAGGTTTCAAGATCCTACCTCTAAGATAAACCTCCCTTTTTTTAAAGGGTGTTAAACTTGTACCATACTATAACATAGGAACATATTGTAATGTTACCTTAACAATTTCAGACTGTTAAGACATACAAAGAGTAATTCGTACACCTTTGTATTAAAGTATACTCTAGATTGTGAATTATAAAATGGACTTTAAAGGTAATACCAGTTGACACATATTCACAAAGAGATACATCTTTTGAAATGACTGTAGGCCCTTGTTTGGTTTGCTATTACTTCTGATTAATGTATTGCCAGCACTAGGTGTATAGAACAATTGATGAAAGTTGAAGTATCCATGTTCATCCCTTTTTGTCGATTGTTCTGAATTATATGATATATGTTTCTAAGTTACTTTTTGAATCTTTATGTGTCAGGTAAAGAGGATTATATCTACCTGGCTGCCAGCCAAATCTGCATGGCCCAGAACAGTGAGGCCAATGGAGACTATGAAGTAGCTTTTGCTTACTACAAGAGCGGAGTGGGAATCCTCTTACAGGGAGTTCAAGGTAATGAGAGACTAGGACTGTATTCTCTATTTCCCTCATTAGTTCATCCACTGTCAACAGATTAGTTTTGTTTGCTCTGGTCCCTTTGTTTGAAAATATACCTGCGCTGAAACATTTTGTGTTGATATTTCTAGTGTTATTGTTGTTATTGATCCAACAGTGTTAAAGTTAAAATGTGTTCTTTGTTTATTACAAATTATTTGCTTCAATAAATTTGTCTTGGGCAACTGATTTTGACATCAGCATGACTTAGATTTATGTATAAATGATCCACTGGTGTTGCAGTAAAATGTGTTCTTTGTACTGATGCTGTTATTGCCTTTAATTACCTGTGTTCCTGTGGCAGTGTTTGCCTCTTTTGTGACACAATTAAAGAAGGGTCCGTCTTACTGCGACAGGTGACACTAACAAAGGCAGAAGGGATGCTGTCCGAAGGAAAACTGCTCAGTACCTAATGAAGGCAGAAGATCTCTTCAACAGACACTTGGCTACAGAAAAGGTTGATGAGAGGAGATGGGGAGTAAGGGACTTTATTTCTTTCATTTGCTTTTATGAATAAGTAGAGGTTGTGTTGTTTTACGAATCTTTTGATAAATCAATTAGTTGTTATGAAAGGAATGAAGCTTGAGAAATGCTTTTAGAAATTAACTGTCCTCTGTTTTCAAGTATCTTTTTTCCGCTACTTTTTCATTAATTTTTGGTTCCCTGTAGTAATTATATAATTGCATATTAAATTGTCTTGCCTATGACTATTTTTACTTATATCCGAACCCATTGAGTATAATTATGTGCATCACAAATTCAAATATCTTATTATTTGAAATGTTTTCCCATGCTAGGACATTTTTATGAAATTATGTTTGTAAGATTTGTGCTAGTTCCAAGCTTATGATTTGTGGTAGGCTGTTGTGTGTTTTACCTCCTGCACAATGTAGACAAGATAAACTCGCACAAAAAAGTCAAGGAACAAAAATTCAAAGAAAGATAACTGAAGAACAGTTTAACCAAATTTATTCATTTTTTCTAAAAAGATGCTTTCGACTATTTAGATTAAGTGTGTACATTTTCAGATTTCAACAAAAACGAGAAGTTCATGTAAAATGAGTTAAAGTCACACTGGTCGGATTTCAAAAGTCTGAACTGCCATAGTTCTTCATGAACATTGTCAGTAGTGGATGTAGCCACTCCGTTTGATCAGACACTCGGCACAGCGTCGACTCATGGACAGGACATGCCTTCGGAGAACTTGTTGCGGTAGGTTCTGCCTCTCCTGGACAAGGCAGCCCAAGAGTTGTTGAAGGTTTTATGCAGGAGGGTGGTTGTCCCTTATCTACCAGTCAATATGATCCCAAATGTTCTCTATTGGGTTCAAATGCGGACTGCAAGCTGGTCAGTCCATGCGGGTGACAGCTCATTGCTGCAGGAAGTCCCCCACAATGCGTGCGCGATGTGGCGCGGCGTTGTCGTCATGCAGTACAGCCTGGGGTCTAATCTGCTGCAGGAGAGGAACACCAAGGGGATGCAGGATTTCTTCCCTGTACGTTGTGGCGGTCAAATTACCCTGTATATGGTACAGGGGGTCTTGTGGTGAGCTGAGAAGCCTCCACACACCAGAACGAACCCTCCACCGTAGGGCGCCACCTTCTGGATGTATTCAGGGTGGAACAGCTCTCGTCAGCACCTCCAGACGTGGGCTCGCCTGTCTGGGTGCAGCAGGTTGAATCTGGATTCGTCCGAGAAGACTACGTGGTCCCTCTGACATTGTGTCCACTGTGAAAGGCGAGCAGACCACGCCCGGCCAGCTGCTTGGTGGGGTGGCGTGTGCCTTGGGCGCCTGGCAGGGACACCAGAAGCGAACTTGGCTCTACGGATACAGTTCCTTACAGTGTCCTCGCTCTCGTGGACATTGGCTGTCACCCGTAGGTGGTCCCTGATGCCGTTTGCAGTTGTGGTTCGTGACGTCACGGCCTGTCTGACGGTGAACCGGTCAATGCTGTCGATGGTCAAACATGGTGCCCTGGTCGAGGCCTGTCCTGGACCCTTTCGTCCGCTCGCCATCGTTCTTGCAGCCTCTATATGACTAATGGGGATACCCCAAGTCGATGTGCAACGACTGGGAACGTGGAGCCATCTTGGAGCCAGGCAAGGGCTCGTCCTCTGTCGACGTCAGGCAGCAAGCGTCGTTGGACAACCTTGGCTTATAAAGGGTTGTAAGTGAGCAATATTCACAGCTAAGACATCTGTTTAGAACGTGCCTAGCTTAGTTTAAGCTAACAGTCCCAATGCCAATGTTGCTGAAGTAGAGAAATTTAGCCCATTTTTCATGTTTTTCGGCCGTGTTTCAGAATGCCCTACGCCGTCGCTGTGAAGCTGATGCGGGCAAATTTGCTGTACAGGCAAACTGTGTCTAGTCGTCAGTGCGTGTGCCAAGTTTGGTTGACTGATCTTAACGGGTTTGTGAGATATTGAAGTTTAAATTTGACAGGTGAAAACACAAGTTGTTCCTTGACTTTTTTGGGCGAGTTTATTTCCCGTATGTCTCACTGATTTTGTGCCCCCCTCCTCTTTGTCAGGCTGACAGTTTTCTGTCCCCCTCCCTGGACCTGGATCCCTCATTTGCCTTCATCAGAGGATCTGTGCGAGAACTTCGCAGCTTTCAAGTCTTGGGCACTATTGATAAAGTCATCCTTGTCCGTGACAAGACCACAGATGAGACTTATGTCATTAAAGTAAGATAACCCTCTTTTATGCCATGTTCTCTTTCTGACCTGTTTTCTCATTCTTTCAATTGAGTATATGTACAGAAGTTTCAAGTTTACTTTTTTAAAGCCCTTTTCCTTGTAAATAATTCACCAGAAGTAAATTTTTTAATTTTTGCGCCAAAAATTTGTACGAACATACCAGTGAAAAGTCGTGCTCATGGATTATGTGTGAAATTTCTCTCAGTCTACAGCTTATTAGCTCCGTATCTCTAAACCCTTTTCAATGTGTGTGTCTACATTGACTGCCCACCTGATTATGCTTCTTTTACCACCACCCTGCCTTCTCACTGTTTCTAATCTACCTCCCATATATTATGTCTTTGTAGAGGTGCTTTGCTGAGGAAGCAATGTCTAACATTGATCCCTATAATTGTCATCTGAGCAAGAATATCCCTCTGTTTCACATGCATAAATGTTAGTGTCAGTAACTTCACAGTTAATATCAATAATTAACTCATTCAAAGTTTCATCAGCTGTGTGAGATCACTCTTCCATCTTTCAAACCTCGGTCGCTCCTGCTCTAACGGCCACCTCCCATTTCCCCCCTTGCATCTTTTTTACGTTATAATGACACTGTGCAAGACGTCCACCTGTCTAAGATGGCCACTTTTTTCCTTGAATTTGTGGTCATCTTAGAAAATTTTGACTGTATTCAAACAAACTGACCTACAATCTCATGAGCACTAAAACAGTTTGACATGAAAGTCAGATTATTTTGAAATCTCTCTTTGTTTTTTCTACAAGGGAAATGGCTGTGATTAAAATGTAATGGATGTTTTCAGAAATATCACTTCAAACAGGGCATCCCTGTGTGAGAGCAGCTGAGGGCAAATTGTGAACACATGGAATCCCTATGTGTGATAAAAAGTGTGCTCCTGTATTATTGTCTAGGCATAGATTTTTTTTTTTCTTTTTTCACACATTTTAAAAGGTTTCAGTGACAATAACGTTGTGTTCAGTATGTTTTAACGTTGTGTTCAGTATGTTTTCATCATGATTGTACTAACCATTTTAGTTGGATATATTGTTGCTGTGTCTGAAGTCAATACTTCATCTCCCATAGAGTAGGGTGGGGGGGGGGGGGGGGGGGTGAAGAGAAATTTATAAATTTGTTTCGTAATGTTTCCAGATGATTAAAAACCTTTACTTTTCTTTCAGTCAATTGCCAAATCCACCCCTGACATTGGGCGCACTCAGTCCATTCTGCCCACTTCCTGCCCCCATATGGTCAGCCTGCATAAGTTCTACGAGACTGACAGTACAGTGTTCCTGTTGCTGCAATATGCCAGTGGTGGCAAACTGTGGACATACATTGGTGACTACTTAAGTCAGGATAAGCCTGGTCATGCTGATGCGGGTATCGAACTGGGGGCCGTGCACTGCCAGGCCGATCAGCGCAACATTTATTCCGGCACCAAAATAGAAAATGAGGGTGAAAATTCAGAGTCTTCGCAATCTGAAGCAAAGACCGATGCTGTGTCAATGAAAGATGTTCAGAGTGTAAAAAAGTCGACCAGCGGTTTGAATAATGTTGTTCAAAATGTTCAGTCCTCCCATGACAAAGGTGTGATAAGGTTCTCGTCTTTACGAAAAGACAGCAATGTGGATGGTGGGGACTTGAACACAGACAGTCCAGCTGTATATGATAAGGAAACTGATGACACATTACCTGAGACTGTGGATACAAGTTTAACTTTGAGTCAAAATCCACCTAAAACTCCAGTGGGGCGGCGGTTCTCAAGCTTGTCTGATGACTGCTGCCAGGTACAGGAAGGTGACAGCAGCGTGATATCTCCGTCCACACTGCTGGAGGAGGACCACTTCCAGATGTTGCTGCAGGAACACAGAGCCAACCTGGCCAACTTCTCCATCAACAGCCTGGACAGTGAAGAGCCTGCTCACCGACACAGCTCCAGCTTTGTGGAAAGAGCGGACAGCATTCTAGAAGCCTCTGAAGATGACGTTGATATTGCTTCCTCAAAACAAGTTGCCTCTCGGCAAATCAGTGCGGATGAAGTGTTTCAGATTACACGCAGAGAGGACTCTCATGGTGCTGCTGGAGATAGTAGAGTGAGACACTGCAGCACAGACGGTGTTTTCCCAACTGCTGATGCCAAAAGATTTGCTTCTTCGTTTAAGGCCGACGATATCATACAAAGTTCTCGGCAGCTCCTGAACGAAGTGGAGAAGGTTTTGTCCGAGACAGATGACAGGGGCACAGAAGGTGGTCAGACAAATCGGAACTCCAGCATAAGTGAAGAAGGTTCTAGTTCGGCTTCTGGGGTCAAGGACAGCAGCAGTGCCTGCACCGACTCCAACGAGGAGCCCAGCATTTATGACATCAACAGGTCGTCTGAAGATGACACCAGTGATCAGGCATCCACCAGCAACAGCGATGATAAAAATCTTGATAGCCCGACATCTGATAATGTAAAGAAGCTCTCATCCAGCCCTGAAGAAGAGCTCTCTTCCACCGCTGAGACACCTGAGGATATGACGCTGCCCTGTGATTCTGACATAGTGTCTGGATTGGGTGGCGTTGATGAAAAACAAAAGCTTCGTCACAGTTCTGGGAACAGCCTCTTCAGGCAAACTACCACTCCCCACAAACTGTCCATCAGTCGCATGGACTCGAAAGACATGACTCGCTCAGCTTCATTCGAATGTGACTTGAAGTCTCCCACACGAAACCGGGCTCGAACAGTCAGCAATTTATTCGAGCGCTTAGATTCAAGTGGCACAGAGCAAGTCCGCCTGCCTGAGGCCAGTGTCAGAAAGTGGGTTGCTCATCTTGTAACTGCTGTGTCTAGATTGCACTCTTTGGGGATTATTTGCAGGTAAGGGATACTCACGGTTGGCAAGTAGTGTTCGATTTTTTTCAATTTTTTTATATCTCCGATAACTTCAAACAAGAATAACTCTCTCAAACATAGGGCTAGAATTTCTGCAGTGTACTCTTTCTCTCCTCTCTCTACACTGATCTTGCTATTCACACATGTCTTTAAATTGGATACTGGGTTTTTCTAAATTTTGAAATTCAATGTATAGGACACCTGCAGGGACAGTCGATATTGTCCAAAAACCACCCTTTGTCAAGAGGAAAAGTGTTTTTCTCAGATATGTGGACATTGTCATTAAAATATATAACGGACAACAGGAGAGGGGAAATGGGTAGTGGTCATTTGTATCAGTGAATGTCTTGGACAGGTGGCCATTAGAGCGGATTCAGTTGCATTTGAATGGGGACCTTACAGATGGAATTTCACACTGGACAAAGCACATTGTCTCGATATGGAACCTAGTTACTAGCCAAATGTTCAGATTACAGGGCAGTTGTCCCGAAGACCAGAGATTGTAAGTCTCAAACTTTCAAAGCAGTTCTACATTCTGCTTAATCTCATAAGTATCGAAATGATAAATACAGGAATAATATTGTAAAAGTCATTAGTAACTCTAAAGGATCTTGAAGACTTGAAGAATACACCCCAATTCCTTTATTGTATCAGATGGGAGGATTTGATGTCCTGTATGTGTCTAAGATCAGCTCTCAGTTCTTTATTTTGATTAAAGTTGCATATTATTTTTAGCAAAAGTTCAAAGCAGCAAACTTTGTTGCAGATTTATTGAAAGGTGCCACTGCTAGACTCCAATTCTTTTCTTGCACCATTATTTCTGTCTGTGTGTTTGTCTTCCTTTTCCCAACACAAAATGACTGTTATTATGTTGTTGATATGTTATAATGTTGATTTGCTTCTTTTACTAAAAAAAATGTGTATGTGTGAATCAATGAAGCTGAAAAGATGCATTCTGCAGTATTGTGAAATATAATGACATAATCTCTTTATGTCTCTCTATGTCTTTGTCTCTCTGTCTCTGTCTCTCCCCGTCTCTCGCTCCCTCTCTGTGGGTGGTTAGCAGATGCCATGCTCTGGTGTGGTTTGCTTCTTCTTTCCTACCAAACGTCTATCGTCCATATCTCCCCTTCTTCTTTTTTTGTGTTTGTTATTCTCTTGTTACACCTCTTATCTTCGGCACTTATATGACCTTATTGTGTTGCAAGTGCCGTAAAACACTTACTAAAACTAAAACTCTCCCTTTCTCTCTCCCTCTCCCTCTCTCTCTCCCTCTCTCACTCCCTCTCTCTCTCTCTCTCTCTCTGTCTATCTCCCTTTCTCTCTCTCTCTCTCTCTCTCTCTCTCTCTCTCTCTCTCTCTCTCTCTCTCTCTCTCTCTCTCCATGATGTACATAATATATTAAGTCTCTTTTTCTCCCCTCTTTCTATTACTCTTCTTCACTCCCTCTCTTATTTATTCACTCTCCAGAGACCTCAAGCCTAGCAATGTCCTCCTGGGGGATGGAGGTCAAGTGTACCTGACCTACTTTTGTCACTTGGGTCACGGGGAGCAAGAAACGGATTGGGAAGCTGTGGAGATGTTGTATGCAGCTCCTGGTGAGTGCACTTTACAAACATATGTGTCGCGATGTGGTGGAATCAGGTGCTCGTCAATTTTTTAGTATGTGGGGTTTTTGGTGTCATTTAAAGCCTGTTGTGAAAAACAAATCCATGTATGTTGAATAAAAGTAAAAATATTTGCGGTTGACGGAGGAGAGAGTCACCTTGTTTCAGAGGTAAATTTAGGGAGAAAATGTCCCCCAAAGTTTGGTAACTTCCATAACCTAAGACTCCTTGGAAACTGAAAATTTACATTTTTTCAGCCTTTAATCAATGTTTTTCCAGTAAAATCTACACTAAAATGTGTTTTTAAATGGACATATAAGATGTTGAGCCATAAAACGAAAATTAGAAAGAAATTGCCCATCGTCCAAAAAAATGCCGATTTCTTTGATTAAATTGTTGTGAAAAACAAATCCATGTATGTTGAATAAAAGTAAAAATATTTGCGGTTGATGGAGGAGAGAGTCACCTTGTTTCAGAGGTAAATTTTGGGAGAAAATGTCCCCCAAAGTTTGGTAACTTCCATAACCTTCCAGTAAAATCTACACTAAAATGTGTTTTTAAATGGACATATAAGATATTGAGCCATAAAACGAAAATTAGAAAGAAATTGCCCATCGTCCAAAAAAATGCCGATTTCTTTGATTAAATTTTTTTGACGGGCGCCTGGTTTCTCCGTGATGCCTCACCTACGCGCTTTTCTGTTTGTCTCCTACGAAAATGTTTGACATATCATGTTAGGCGAGTTATGGATGGAGACATGTATATTCCAAGTTAGAAACTGTCTTAAATGGAATAAGACCTTGTTCTTCTCCTTTTTTTCTCTTTTTTTTTTAAAGGATAGAATCTTTTCCATCCCTTTGGTTTAAACAAAAGAAGAATCTTTCATACTGTACTGCATTGTGACTTGCAAGTGCAACAACTAACCAATATAACTCCACAATTTATTCCCGTGACCTCTTTACCTTCACATTGTGTATTCTTTACTTTTCCCATTGTTTTCTCATTCTTCTCTGTGAGTGACTGGTGGGTGCTCTTGTGTGGTTTGCTCCTTCTTTTCTGTCAAACATTTATTATCCAGATTTCTCCTCCTTTTTTGTGCTTGTGACACCTCTAATCTTGGACATTCATATGACTTTATTGTTATGAAAATGCCTTAAAACATGTACCTAAACTAAAAATGCATTCTCCCCCTCCCCATTCCAACCCCTCTTTTGTTTTCTTACAGAGATTGGCTCTATTGGGGGCTATGACATGTCCTGTGACTGGTGGAGTATAGGAGCCCTGCTCTACGAGCTGGTTGTAGGAAGGGTAAGTTCAGCAACTGCTTGTAGTTTAGGAACGTGGACTGCATAGATCTGTTCTCTAGATTAGCAGAAGATGAAAGAAAATCCAATTGGGAGCTTATTGGTGGTAAGATATGAAATGAAATGGTTGTCTTAGACGGGTGGTCCTTTTAGATAGTATCATTACAATAATATAATAGGAAAAAAAATGGAAAGTCATTGTTTTTACAGTTGATTGTCTAGGACAAGTGGTTGCTAGAGAAGGTTCAGCTGTAGAGGTATTTCAAATATGTACTAGATATGTTGTATCTCTTAAAAAATAATTTTTCTGATTCTTTTACGGGTTTGTTTTTCTTTGTAAGAAATGTTTTAAGTGTGCATTTCTCTGTGTGTGTGGGTTTTTTTTAATTCTTGGATTTTGTGTGTGTGTGTGTGTGTGTGTGTGTGCATATGTACATATATATATATATATATATATATATATATATATATATGTATATATGTACCTGTAATGAGAGGGGAGAATCTTGATTTGAAAACTATTGAATGTACTTTTATTCTATTCTTTTTTATGTCGGCAATGCTGTTTCCTGTACAGAGTTTGTGTGAGTGTCACCCCGGAGGAATCAATCCACATACTTGTCTTCATGTCCCTAGCTTTGTCTCACCCGAGGCTCGCAGCTTACTAGAAGGGGTAAGGATTTTTAGCGTATCTTCCTGTCTCTTAAAACCTTTACACATCTCCATTTTACCCCCACCCCACTTTTCGGCCAGTCTTTTATAAAAATGTTGTTGTGCATGTTTGTTTTTTGTTTATTTTTAATGATTACCTTTTCCCTTAGTTTTGCTGTAATTTTTTGTGGGGGTTTTTTTTGCCCTATATATATTTTTATTGACTATACCACTGTAAAGTCATTTTCTGCTTGAACAAATAGAGGTATTTTTTCCCCCTTTATTTTATTGCTAAGTGAAGGTGGTGTCTGTAGCCTGGCAGTAAGGCTGTAGAACTTACAGCCCTATTTTAGTGGTTTTATCCCAGCAAAGCTGTGTCAAATGTTGTGCCTTTGAGAATGACACGTTTTACACTTTTTGTCTCTCACTCCATTCACATGTGTCATGTTCTTCTATGAAGAAGGCATTTGTAAAAAAAAACTAGTGTCCTGTTGTGGCAGTGGTCTAGGATCATTATTTTGCATAGTTCTAATCTGTGGAAATTAGAATAATCTTCCCAGATAATGTACTTCCCAGGAGCATTGCTTTTTCTTGTAGTGGGAAGTTGATTTGTTCTGAGATGTTAGTATACACAAAATTACTGATATGTTTTTATGAACATATTGTGTACCACGACCTGACTCAACTCTCCTTTAGCTATAACTTGGTTCAAGGCTGGCTTTAAATCATAACTTGACTCGACTAACCAAAAACTATGACTTGGCTCGACTCATCCTCAATTGTTTCTTAACTGGACTCACCTTAAACTATGACATGACTCAACACTCCCTAAACTGACCCTTGACTCCTGCTTTCCTTAAATAATAGGCATGACTTTACTCCTCTTAAACTAAAATTTGACTCGACTCTCTAAACTATACTATGACTTGACCTTACTCACCATAAACCGTAACATGACTCGACCGCTGAAGCCATGTATATATCTATTGTCTCACACATGTGTGCTCCACAGCTGCTGACTTTTTATCCCCATGAGAGGCTCGGCTCTGGGATGGCTGGTGCTGAAGAGATCAAGGCTCACCCGTTCTTTGCTGGTGTTGACTGGCACACACTAGAGTACTCATCATAGCATCCACTCTTCCGGGCAGCCTGCTTATTCATGTGTTGAAGGTCACCTTTGGACTGTGGACACTTTTTTTACGCCCCGACTTTCTGTGTGCTATTTAATCAGCCTGAATTTTTGAAGAATGTGCATGAACGATAGCCTGGAGATCTCAGGATTGTTTTAAATGTTGTGGCTGTTATTGTCAGTACAGTCAAATGAATTACAAGCTGATGCATGATGAATGGTTTTTTTCAAACTCAGAACATCTGTATCTCTTCCCCCCCCCCCCCCCCCCCAAATGAACTTCTTGTCAACTGTGAGCTTTAAAGCTGAATGTTCCAATGTTTCTGTCATTTTGAGCTATTCATCTTTCATTCCTCGTTTATCTGTCTGTGTGAGTATTGATTTATATCATCCAAGCCTGGCAAGTTTCTGAGATGCCCTTTTTCTTAATGTACTGAAATTATTGCATTCGACACTGATCCTCAAATTTGTTGCTGGTCTAGAAAGTGTTATTACGTGTAATTACTTGGTACGTGGTTTTTGCATCCCCAGAAGTGGTGCCTAAAACACTGCTGTCAAATTTTGGGATGGTATTTAACCTTTAGGTTTTAGTATGCATTTAGAAATTTCCTACTTCTTTTATCTCCCTCTGTAGTTTCTGTCTTGCTTTTTCTCTGCATTAATAGACAGTTACTGGGTCTGTGTGCTTCTCTTTGCTCCAACTAACAAGCCCAGAAAGTACTCCTGTAAATTAGTTATAGAAAGTCAATTTGAAGTACTATTGGTTTCAAGTTATTGGGTTTTTTAAAGGAATTTATGTGTACTAGCTCTTGTGATGGTGAGAGCTTACAGTGAAGTTTCAACCATGCTAGTGAAAAAGATGTGTGTTTGTTCTGCAGCCTTATATGTTAAGTTCTGTAACTGCAGTTACATATCAAGCAGCCATTCTTATTGAACATGTTTGTGTATTCATTCTGAAATTTTTATTTATTTAGCTGAATTATGCTCTTCATTTGTACATTCTTTTTTATTTGATTGTACAGTGTGATTCGTGCATGCATATAGACTATGACAGAAGAGTCATGTTACTCTAGTACAGAGAGATCTGACATTATTTTGTGTACAGGACATTACTAGTTGGTCAAGGACCTGTGATATAGATGAACACTGTATTGAGAATGTGCGGCTGCTTTTTTGGAAGGCGGGACATCTTGGTTCACTCTTCTCTTTGTGGAATATTGCACGGTAGTTGGTTTTCTCTCTTCTGCTCTCCCTCCCATACATACCCACATCTATACAGACTGCCAAGTAAATGTGAAAACATAACGTAACAAATACTCAAAACGTTTGCTGCTATTTTTGGTTGTGTATAAAATACACACAGTAGTTCAGGAGCCAATTTTCTCATCATGGTCTTCTTGCGTATTTGTGTGCCTGCTCATTAACCTTAGTGTGTTGAAAAGGGCATCTGTCTGTCTGTCTGTGTCTCTGTCTGTCTCTGTCTCTGTCTGTCTCTCTCTCTCTCTTTCTCTCTCTGTCTCTCTCTGTCTCTCTCTCTCTCTCTCTCTCTCTCTCTCTCTCTCTCAGCATTAGGTAGTTTGGTAGCAGGTGACATTGGCAACAAAAGTAATGGAAAATATAGGCCTATATGTATATGTGACTTGTACAGGGTTTTAATTTATGTTGCTGCATTCCATTCTTGCTGTTAGATTTAGCGAAACCATCAACCTGTAAAAATTACAATACTGAGTGTCTCTGGTGTATAGTAGAGCTAGGCCCATTCAATTTCACTATTCAATATTCACAATTTTTCTCGTTATTCAAAGCAAGGCTGAGTTATTGGAGTGGCATGTGATTCTCACAGACAAAAAAGATTTTTGTCTCAAATGTCTCAACCAGTTGCAGAAGTAGAGCATGTTACGTCTAAAATCATCAAGATACAGAAATACTTTGTACGGTACATGATGATTAGGAGACAAAGTGATAAGTGGAACCAACAAGAGTTATGAAACATGCGTCTGAGAAGTGTTATCTACTTTTCGATGTTCAATAGTCGCACCATGAATAGCTCAAGGGCACTTGACTCTTGACAAAACGCAGAGGATAATTTTGCAGAAAATTATCAGTACACAGGTGCAATTACCTCCTCTTCCCTTATTGGAAATTCATAGTACTCTGAATGCTGATGTGATGTCATAGCATCGCACTGTTTGTGTACCATTTCGCCCTCGATGAATAGCACTGAATATTAAATTGCGAATGTTGCTAATGGACTTGTAAGAAAAAACAATTTGCACGTGGCATTTGAATAGCGCAAATAGTGACTTTACTCTTCGAAGCATGAATGTTTCGTTTCCTCAAAAATCGCACAAGTATTATCGTATAGTGTTTAAAAATGGGATTGTGTACATACAATACAGTGTGACTGAGACTGATACTTTTTCATCATGGTCCTTTTATGTTTTAGTGTGTGTTAAATATTTGAAAGTTGTAGTGGCTTTTCACTGGTCATCCTTGCTCTTCCCCACCCCCTTTTATCCTTTTAAGGTCTTTACACTCACGCGCACACACACACACACGCACACACACATACATACACACACACACACACACACACACACACACACACACACACACACACACACACTCTCACACACCTCAGTTTCGGTTTCAATTTCTTTTCTAGCACATGGAAGTGACTATGCTAACTAATCCTGTCCATGGTGTGTTGGTAGCTTGTGGATAGGCTCAGTCCTTTCAGAGATAGTTGTTAAGGGGTGGGGGGGGGGGGGGGGGGGGGCGCTACACCCCCAAGGTCAAAAGTCAGCTCAAAATTATGGAATTTGAGTTGTAGGCATTTTTAGCTTTCTCAGCCTCTCCTACAACTATTTCATCACATAAGAACCCCCAAAAAACGTATTTTTTCCCACACCGGGCATGTTTGTCACCGCCATTTCCTCATAAAGTCAGTATTTTTTTTTCTTTATCAGCCGTTTTCTCAAAACGCGACTTTTCTCAATACTTTTTTGAATAACTCCACTATTTTTTATCCAATCGTCATGAGATTTTCACAGAATGAAGAAAAGATATAATACTAAAACTTTGTTTGTTGAATTTTTGATATATGGTATAGATTTTTGTTGGTGGTATCTGGAGTGTGGATTTTTACGAATTTTTTGAAAACTTGAATGCTACTTCAGGAAAAAATTCATTAAAAATTTTCTAATTCGTTTAGGAAAAAAACAACAGACAAATATTTAGATCTAATGTTTGTAAATACGCATGCAAAAAAACATTCTATTTCCATGAGCGATAAGTGCGGTATCATTACGTAAGACATGTCAACAAAATCCAATATGGCCGCTGTATCCATGGAAATGAAACTTTTTCTCAAATTTGGTTGCGGATTTAAAGACTCCTTACTATGTTTGTTATATGTGTGAAATGTGGTAAAATTCGGTCCAGTAATAAGCGAGATAGCATTCAGGTGTAGCCCCCCCCCCCCCCCCCCCCCCCCCTTAAACTCAAAGGGACTCACCTCTTTAGTAACCTAATAGTGTTGATAAGGGCAATAAATCTATAACATTTCACCATTTTTAGTCCTGTCCTAGACAGGAAGCCATTGTCAAGGAGAAAAATATGTCTTAGACAAGAGGACGTATTTGATAGTGTCATTATAATATAATAAAAGAAACGCAAGGGGAGAAGTTGGAAGTGGTCGTTTGTACAGGTCATTGCCTTGGACGGGCTTGTTAGTACAGGTTCAACTGTTCTGTGGAAACCAATATAACAGGCCCAGTAATAACTGGGATTTTTTTAAACCTGCTTTTCCCTACTCTTTATCCCTATTAAAATTCTGGGCAATAAGAGGGCCTCATCGGAGCCCAATCGGTTCACGGACAAAGGCTCTTAAAGTGTGTAATAAGTGAGAGAGAGAGAGAGAGAGAGAGACAGTAACACAGTGATGGAGTAAGCCCACGCAAGCCAGGCCACTGCAAGCACACACAGCAGGTGAAGCGAGAGAGCACTGCGGTGTGCTGCAGACTTCGATCTAGCCCTAAGCCTAGCTTCACGCACATGTAATATTGTAATGTGTCATGCGCAGGGTATTTGTGGCAAGGGAAACTACCCATGAATAAATACAGCTAGATTAGTCCTTAAATGCTTACTTCCCTTGCATTTCTGATTTAATAGGTATCTGATATAACATCCCTGTTATATCAGGTTTTCACTGTATATTTAAATTGTAATTAGACAAGTGTTAGGTCTAATGAGACCTGAAAGAGGTCCATGCATGCTCAATACAAAGCTGTTTCTTTTCTCTTGTCATTTCATCTCTTTCTGACCAAATCTACCAAAGTGGTCTGTTTTTTTTTCTCAGTGTGTGATCCTGGATAATACTCTTTCTTTTGTGGTGTCTTCATTTGTGCTGTATTGTGTGCTTAACCTAGAACTTGCTCAAACACAAATGCTGATTAAACATTTAGGTGCGTGATTATAGAGATTTCTAATTTTAGTTTTTTTACACGCTCAAAAGAAAAACCTCCTCAAAAGTCAATGGCGCCACTGGTGCTGATAGAAACGTTTTGTTTTATTTCTCAAAAAGAAGTTTTCTAAGAACAAGCTTCAAGCAGCAAATGTCGCCACTTTTATTTATTTATTTTTTGGGAGGGGGGGGGGGGGTGTGTGATTTTCAAAGTAAATGTTTGGTAGCCTTTAAAAACTGAATGACAAATTTAGGAATTACCAGTACGTCTAATTTCGTAACACATAAACTTCAAGAATTTTTCATGCTTTCTACGGTAGACTTACAAATGATGGAGACTGTGTCTACCAGTATAAGGAAATAAGCTGTCAATTTTTTTTCAAAAGATCACTTGCTTATTTAATGTAGCTAATGTATGCTGAAGGGTGTAGTTGCATCACAGCAGATTGTTTTCAAAATGTCCCTTTATTTCATGACAAAGAGAACTAAAATGAGATTCTAAGCAAACTTGACATACATGAGACTATGTTCATCTACTCTACATAGCTATGGGTCTATGGGTCACCCTCTGCGTAAAGAGAGTATAATAATATTTTCATCAGCATGCTTTTGATGGCCATTTCATGTGTCTTTAATTGTACATTTATTATCGTTTCATGTTGATGTCTAACCTGTTCTATTTACAGGTTATATTATTACCCAGATTCAGTATCATGTGAATGTGTTACATGAAACCACAGAGAAAAAAGATCAATCATGTAGACGAACTTCAGACAGTACGTTGACTTTCTTAGTTAAACATAGTTTGTCAATGTCATTCCTTCTTGCTTTGCTGGACACAAAAACAGTCTCTTGAGTACCGTTCTGTTATGTCTCCTGCTCTTGTATTGTTTCTTCACTGGCTTTAACCCTTAAATTGTTGTCATACTGAAGCTTTTTGGAAGTTCAATTGTGACCAATTGTTAACCCCCCCCCCAAAAAAAAACCCACAAAAAAAAACAAGTTGATAATGATGATTGTGATGTCAGATTTAACTACTTATGCCCCTCTATTTTGGCACACTGACTGAAGTGTCTTTAGGCCCTTGTCAAAGGGGGGATTTTAGCATGTTCTTATGCACAGTAAAATGGTAAATGGGCTAATTTATTAATGTCATGCTCTTACTGTGCCAGAACAACATAGGGGGACTACTGCTTTTTCTTTCCTCATGCTTACTATCATCATTTTTCCTCTACTTCTTTTGTATGTTTGTCACTCTCTTGTGAACAGCTATTTCCAGGGTGCTTTGATAGTCAAAGCAGACTTTGTGCTGTAGAGGCTAGAGAGGTGAGCAGAGTAAACCTGATTCCCCATTTGGACTTCTCTGTTGACATCCACCCCTTGGCGCTCGTATGATGACCTTATGCAGTTGCGAGCGCTGTAAAACCTTATTAAAACTAAATATTTTTGGCACACTGGAGACGCAACCAGTTTTCACTTATATTTTTATATTTTTATTCTAGGGATTTTTTTTCTTTGTTCTGTCCCCTCACTAACTATTCTCATCTTCAAGCATTCCTTGTCTCACACAATGAAGCCTCCATTGACTGAGAGTTCATCTCTTCACTTTGCAGAAAAGAATATTCGTGCCGTAAACTTCACAGCTTGAAGCCTTAGTTTGATGATTACGGCATTTCATATATGTGATTTTTACCTTTTGATTGTGATACCGTAGTAGTTTGGCAAACTTGTATAAAAGTAATGTCTACTTCAGAATTTATAGTATTTTGTATTGAAAAAATGACCCGCTTGTGATTTTTGTGCTCTTTGTAGCATGAGCCGAAAGAGAGAAATGGGTTTAAATCTTAACAAATGTTATTTTAGATGTGAAAGGTCAAAGCTGTGAAGGAACACATTGCTATTATATCTTCTACTTTACTTTGATGGATGATATGGTTATCTGGGTATTATCGTACTGTCTCAAACTTTGAGTCAAACAGCTGTTGATTTGGGGTTTTAATTGGTTAAGCAGCAAATTGTTGAAATGACGATATTTAAAAAAATATTTCTTAAGGGGAGGAGCGACCCTTGATTTTGCAGATTTTGGGTCAGGCTATGCGAATATTATGCTGGCTGATTTTTGAAGATCAAGCAGTTTTTTGTCTAAAAATAGCATTTATACAATTGAGAAAGTCTTTATTCTCCTGGTAAATTGCCTTTGAAAACATGAGGATTTATCATTATAGTGAATTTTCACAATTATTGTCGGTTTTCGCAAAATGTAATATTTTTGCAGTTTTTTCCCTACTCCTTCCTTAGTTTTCATCCTTTTGACCTGAAACTTTCAGGCAACGTAGATGGCAAGGCTGCCGTCAATTTAAGAGAGATATTTGCGGGGGGGGGGGGAAATTTATTTTTCCTTTGGCAAGCCATTACACTACCTAAATTTAGAAGAAGAAAAAATTTTACTTTAAAGTTGGAAAAATTCTCTTTTTTTTTTCTTTTGCACTTATTGAAAAATACTTGCTGTTATGCTGATAGGGTGTGGTTCAGGTACACTCTCACCAAATGTGGTCAAATTTGGTCAGTAAATAAGAAAGCCTTAGGGATTTGAAATTCATTGTATATTTTCAAGATGGCGGCCATTTCCATAGCAACCGCTGTAGCTATGCCAAAATAAAATTGCGTATCAAGAGGTTTTACTGTGTCTAACTTATATGTGTACTTAGATTTGATCTCGGGCTACAAACATAGAAAATGGTCCTCAAGGGTAGCTCCTCCCGTTAATAAGATCTAAGCTTTTCTTGAAAGTGATCACAAAAGTACTGTTAACTGGGAAAAAATTAATGAAACACATTTTTCTTTGTGGCATTTACATTTCTGCTTGATGTAATGTAAGGATACAACATCTTTACTGGGAACCTCCCTGTAATGGACGGTATGATTCACATCCTCTGATCACAAACTGTTTATTTCATTTTATTGTCATTGCTGCTAATTCCTCTTCATTTTTATGCCTATTCATGGTGCTGTGGGAAAGTTCTGATGTTTGATGTTTTTTGTTCTAAATGCTGTTCAGTGGGTACAAGCAATATGATGTTGAGAAGTAGTATTCTCAAGTCTAGAATCAAAGCAAGCTTTCAACGGTAAATTTCTGTGAAGTGGGTTGAGGTTCAGGCCAGAGATAGTAACGACCTTTTCCAGAGGCTCATGAACACTTTGCAAGTTTGCTCTTGTGTCTGAAGTCTAATGATTATGGTCTGCCTCATTGTAGGCACAAGCCTTATTTTGATTGCCACTTGAGGAAGTTATTTTATCCACTGTGTTTATCTTTCTGTCCGGATGCTGTATCCCACTCAGCCTGCTTTGGGTTCAAGCAGCCAGTCTCCTGAATTCATGTTCCAGGTCCCTGTCAGTCTGTCATCGACTACAGCTGTCCCGTGTTACAGAGTTATGCATGAACGAAAACATGGACTACTTGCTCACATCATTTCTTTGGTGCTTTTGAAAACAAATGTTTGCAACTTTTGTGAAGAAATTGTGAGTGGAACATCCCATTTTAGTCAAGTTTATCAAGTCATGAAAAAGTGCTTTGTCATATTATTTTTGCTGTATTGCACATATATTTATCCCGAGATTTTTTAGAGGTGATTATTTTTTTTCTCATTTCTTAATTTTCCTTTTGTGCAGCATTGCCCAGTGTAACAAAGAAGTATTATGTAAAGTCGACTGACATGATGTGCGCTTTAAGTCAGATCCTCACTATGGTGTCAAGCGAAAGGAGATTGCCATGCTATACATATATACTATGCTGTACTTTTACCAGTTCCCACCAAACTTCTTTTTGTGGTCTTTCAGTTTTGTACATACAATGAAGATTTTATCTCTGGTTATCCTACAAGGCCTTTATGATCATTTTAAAACTGAGCAGTGAAAATGACAATTTCTGCAGCATGAAGTAGTGACAGCAATACAAACTGATTATTCTTCCATCACAAATATTGTTACGCTGCTTTTCCAAATCTCTCAAGTTGCTGAGAACTTCAATTCGTATGAACATGTTTTACAGAGAGAAATCATAATTAATTGTTGTGAATATGCTCCAAGGGGATGTTTTGTAGTTGATTCTTTCTCAACGACTCCAGTCTCATGTTTGTTTGAGGCCAATGGCATATTGTGTTCAGGGATGTAATGGTTTGGGAACATTGTGCAAGAAAACATTCAGTGAAAACTTTCTGTAAATTGAAGAAGCAGATATTCACAATTGTTATGTATTCACATGTTTGAAGAGACAGGCAGTTGTACTGTTAAACTTCTCTCATAAACAGGGTTTTTTTCATTCCATGTGATAATTATTTATAGACGGACACATTTTTTGAAAGGCCATCTTTTTTTTGTTTAAGGAATGCAGTTTGGAAAAATGCATTTCTTTGAAAGTTAAAAGTGGGGGGAGGCACTTCTTGACTTATGAAGATCTTTTCCATTATATTGGGAGTCAGAGTAACATTGAAAAGTCACTTAATACATTCACTTTACAACTGCTAATGTATCATGAGGGAAAGATATAATAATTTCAGCATTAACACAATGTGGTTATTATTCCCGAGTAGAGAAAAAAATGTTTTTGATTGTCAGCCAAAAAAACCTGTTTTAAAGAGAGAGGTATAGTAAATGTTAGCCAAAATTGAAATGTATGCCTAAGCAATTGTGCATCCTCATAGTCAAAAAGAAGTTCCCATTCCTTAATGTTCTTCAGTTTTAGCATTGTGTTGTTGTTCCTTTGACACTATTAGTAGCTGTATGTCGTGTATGTAACAAGAAAAGTGTTGATATTCTGTACTTATGTTTCGTAATAAATGCCTTGATGATGGATCCTTTGTGCAATTGTAAAATTTGATGAGCATTTATTCGTTTTTTAATATTAAAAGGAACTTGTGCTTCTGTGTTTCAAGTTGTCACCATTCATTCAGTTGTATTTAAACTTTTTATTCCTTGTCAGTGTCCAGGATTTTTTGGGGGTCATCTGTTTCGCCATTTGATTGTGGAGCAATTAGGGGATGATATGTCTTTCTTTTCAGCTCTGTCTGTTTTAGTTTGGGTTTTCTTTTCAGTCAAAGCCAAGTCTGTTCAAGAGGAGTAGAGATGCACTGGAAAAAGTCTGTGGCATGAATATGAACCTAAAAAGGAAAAGCTTTTTTTGTTGTTGTTGTTGTAAGGGAAAGACTGCTAATCTGATTCGCTAGGCCTGAATTTTTAAATTTTTTTTTTTATAGTTTTAATAAGAGTTGTAAAGCACTTGCAACACAATAAGGTCATATAAGTGCCGAAGATTAGGAGGGGAGATAAGGACGATGGATGTTTGATAGGAAAGATAAATAGGAGCAAACCACACCAGAGCACCTGCCAACCACCCACATTGTCTTGTTCCTTATTAAAGCTTTAACCATCATTATGAAGATTTCAGACTTCTTACCCAAATCATCTGACCTAAAATTTGGAAAGTGTAAAAGAGATTTAAGGCGAATGACTACAACAAAAACTAAGAATTAAAAAAAAATTATCACAGTATAACACTGATAGATGGAACACAGAAGACTCGAAATCACACATCCGCCGAACTATGCCTGTCGTCCCATTTTTTTTTTTACTTCTTTATCTTTATAAGATATCCCTCAGACTACCGAGGCCAGTCCCGACAAATTGGAGCTATCCAAGTTATAGTGTAACTAAAAGACATACCTCTCTCTCTCTATATATATATATAAATGCTCAGTGGCTTCTTGTAAACTGCATGTCGATGCGGATTTCTTTGGAAAACCTTTTTCTGATTCTCAAGCACTCTTTGTTTTCAAATCATAGTAACCATGATATGATGATCTTATCTATGGCGCTTTCTACATTGTCACAAAATTGTAGATAACTTGGAGTAACACCACTGGACTTCTGCTACACTGTTGTTATTGATCCAAAAGGACTACTGTTAAAGAGTCCTAACCTGGCAGAAACATTCTGTTTGCCTTTGTCTTTCGTGTCACATTTCTTCAATTTAGTGCTATTCATGAGGAGCACAATGACACATGACGATCATTAAGTACTTGGAGAAAACAAACAGACATATTATAATAAAGAAGGAACATCTAGTTGCACTCTTCAACCATCCACTGACACATTTCTGACATTGAGAGAAACTCCAGACAAAACACTCTTTTATATATTTTTATTACAACAGGCAAATTATCTTACACGCATACACACGCACATTGAAAACATTACACAGAATACTCAAGTTTTTTACATAGAAAAGTATAAAAGAAAGTATGTAACATTACTGTAGGTGAGAAAGTAACTTTTACCATTAATCTGTAAACTGCTTTTTGTTGCCCGTTGAGTGGACATGGTATCGAATTGCGTCTTTCTCTTGACTAACCATTGGAGTGGCTTCTTTTTTGAAAAATTCAAAGACATTTCACATCTTTAATGCATTTAACTGAGAAACAAAAAGCAAATGGTCCCTTCATCTTTTGTGGTACAAACTGTAGGTTTGACAAACACACTCCACAAAAGTACAAATGTAGCTGCTGAGTTTGATTGGTCCTTTTGTAAACAGTGTTAGAATTTTTTTATTTTTTTCCTTCCACTATAAATACCCTATCTCAAAACAATTCTTTACTCCAACTACAGTAACTGCCACTGAAATTTGTTCAAGGCACAGTTAAACGAAAAGGAATATAATAAAAAACACCAATATGTTACTTGAAAGACCAAAATCAATTTATGTAAGCTATTAAAAATGAATGATGATATTAAAGGAATCTGTGCTCTCTCAAAGCTGGTAAAATGCTGAAACAAATTTAAGATAAAGGGAAAACCATGACTCATGATGACAAGTGACTGGTGCAGGAATGCAAACCGCGCTGCTATAATAAAAAGAGTTTCCTCAGGTTCACAGCTGTTCCATTGCACCTGTGAATATTTTAGAAGGCACAGGGTTCATCGACCTTGCCTGTTGGGGCCAACCCGAGCAGAGAAGAAATATACTTCTTAGCAGATGGAGATACTCGATAAAATTACTTCCAATCAGGAATTGAACTCTCTTCTTCAGCGCGCAATGGTGCAAGTAACTAATTGTTAGTATTACATAACAGACGTAAATTTTCTACTGCACCTGCAACCTGTCAGCATTGCTTTAAATTGTTGAATCACTCGTACCTCACACTCACACCCAGGAGTCCCATACAGATGTCACTAATGTCAGGTTGATTCCAGAAAGATCAATAAGTAAATAAATAAATGTGGATTTTTTCTATTCCTTCTGAAGTTCAGTAATCCTCAGTCTGTGTTTGCAATCTGAATCAAAAGCAGCCTAAAACGAATTTCCTCGTTTTCCAAGTCATGTTTCTCCTCCACGAGGTCTTCATAATAGAAATTGTTCATATTTTAAACTCTTTAAAGTACATGAAAAATAGATCCAGATTGTAATTCCTTATCAACAGAAGGGAGCTTTGGTGGGACACACCCAAGCGTCTCTCTTACAGTGTTGCCTTGTCTGTGTCTTCTGGGGGATATAATATGTCCATGATAATGCTTACTGTTTGTAAATTGTATCTCAACAATAGACCTATCAGTTTCTTCCTTTCAATAACCACTTCACTATGTTATTTCCCCTGAACTTCATTCAGTCTTACTTCATCTGGCCTGTCACATCTTACTTCATCGAACCTGCCTTCCTCAGAACAACAGTATTTCCAGCAAGGCATTTTGCTTTCATACATAAAAGATTCCTAAGATGACAGACTTAAAAGAAATGAAAAGTTTGCAATTGAGGGGAGAAAAAAAGAAAGCGAAATACTTTATAGCTCAAAAGAATTTGTACAAATGACATGAGAAGATAGCAGACTGCTTAACCAGGAATGGCATAGATAATAGAGTAGGTATACTTCATATAACATAGTCATGATCCATGTGTGCGTTCAAAAGGGGTCATGTTTCGCACTCTCTGATCAAATGTAACAATTTCTACCTTTCAAATCATCGAGATGTACGTCTCCCTCCCATAGCTGATCCCTACTTTGTGCCAAGTTCATTGACCAGAAGTATATGGTAAACTATTTGTCAGAGCATTAGTATATATACATATAAACATGCATATACACTACATTCATATATATTATAATATACCATATATAATATATATATGTAATATATATTTATATAGGCATATCTATAAATATATATACATGTAAAACCATTTGACAGTACACACATAAAGATCTTTCAATTGCATTGTCTACAATAATGAAAATGATAAATTTGCAAAAATGAGAGGTACAAATAATTCATAAAGTTTATAGGCAGAGCAATGTACAGTACCGATTGCATACCAGGAACAGATAAAATACTGATTTAAGTACATTTTCACTCAAATCTTTCTTATAGAATGGGGCCCAAAAGAGAATAGTTGAATAGAACATGAAATTACAGAGCAAGAAATCTTTCCTTTAAGAAACCGAAACTTGAGGAATGGAAAATCTAGCTCATATAATTATGTCTACACTGAATTTTTTTATATGCTGGAAAAATTATAAAGAACAGACCATTAGCTGCCTGAGATCTTATATTGAGAAGCTTGTCTGCTACTGAGTAGAATGGAGTGAAAATTGGTCAGTTGGCAGCTTGAGAAAGGCAAGAAATGTCAATTGAACAACGGTGATCACTGACTTTCTCTCAGATGGTACACAAGATGAGTGAAAAGCACATTGATAAGCAATGTAATATATTTGTTTCTCTTTGTCACGGACAGACTCACTCTTGATACAGGACACTTTTTTTTTCATTCAGACTAGATGAATTAAAATAATCCTTCTCTATATGTACTGGAAATGTTTTTTACCTGAACACCCAGTACCAATTAAAAATTTAATGTATCAAGACCACGAGTAACCTTTGTTGAAATGTACGCAGGATAGGGAGAAAAAGAGAATCTAAAAATGTGTACAACACCCAGTACTTGAAATTTATCTGCAATGAATGACCTATCTATAACTTAGAAATAACAACTTCAGCCTTCATCAGCCACACAAACATAGGCATCCAGCCACTGGGCTATCTTTCCCCTGCGTGAATGATGAAACAAGAACGGCTATAGTGGGTCAATGAGAAGGTTACTCAGAATACGCACAAGGTCAGGATAGAATCATTACTGTCAGTTTTGAGCATTGCGTATCCCATGATGTCCAACTCCCCTGTACTCGCTGTCTAACTCACAGGTTCCACCAGCATCACATTGTTCTCTTGTCCATCATCATCCGCTCGGATTGGCTGGGGGGAAAAAAGCAATTAGATAATTAAACTTCTAAAAATGAAGTAATTCATTCATGAAAAAGATTTGTTCTAACTAAACAATGATTGATTTAAAGCTGGCCATACGTTATGCTGAAAGTTAAAGGTGACTGAGAAGTCTTTCTGATCTTAATATGAAAAAATAAACTACACAGAATGTTGTGAAATTACAAACTTTGACATCTTTTCTTGAAACAAAGTTGGAATTATATAATGAAAAACATCTTCCAGTTTTTCATCATTAGGAAAACTAACAGAGCCCAAGTAATGAGCTAAAAATAAATTCAGCAGCTCAAGTCATTCACACTGGTTAAGACGAGCACAAAGTCCTATTTTTGAAATTAGTTACTGATTTTGGTTTTATTTAAAGGTGCTCAAGACAGAAGCAATCCTTTATAGAAATTTAATAAACATTTCCCAGAATATGTCAGACTACTTTAGTATACCTGTTTATTACTTATAATATACATGTGTACCAGTGTGTCAAACTGTGTGTGTGGTTTTTTTAAGTAGAGGGGTTTTTTTAAATTCATCTCTGAATGTCGCGCATATATGTCTGCCTTACCTATTTTGTTGTGATGCAGATTGAGCATCTCATCTAAATGAAAATGGGCAATATGAATGCACTAATTTATCATTAATATCAATATTAATATTATCTATTATTATTATCATTTTCATCATCATCATTATTATTATTATCATTATTACAATATTCTTTAAAGCTAAACAAGGCTTCTTATAGTATAGGGGGAGCAAAAAAAAAGCTATGCTGCTGTAAAAAAAAAATTTTAATAGGTGTTCCAAAAAATTAAATAAGTCTATTCAAATGGGTTACGTAGAAATTGATTCATTTTCATCTGTATCATTTTACGTAGGCCGTAATGTATAAATAAGTCTTTGTATTGCAGAAAACTGGTTTATCTTTTCTTTATTTCGATATATTCAAAGAGCAGCCATTTTATTATCAAATATTTGTTTTATATTGTATCTGACCTTAAACAAGATATTACAAAAGAAAAATGTATATAATTAAATAAGGTATTTAAGATGACATTATTAAGGCTTAAAACGTCTTTGATTTTAGTGAGTTGCATTTGACATAATAAGAAATTACGTTACCAAAAAATCAAATAACATTCACTGGGTGAAAGCCGTCTCTAATCAGTGATTTTGTTCATCAATTTAAGTCTCATCTCAAATGGGACTATATATTTTCAATGCTGATAATGTCTTAGAGCAAATTACAGAACTACCTACAGTTTGAGCACTTCAGCAAGATACTTATCACTAGCTAGGAGACAACAAAGGGATGGTAAAGAAACAGGAACTGCCAGTGTAGCCCTCCATTAACCCATAGAAAGAGCTAAAAGTTCTCACTATAAAATGTATATATTTATATATATCAGTAATACAACAGGTAACTACAACAACAATCCCAATAATGAATATATATAATACAGGTATAGGAAGCCAGTGCACCAATGCAGTTAGACACACCTAATTCATAATGTTACTATGAAACTACATATTAGATCAAATTAAGATTTTAAAAGTAATGTTAATTCAGCAAGAAGAAAAGATAGAATCAAACCATTAATAGCAACCACAATACTACATATCAGAACAAAGAAATAGAACAACTAGTCTTCAACTGGTATCCACCTACACTTGTCATAAAACATACTGCATCACCTCAGAACTATTGTGTCCAAAGTGCTTTCAAAAGAAAACTGCACTTGGGACAAAATACTTCTGAGACAATAATTTTTTTAAAGTGTAACTATTGTTTGATAATGATTGCAAGTAGGGCAAAGATATATTTTTTTGAAACTGTACGCAAAAAAAAGCATGCCATACAGTAAGCCTATTACATCCAGTATCCGAGCACAAGCAACAATACATGACAAAAAGTGTTCCTGATACAACGTCAGTGATCAGTCAAATTATTTGGAACATACATCAGGATCAACATGCACATTTCTTTTTCAAATATTTTGCAATTGGCAACATATATTACCAATTTTCTTGGGCAATAAATAGCTCGGGGAAGGGTTTTTATTTTTCTTTAAATACAAAAACTTACCAAATTCTTGTTGACCACCCATTTTTCATCAACTATGTATTTAAACAGATATTCTCCAGCAGGAAGGTCCAGAGTCTTAGAAAAGACTTCACCACTGCATAGCAAGAGAGAAACAAAGTACACATAAAGCTCTATCTATTCAAAACTGGTCACAGTCCTTTTGTACACTCTAGACGTTCTAACATCAAACTTCAGGAAAAAAATATCTACGCTAACATTAAATTGATGGTTCAAGTAAATTTTACCAACATAATATCTTCTATAAGCAGAAGCAAAAAATTTACTTGAAATCCTAACTATCTCACATATCTGTTCTTCTTCTGGTTGTTTCTTTTTTAAAGCGTGGTAACATTTACTGACATTGAAAAGGCAGACAAAAAGAACACAGAAAAAACAATGCTATTTGACTCCTCCTTTGATTCATGTAAACTGCCAAAATTTAATTTTCTTAAAAACACTGTTTTTTGCATTTAACAGAAAAGACGATTCTTTTTCGATTTTTCAATGCCAGTCTGTTTTATTATATCAATAATTTAACGATTCACTGACTTGTAAAATTTCAAAATTTTAAAAAATCTAACCATTTTCCGACTGTCATCATTGTTTTTAATAAAAAAAAGAACTGTCTAAAGTAATCATTCCAGAAACTTACTTTTTTACAAGGTCAACTTTTTCTTGCCAACTATTGAAAGATCCACTGACTTGAACATTTTGTCCCCCTTCTTCCCATTTGAATTCTGTGGACACGGTGGCTGGTGCTGCCTCCTGTCATCAATGTTGAAACGTAGGTCACATCACTGTGGGAGCTTACAGTTCGTAGATTTTTTTTTTAACTCAATAAAAGCAATGTGGATTTTTTAGGAGAGACCTACGAATTGATGTCCTTCCCAGACTTCATTTAATAAATGGTTGAGAAAACACTCCATATTTCCAAGGAGCAGAATGATTCTGTCATGAATTTAATCGTATACAACTTGCACTACAGGACTGACATTTTATTCTTCCAAATGAGCTGAGTGATGCACCCTTATTGGAGAAAAAGAAGCCTCAACACTTCATCTCCTCAGAACTTGATATTATTGTCTAATTTTTTTTTCCAAAGAGGTTCTTGAACTTATAAAAAAATTAATTTTATAGCACAAGAATATTCTACTGATAGAAGCTGCTTCATGGTGAGATGAGGCGAAATCTAACACCCAATTCAAATACCCAAGCATCATTTGTTCATTGTTGTGAATCAGTTACACCAAAGATAGGTGGATTATATGATACATCACTCCGCTGATTTTTATGATTCCACTACTGTACTAAATGCAGCAACAGCATCAATAAAAATTAGTTAGGCTACTTAAGCACAGTTTGGAAGAGAGGATTAATCAATTATGCTTATAAACCCTACTATTGGCACGCAAAAACCTTTTGGGCAGAACAGTAGAAATTTGCTGCAGTTAAGTAATCCAAATTACAATTCCACCTTTGTGAAGCACAAACTACTAGTATTGACAAACCAAAGCTTTTTTCCAATTACCAAAGATCTGATGCACTCATAACGTATAAAAGCAGTGTTACACAAGCATACACAGAAATCAAAGCTTGTACTAGCAGTGACGGCTATCGCAGGAACTGACCTCCATCTGCTCAGTTCACAAATGGGTATTCTCACTCTCTTTGCGCTAAATTGTGGAAGAACAGAAGTGTCAATAAAAGACACAGACATGTACTATTCACAAGTAGAAGAACTCAAGGAAACAATAGCCTCACCCAATAACAGAACTTTCAGCTTAATTTTTTCGTACAGCAAAAACATTTTTTGAAGCACCGAAAACCCAACCACCCACATTAAATTAGCATGAATCTGTATCCCTAATAAGCCTTAGGAACACATATAGTTCAATGCAGCATGGCAACTGATATCATAAGACCTATCCCAGTGAATTATTTCACCATTAGAAAATTTCAATAACTCCCATCATGTATTTAACTTTTTTACTTTTGAAATGTTGCTTTTGAATCTGATCTAAGGTCTAAAGAAAAAGCCTTAGAATTGGAAAAAATCATATTAAATTCAGTCAGTTAACTTCCCAAACCCTTGTCTTCCAGGCTTTTTTGGGGGAGAGGAGAATGGTTGAAATATACAAAGGTCCATTTACTCACACTCAATAATCATGCACATTAACCACAAACTGCAGAGAACAAAGCAACAAGATAGCTTTCTTCATAGATATGGTGCAGAGAAACAAGTAGCGAGGTCATCGAACCATAGATCTTATATATGTTGACACATGGCGGGGAAATCAGGCGCTCATCAAACTACTGAAATCGAAGAAACAAGACATTTTTCCTCCTGTTGGGCACATTTTAACAAATTTTTGTTATTTTGCTCAACACTTTTATGCCCATATAAAAAAACACATTTTCATGTGAATTTTGCCCCCAAAAATGATTAATGGCGCAAAATATGAAAATTTTCAGTTTTCTAGGACTTGCTTTAACAATAGAAGTAACCAAACTTTGGCACCATTTACTAGCTAATTTTACCTTTGAAACAATGCTACTCCCATCCCCTTCAATTGCAAATATCTCAACTTCTATTAAAGATAGATAGGGTTTTTTTTTCATCCAAGGCAAGGCAAATGAACAAGCTTTCAGATGATAACTCCAAAAGCCCAAAAATTGACGAGCGCCTGATTCCATCGCATCATGACACATATATATATATATATATATATTAAGGTCATTAGAACAACTGACAATGGAAAGAACATTAATATAATATTGCAGAGGCACAGAATACATTTTGATGAGCAATACCTTAATAAAGTGAAGGTAGAAATCACAGATAATATCAAATACAACACATAATAAGAAAGATGATGGCAATACAATGAGACACGTTTTGAAAGCAGCAACATAGTTGAAACTGAAACATGGGTTGCTTCGATGGTGTGCCTTCATGAGACAAAAGTTTCAACTCATTTTCAACATACTTCAGTTTGGCCTTTCAAGAAATAAAAAAACAGGTAACCTAGCAGAAGGATACCTGAATTTTGACTGGCAAATTCATAACTGGCATCTAAATTTCAAATTTCAGTGTCATAAATGTGACAATCTCTGAGTGCCAATCCTGAACAAGCAACATGTACCTTTATTTCCTTAGCCTTCAAAACAGACACCTTGGTTGCTGTTCACACTATTTAGTTCATTTGTCTTTGTGACCACAAAGTAGAAAGTACACAGTTGGCTGACAAATCCAAACTGGATCATTCAATACACTCTTACCATATCTTTATGTTGATGTTAACAAGTAGAAAAAACCCCTATGTTACTGTGTTACTGCAAAATTCATTATCATTTCACCTGTAGCCAAGGCTTGCTTCAACTGTTTTGTTATACACTGGTTCCCTGGCCGCATTCTTCTATTGATAATTTTACTAGTGAAGGGATGTGAGAACATACAAAAAAGCACAAGTTATCTGTCCTTAATTTTTTTAAACTCTGTTGATGATTTGTACAACATGGTGGTAAAAGAATGCTAGTCTACAGATGCACATGCAAAAGACGATGCAAACAGAAATTATGTTATGAAATGAAAGTGAATCAGAGAAGCAATAACAATACAGAAGGGACAGTGAGCGATTAAAGGAGGAAAGACTCACCTCACAAGGAGCTGCCGTCTCGCCTGTTTCTGCGGAGTCACCAGGTCCACTTGTGGCAGCACCAGTCTCCGCACTTTCTGATGGGGCAGCTGGGGTCGTTTCCCCTTCCGCACCAGTGAGTGACTGTTAATTCAAGTTAAACAAGTAAAGCAAATTATAAGTTTGTAATGTTTCCTTTCTCAATATCTGCTCATTACATTAGATGCATCATCACTTCTTTGCCTTCATTGATATCTTAAGTCTTCTGAAATTTTTCTATAGGAAAGGCATAAATAAATACAAAGACAAAAGGCATAAACACCTATTGTCTACACTGCAAAATCATACAAACTTAAACATTTTATTAAAGAAATCAAATAATTTATATTGCTTCAACATGTTTTCAAATCTAATCCAAGTATGTTTAACACAAAACTTATATAAGTACCTGATTGAAACAAAAACCGCAAGGGTAAAAAGATTACACTACACTGTTGTTTTTTCTCCTTATGTTTCTAAACAAATCTTTCTGTAACAAGCATTTTATGACTCCTAAATGACATTGTTAAACAGAATTTATCACTTTACTACCACTGGGTAGAAAAGAGTAAGCTGAACAACAGAATTTAGCTGGAATTGTACAATCACCATAAACCAAGTAATCTTTATTAATATAAGTCTCTTCACAGAGTCTAAAAGCTATTTTTGTATAGGCCTACTGCTTTTCTATAAGAGCAGTTTGAAAAACCCTGGTGCACACATAGAGAATACACTGTGCTTGGAGGAAAATGTGTTGTCCAACTGGACCGTGAAACAAATCACAATAAGCTTCAGAGAGATACAATGCTCGTTTAAGGTTTACAGCGGATTAGAAGAAATAAAAACAATACCCAAAATATTCATATCAATCATTTGCTTTGAGAAAATTTGGTGTACAAAGTTATGCCCTGTATTTGAAAAATTGAAAGGCTTTGAGGGCGGAAAACAATTTCCAGAGAAAGGTAAGCAGTACATGCAACCTACACTGAACAGTGAGCACAGGAATATATTAATTATCAGGTTTTCTATTTGAGATGAAAACAGGAAGAATGTCGTTCAAAAAAGAAGCTATGCAAGGAATTCTTGTAGTAGGACTACCTCTTCTATCATGACTGGTACTGAACTCACAACAAAGAGAGGGAATTGTATATCTGTAGCATTGACCCACGCCCACTTTCAACTAGCTATGAAGAAGCACACACCAAACAAAACATCTTACAATGTTCAAGATGAAGAGACAACCCACATGAAAGACGAGAATTCTGGAAGGAGAGAAATACAGCAACCTACAAAAATATAGGATTTGACCACAAAGGAGAGAATGAGCAGAGTACGCTGCTGTTGACAACTAGATTTCGAAGGAAGGAAAAGTGATTTAAAAAAAGAAAAGGATATCCAATCTAACTTATGTCCAACAAAAGCAGAGGAACACAGTAATTGTGCTTGCATTGACTGAGATGATGATAACAGGGATGGTGATGGCAGTGGTGGTAATGGTGGAGATGATGATGATGAGGAGGAGGATGAAGAGGATCATGGCATGAAGCCTGATTCACAAAACGTAATTTCCCAAGCTTCCTTTCTACTACTTTTCAACAATGATGATGACCATGATGGTGTAGACAGCGACAAAATATATTGGTAGTGGTGGTGTTGATTACAGGCAAATAAACCAGTACTCAATAGTTTTTATTTATCTGCAAAGCAGTACTGATGAAGATTACAGTGGCACGTGTTGAAGACAGCGAATTTGGGTGATTGTTCTTGTTAGGACACATATTGAAGAATGGAGGTGAAAAATCCAGAACACTACTAAGCATGATCTTAGGAAAGAAAAGAGGGATCTTTTAGAGGATTTCCACCATAAACACTGAGTACCAGGTGCGTCACCAAAGCATCAAAAAGTAATTCAGTGACATCCAGAGCAGTGTGCCTATCTTTTCTGACATCATAAACACCAACTGATGATTTGGTCCACAGTGCTCATCAAGTAGATCTAAAGACATCGCTTCTTTCATCCACAGAGAACAACATGGCAGGTGGGGAGAATAGTCCACATGGTCGCAGTAGGACACAGGACGACCAAGAGTGGTAGGTGCAGGAGAGGACATCCAACCATCAGTGACACAAAAAAACGAAAGAAGGAAAAAGAAACAAAAGACTTACGTCCCGATCTTTAGAAGTAGAAAAGGGCATTATAACTCTTGCCTTGTTAATGGTTTTGGCTAGCTTGGGCAGCATCTTAAACTTATTCAGCACCTGTTCTTTCTGGGCAGCTGTCAACTCAGAATCAACGGTTTCTTGCTCAGCCGCTGGGGGCGGGGCTGGCTCTGATTCCGTCTGCTCTTCTGCTTTGTCTTCCTGTGCAGGTTCTTCTGGTTTCTCGACTGTCGCTTCCTCTGTCGAGGGCTCCGGTGCAGGGGGTTCAGCTTCCGCTTCCTGTGCGTCCGCTACAGGCTCAGAAGCTTCAGCCGGGGCCTCCTCTGGTTCGGTTTTCTCAGGGGCGGGTTCAGCTGCTGTCTCCACTGGGGCAGGGGCTGGGGTCTCCTCTGCGGGTGTTTCTTTGACAGGTTCTGGTTCTGCTGGTTTCTCCTCTTCTGAGGGTGCTGCAGCTTCTGGGGCTGCCGGTTCAGGCGCCGCTGGTTCGGGGGCTGCTGGTTCTGAGGCTGCAGGTTCAGGTGCTGCAGCAGGAGTGGAAGGCTCTTCCGCTTCCGGTTTGCTGCCCGCCTCAGCTTCTGCGTTTGTGGGTGCACTTCCACCATCTTCAGCAGACTTTTCTATACTCGCATCACCCTAAAACAACAGGAAATAGTATTTAAAAGAATGTAATGCCTTAACACCCAAGTGACTGCTAGCTGACAAATCAACTCTCATCTTCTAGCAGTTCTTCCTTTACGACCACTGATCAGAATACTCGTTTTGTAGAAAACATTTTACAAAGACTGACCGCATTCTCCAAATATTCCCTAAACTGCAGTAAACACGTTCTTCCTTCATTTGTTCAGCAAAACTAAAATAATTCAAAATTAAGTGATGAAAACGATGTTTCTTAGAGAGTATAGCTGGTAACCACGGTCCTGGCCCAAGCATTGTGGGGGGGGGGGGGTTGAGGTCATTAACCTGTAGAATCTACTGTTTCGCTTTCAGCAAGTTCAAAGACAAATTGACGACCATCCAAGACCACGAGAATGGTCCAAAACCTTCTTTGGTACATAGATTCACAATAGCTTCACGCACCAATCGATAGTTAACAGCCTGAAAATGAAGGGCAATGGGAAGCGCTATATAGGCCTACTAGTGCAGTATATTGATCGAGAGACTTGGAAAGTAAGAGTACGCCCGACATAGCAGTCCCTGTCAAATTCTTGACATCTGGGACTTCTATGGTAATGAGCTATACGCCACGGGCCTAGAATGACCAGCCAACTCGCCCGTTAACAGACTCCTATGACCTATAGCCACACGCAGAAAGCCAGCTCCGATATCTGGTGCTAAGCCTTACACTGAGCTCACAGACTTCGAATATTCTAGACAATGATCTCTTTGGCATTTTTCTTCGATTTAGCTGACAACAAATCTATACGTGACACTCGACGGAATGTAACAATTTTTATGAAAATGACAGGAAACACGAGCTTCACCTAAAGACTATATTAAGTGTCAGTTGATATTCCCCTTTAACCTTCTGGATAACTTTCTTTTTCTTCCCCTTCCATCATCCCCCCCCCTCCGTCCCCCCTTCTGCATTCTTTGCAAAGACTGACTTGTGCACAAACGTCAAAACAGAGATCCATCACTTCCAATGATTGTGTTCTGTTTGCTAGGATGACCTTGAATCGGTGCCATGATATTGCCGTTGGGGGGCTACGGACATAGATGTTTTAATGCTCGTGAATGGCATGAAAACATGATGGGCCCTGGGATACGAAAACCCAAAATAATAATACAATATCATCAACACAGATGCGGTCATGTTAGTTTCCAAACGGTTTTGACAATGGAAGACAATTATTATTGTTGACGCACAAGGTGGAGCTCTAAAGTGAGTTTCTTCTTTGCAAATCGATTTAGAGTTTAATACCCCCGCCATTGAATACGTCGAAGGAAAACAATTACATACAGGCCTTGGGGTTAAATCTTACTGATGTTTTTGAAAATAATTTAAGAAGCTCTTTGAAACAAAAATCACGGTCTTCTATATTTGTGATTATCATTTTCGCTTCATTAACCATCTGACACCTCAATCCAAACAACATGTGACACCCCCCCCCCCCCCCCCCCCCCAAATAAAAGAAAACCCAATGTGCTGTACACTACAAGGTTACAAGACAGCCATCCATTTGCGATAAAAGAAAGTGGGCGTCTTACAGAGTCAATTTAATAATTTAAAACGATAGGGAGGGGTGGGGGGGGGGGGGGTGAGAATGAGACAACTGAAAAAGATGCAAAGTCCCCGCAGTCAGACGGAGATACTTGACACTTGATAACAACTTATTTTCCCACAGGAGAATTGAACTCACGTCTTTTGTGTGCCTCGGCCACGAACCTAACTTTTCTTCCACAAACGCCGACTCTCCGGGGAGCTGGTCTCTGCACACCAACAATGTTAAGCCGTATAGCCTATCATATCTTACGAGCAGGCCTATACCCTAGAGGTGTTCGCTGGGCAAATGCAATACACTGAGAACCAAATGAGGACCCGGTACAACGCTTCCAACAATTCTCCTCAAGCGTGTGGTGGCCTGCGTGGACGTTGACTAAATACAGCCTAAAATATTCATAAGTCCTTGCTCATCGCGGAGACTCGAGGTCGGCGCCGGGTCAGAACCCTCCGGAGTTTGTCGATACTGTGCCGTCCCTGCCTCAATTGTGTCACGTTGTTTATGAATTCTGCACGAAGTAGTAGTAGTAGAAGTATGGACCAGACGCCGTCTGCCCGTCTAACATCTTTCCTCCAGACGCTCTTCTCTCTCTCTCTCTCTCTCTCTCTCTCTCTCTCTCTCTCTCTCTCTCTCTTGCCAAAATAAACAGGCGGATAGACCTCTTCAGCTCTACTCTAACGTCATGTCTGTAGAGGGGCTTAATTAATAAGCGTTGGGATGCTGTGGAAAAGAGCACAGAAAACACCATGCCTTGTGCTGAGTTACTGTTGCCAGTTTTTCTTAAAAACGCTTTTGGCGTGAAGGGGAAAACAATTATAAGATCAAGTATTTTGAATAATCTAGTAAAAAGTTCGAACTTAATTAAATTTGTCATACGTTCACGACAATATTCACAAGAGTGGTCTGGGAATGACCTTGAATAGGCTTGCATATGCTAAGTTGGGCCTCCAGGAGGGAAATACAAATATAAAATAGAATCTAGAACTTTGGGTTCGATTCTAGCATAAATAAGAAGAGAGTATTCACGGTGAGCTTGAAAGTGTGAGTGTCAATATGGGTAATTCTACCCGTCTGAAGGTGTTGGTCTGCCGCCGTACCTGTGAGCCAATCTGTCAGGGTTCAAGTAAAGGGTATCATTTACTAAACCACCCAACGTGTACACAACAATAAGGGGGGGGGGGGGGTACGAGAAACAAGTGGAAGAGCAAGAAGGGTAAGAAGGGCAAGAAAAGATTCGAAACCCAAATCCCCATGTCTTTGCTAATACTTTCGTTCAATTTAAAGTTAAACTTCACAATAGAGCCAAATTGAGTTCAGGGTGAAACTGACAAAAAAAATGGTTATTTGGGAATTACGAAAAGTCACGATTGATAGGAACTAAAAGGAAAGAAAGGAAGTAGTAGTGGTCTACACCGTGTCTTCCTGTATGTGTATTCTTCTGTCTTGTGACAGTCTGTACACAGAATAAAAGAGAGACTGACATTGCTTACCGCTGCAGGCGTATCCCCTCCACCTCCCTCTACGGCTTTGGCATCTCCATTCTCCTCTGGCTTCTTCTCCGCCTCTGCGGTTCCTGCCTCTTTCTGCTCGGTTGTCTGCTCCTGCGCCTGCTCTCCCTCGGCTCCTTCCTCTTCCTTCTTGCCCTTCTTGCTCTTCTGCTTGCTTCCTCTGGCTCCCATAGTGTCGTGTACGAGTTATTCGCCCTTCACAAGACAAATAAAATTCCCCAAAAGTCCAAAGCTGGATTCCGGAGACGTAAATTCCAGTCCAGCAACTGTAGGCTTCACACACACCTGGAAAAGAGACAGAGGGCAAAATGAGCCAATGCTTCTTTTTTTTTCAAATCACACACCCAAAATGAAAACGACAACTTTCTAAATTCACACAATATTGCCGGCTATGTTGGAGTACACAAACGACTTTTCGCCAGCTTATCGTTTTTCTTACCGTTTCTTTGGGTTGTTTTTTCTTTCTTTTAAAAAAAAGTTTTAGTAAGAGTTTTATGGTATTTGCAACACAAGGTCATATAAGTGACGAAGATTAGGGGTGTTTCAAGGGAGTAACAAACACAAAAAAAGGAGGAGAGATAAGGTCGATAGATGTTTTATAGGAAAGAAGAAGCAAATCACACCAGAGCACCCGCCAACCACCCACTTTTCTTTGTTTATCAAATAATGAATTATTTTGTTCATTTCGAAAGTGGAGGGGGTTATTGGCCTTCGATAGAAAACATAGAGGGACCAACATTCCTGGACGAGAACATCTCAGATTTCACCCAGATTCGATGTGCACACTTCCACGTCTTTTTCAGCTTAGTTTATTTAACGTTAATGTAAGCTACACTATACTACGCTTCAGGTAGGTAAGAAATTCTACTTGGAACATTCCCCAACACAAAAAAAAGGTATCCGGAAACGAAAAAAGGCTAAACAGCTGCAAGTCTCATGGTGCTATCAGCTCTAAATTATAATCTGAATTTCACAAGCAAACACATGACAAATAAGAACATTGGCGATGGAGTGGGGGAGGCGGAGGGGAGAGAGGGGGGGGGCACAGTTAAAGCCATCCGACCTATCTGCACATCGAATGAGGTCTCCATTTGAGGAAGCAACAATCGAGGTTCTTATAATATATTAATATGAATCATTCACAACTCCAGTGTAATAGCTAATTATCTAGGGACTACTTGACATGAACATGCGAACTTCATGAGCCAAACTCCCTATTTCCGCTTGATTATAGCAACCTAGCCGAGGTCAGACCCCATAACCCATATACGTTATTCAAACAAGCACCATCAAACTATCACTTTTATTGAAATTAACACAGCTGGACACAATGTAGGTTACTTCGATAGCCGAGCATCTGCTCCTAGGTCAAGTCATCGGGATCCGACAAAATAATGAATACTCCAGAAAGAACAAGATAATTCGGAATCTACAGAGTAGATTTTAGTTTAAGTAAGTGTTTTACGGCACTTGCAACACAATAAGGTCATATAAGTACTGAAGATTAGAGGTGTTACAAGAAAGTAACAAACACAAAAAAGAAGGGGGGGGGGGAGATAAAGACGATAGATGTTTGATAAGAAAGAAGAAGCAAATCACACCAGAGCACCCGCCAACCTCCCACTCACAGTGGACTCGGACATTAAACTTCCACAAAGAAGATATTATATTAGGACGGGGAAAAAGGGGGGGGGGGCAAAAGTAAACACGTGTATACCGTAAGTATCACAATAATTGTTATAACAATTGATCAACATTATTTGCGGACTGTGTGATTACCAAAGGCAAGCAGTTTGAATATTTTAGGAATGAAGGATGTGTCTTAATACATAGGCTACATGCATACATGTAGGCCTTTGCAATTTTCATGCGGTTGCATATATAAATGTAGTGAGCATTGTTTCTGTTTGTGTGTACAATATATATTTGTGTGTACTAGTGTGTATGTATATAAGTGTGTGTATGTGTGTGAACATGTGAGTGTGTCTGTGTGCGTGTGTGCGTGTGTGTGTGTGTGCGTGTGTGTGTGCGTGTGTGTGTGCGTGTGTGTGTGCGTGTGTGTGCGCGTGTGTGAGTGCGCGTGTGTGTGCGTGTGTACGCGTGTGCGCGCGTATGTGCGCGTATGTGTATACAAGTGTACGTATACGTGATTGCGTTTGTGTAAGTGCGTGTGTGTGTGCGTGTGTGTGTGTGTGCGTGTGTGCGTGTGTGCGTGTGTGCGTGTGTGCGTGTGTGTGTGTGTGTCTGTGTGTGCGTGCGCGTGCGCGTGCGTGTGCGCGTGCGCATGCGCGTGCGCGTACGTGCGTACGTGCGTACGTACGTGCGTGCGCTCGTGCGTTCACATCACGCATTGTTCGAATTAGACGTGAGAAACTGCCCGTGATTAGTAATTCTCTAACCCAAGACGTGAGCACTGCCCAAATGAAGAATTAATTTAATCACATAAGAAAATCGTGACAGAGTTGTAGTTACATAGAGCACGTCTCTAAACTTGAGGACAGACACAACAGAGGACACCGCCCATACGACTTCCGGCGGCGCCTCTGTGACGGGAGGAATTCCGTAACGACCGACCAAACATAGTAGAATAGAGGGTAGGGGCAGAGGTAGGAGTAAGGGTAGGGGTGATGGGGAGGAATTCCGTAACGACCGACCATTATGATACATAGTAGAATAGAGGGTAGAGGTTGGAGTAGGGGTATGGGTAGGGGTAAGAGTAGGGGTGATGGGGAGGAATTCCATAACGAACGACCACTATGAAACAGTAGAAGAGAGTGTTTGGGTTAGGGTAGGCCGGGGGGGGGGAGGGGAGGAATTCCGAAACCACCGACAACTATGAAATAAGAGTATAACAGAGGATTTGGGTTCGGGTTATGGGTAGGGGTTATGGGTAGGGGTTAGGGGTAGGGGTTAGGGATAGGGGTTAGGGTTCGGGTTACGTCTCTACTTTATTGGGTTTGTTGGAGTGGTCGCTCGTTACGGAAGTCCTTCCATGGTAACCGTTCACTCGTCATCAGGACTTTCATTCAAATTAAATATGTGTTTCTGAATGGCGTATGTTGGTGGGCTCGATTTTTCAGACATTCTCATTAAGCTATCACTACTACATGGTCATAATATAAAAAAGAACACATATTTCAGATAGTGAGGAAATGTCCAATTAATAAAAGCGACTCCCCGCAAAATACAACTCAACACATATTGGTAGACTGACGAGAATACAAACAGTTTTAGTAAAAGTTTTACGCCACTTTCAACACAATAGATCACACAAGTGCCAAAGATTAGAGGTGTTACGAGAGAGTAACAAACACAAAAAGGAGGGGAGATAAGGATGATAGATGTTGGATAGTAAAAAAAAGAGGAACCCATACCAGAGCACCCGCCAACCACTCACAGACAAACACAGCACCAAGTAAACATCATCATCATCATCATCATCATCAATGCCTTTCACCTCTGGCAGGGTATAGGCCACATACAAGCTCCTTCCATTTATCACTGTCCTGAGCCATCCTTCCAAGTTCGTTCCAAGTGAGCTTCATTTCTCTCATGTCCCTTTCCACGCATCTCCTCCATGTTTCCCGTGGCCTACCCCTGCCTCGTGCTCCCTGTTGAGCACGACCAAGTAAACATGATCGTTCGAAAAAGACACGGTAGACATGTTAGCTCGGGGAACACGAGTGATGGGATCTGGTTTCCGTAATTAGTATGCCTACAGTTTCTATCAAATCCACCGTTTTGTCTCCAAACTAGTCCAATACAACGTTTTTCACTTTCAGCACCAACTCCAACTCAACTTGATGAAAACTGTAAACCAGAACAATCAATATTCACGGTTTTTCCCCATCCCTTCATTGCAATGCAGACTGTGTTGAGTAAAATAAGTAGAAAGAAACATCAATAGCGTTACTTTGTTTTCATAAACATCGAAATTTAATCAAAACTTTCGTCGCTACCGAGTGACAACGACCATACGGTGTGTACGGTTGATAGCGCTAACTGACAGAAAATAGAAGGACGCCAGTGTCGTTCAGTTGACTGACCGCTTACCTTTCCTCTCTTCACACAAATTTTTCCCGTCTCAGTTCAAGACAAAAATTTTATAGGTGAAATAGTCTTGACCACAAACAAGGAATCTGGCACCACTGGTCTCGGAAGCAAACGTGTAACAAATGAGGCAATCGCAACCACTATGACTGACAACGAACTCAGCGTGTCTTGAGTCGCAACCTGAACAGCTCACATGGGAAAAAACATAGGCTCACAATGGGTTGAACTCAATTCACGTTCACCTTTAGGGTCAGATCGGAGACACGACCAATAGGGCCTTTGCTACGTGTGCGAAACAATGACTCAAGGTTTCAGGGGAAAAGCGTTGACGTTGGACTATTATCATTTGAAACTCTGGGTCAAAAGGCAGCAGGCCAAAGGTGTGTGAGTGTATTTGTGGGTGCGTGTGTGAGCGTGTGTACGTGTGTGTGTATGTGTGTGTGTGTTTGCGTGTTTGCGTATAGCTGTGTGTATGTGTGTGTGACAGAGAGAAAGAAAGAGGGTTTGAGAGAGAGAGAGAGAGAGAGAGAGAGAGAGAGAGAGAGAGAGAGGAGGGGGAGGGGGGGATAGAGATAGAGAGAGAGAGAGAAAATGTGTGTTTGTGTCTGTGCTGGTGTGGGTGCACGCGCACAAGTGCGTGTGTAGGCGGGAGTGCTTACCATAATAC